TGAGATGAAGAAACAGCCCGTCTTCCTGGACCGCCTCTGCGTGTTTCGGAATTTGGCGCGGCTGCAAAAGCCCTCCGGGCGCTGCTGGCTCGTGATTGGTTGGGTGTCATTACACAGGTAGTCTACATCCCTGCCCATCCTTCTCCACCGCTCCTCCCCTAGACAGCTTGTCAGGGGAAGAGATCCTAGATTGGGCTAAGCGTCAGGAACAGGCTTTTGATTGGCTCGCTGAAATGGGGAGCGGCGCCGTAGCGTCGGTCAGGGGGAAGTTTGCGAAGCGGGGCTGCTCTCTGGGAAGCCGCGTTCGTGAGTGGGTTTGAGATTGTCACTTCCTGGTCTAATTTCAACCTTTTTCTTTTCCTTTTTCCCCTTGTCTGAGGCTCTCTTTGAATCGATCAAGGTCACAGCCTAAAGACTGCGGCATGAACATCATCTGCTGAGGGATCGTATTTGCGAGAGAAACAGCAGGCATCGAGAGAATCTGGCGTTTGTTGGAGCTGTTGTGAAGCTTGACGATATGTGTCGCCTCCATCTCCTTATACATACGGGTACTACACTGCCGCGCCTCAACGTGTGCGACGGGGACGTCAGGGCACCGGCCATGCCGCCGGTTTTATTGTATTATTGGTTATTACTGGTCAAGCTCTCTTCGCTCTGATGGATCACGTTTGTGGGGGAGATTGGCCTCAGCCGGGACCTGGTATGTATGCAGTACGAATTACTTTGCACTCATGTGCACACATTTGGTCACGGTCCTGAACCCGGCTCACGCGGGCCTCTCCACTGCCTGAGAAGACCCAACCCGACTCCCAGCCCTGACCCTACAAGTAATACTACTACTAGTACTAGGAAACTGTCAAAGAACAAACGCAATGGAACGTCAAATGATTCCATGACCCACGTCGGTGTCATTGAAGTCTCCGCAAAAGCATTCGCTTCCCATAAGACTGCCCGGCGAGAGATCCCGTGTCATGGATACATGCTGATCAATGCCTGTCGTCCTTGAGGAGAACCGTCAGCCTCATTTGCCAGGCTTGAGACACATTGAATTTGAGAGTAACCGTGCCTTGGCAAGTTGTCACACTGCCGAGTCGTTATGGTAGCATTGGAAAATGAGTTGCGACAGTCTCTGAGAGCTCTGTCGTGTGGCTTACCAGTCGACACTCAGACAAAGAGCTAAGGTTGACTCGCCCGACAAGTCAATCCTTTGGCGAGCTCTCCCTTGGCGATGCCATCACCATGGCCACGTTTTCCCAAACATGGAGACGAATTAGCGGCCCGAGTTGATCGCCGCTTCGTCTATCTTGTGCTTCAGCTTGAAATTGAACATCCGGTGGGTCGGGGAAAAAAGAAGGAGAAAAGACGAAACGCCATGCCGAGTACGAGCGCCGAGACTTTGCACCTACGAAGGACTACCTCAAGTCTCACAGGACAGGGAGGTTTCACGCACGCTGCATATAGTACCGACATGCCAAGCGAGGCCTTGGCTCGATTTTCTTTCCAGATGCTCCACGTCGGCCCATGTGTGATCGTAGGTCGACGTACGAGTATGCCACGAACAGGGCGTTGACATCAAGGTTGGGCGTTTGGCGGGAGCGATTGCTTAGCTTGCGTCGATCATGGGACAAACAGTGATAGACTTGTGCTCTTCATGGCCGGTCGAGGCTCTCGCCGGCAAAGGCGTACTCGTACGGAGCCCCCTTTGCACCGCAGTGCCCTATCTCGTGCCCCGGCTGTCCCGAGGCATCGCTTCGCCATTCGGCTGTTTCGGACGGAGAACGTCCAGACGCGGGAAATCTCGCCATCTACCTGAACCGCACCTGCATGCGCGATGGAGCTCCGATGCGATGTAGGCGCTATGACCTGGTGGAGATGCCGGGCGGCAAGCGGTTGGGCAGCATTTGGCGTCCAGGTACACGTCCGACCGGCTTGAAGAAATTGGACGAGAGTGCTGAACGCTGTTGAGCCAACTGAAGCAAAATGAGGCATCCAGTTTGTAGCCGCAATAGATGTGCACTGGCAAATCGAAAGAGAGCGAGGATGGCCACAACTGGAGCGATGGTGATACAAGTGCAATTCTGGCTGCGATCGCCAGTCCTCAAGAGTCCCACGCTCGAGTCGGCCTCATGTTTTCGACCTGTCATTTGTCGTGTCCGTGAGCCTTGAGAAAGAGAAAAGAAAATAGGAGTCTGTCTCAGCTGTTGTCCGGGTCACTTTGCTTTTTCCATGTCTCCTGATCTACAAGAGCTAATCAGTCGTAACGGCAGGCTCTGGATAGCTACCCAACCGTACAGAAGGGGCGAGTGCGATGCGCCTACAGCTGAACTGCTCACCTCCTTGCACTCTCTTCGAGCCAATAGGCCACTTTGGAAGGCTAATGCCATTCTGTTGTTTCTGTTGGATCAAGCAACTGATGCGCCACCGCGTAAGAGGGAGTAAGTATCTGGGGCACGTAGATGACAGTCGCAGAGGGAGCGTTGTCCGAGTGCATCTGCTCCGTCGCATGCATTTGCCACAGCCTACCTAGGTAGTACCTGAGCGGCCCTTCTGCAGGTGCGTATAAGTGCATATCGGCCGTGAATGCGGAGCTGCGACAGAAGTTCTCGTGGCGACAGAGTGGCTGCTTCTGAGTGGTGACGAATATCGCTTGCATGCATGCTGTGGAACGGGCGCATCACCAATTGAACCGACCGCTACCAGGCCATCCCTTCGGTCGGCTAAGCTGTGATTGGGGCTCGAATTGCCTATCAGATGTCAGGGCAGGCTGCGATATAGTAGTAGTATGGATGTTTGAGTTTCGTCTCGCCCGCTGTGACGGACGCTTTGGGGAGTGATCAAGGATTGACGGGGCCCCGTGTTTGATGGCAGATGAGGTGTAAACAAGCAATAATGTGATGTAAGGGAGAGATTAGTAGTAAGGTATCAACCAGCACTACGAGAGTGTCAGGACTGCCCTGTTCCAAGTAACCTTTGTACACCTCACTACCTAGTACCTAAGGTAGGTACTCGCAGTTGCGCGTCTGTCGAGCCGGGTTGATGTTGTGTGGAAGGCGGGCAGCGCTAGACCAAGCCGAGACACAGCCATTTGCACCTGCCCTCGAGGCCCCCAGGCAGTTCATCTCTGAGAGTTTGCATGCCTCACCACGAGGTACCTACTTGTACTTACAGTACCTTAAGGTAAGTTATTAAGAGAGGTGGAATGAGTTCTTGGGGGTACCGAAGGTACACGATGAAGAATCCAGCACTTTCATTGAGAGGCAAGTTGGCCTTGAGGAGAAAGAGAGCGGCGTCTGAGCCAAAGTTTCACGTTGCATCACGTTTGTCCGTGTCGGTGAATCAGGGGAAAGCCGGCTGCATGTGTCTAAGACACGCAGCTGGCTGAACACCAACCTACAGCCCTCTCCACCAATCAAGCGCTCGCCTGCACCTTGCATGCAAGGGCCGCGTGAAAGCGTCTGCATATTAGTAGGTACTGTACAAGGTAGTAGTAGTACTGCTAGGTATCAGACACTCGTTCGTCATCTTTGCTCACCATAGGTACCCTCGAGTCTGTCCACAAAACAGCAAAAACAACAACAACAACAGCAGTAACGATAGCAAGGGATCAACAAACCAACTGAAAAGTCAGAATTGGACGCTTCAGAGACAAAAGTCTGGTCGGCCCCTGTCCCCAGGCAGTCCACAGCCCACAGCGCCCCCCTGGTCGTGGCCGGAGAGGCACAGGCGGCGCCATTGAGCGCTACGCCGCTGTTGAGTGGCTGCCAGGGTGCCAGGCCTGCCAGGACCTGAAGTTTAGTGGCTAGCGGCCTGTGGTTAGCGGCCCGCCGCTCAGGCACAAGACCTGGCAGAGGTCGGGTGCTAGGCTCTAGCACGGCGGATGGAGAGCTGGAGGCCATCGCCAGCTCCAGTCGAGCTCAAGCCCCTTCTTGTCATCGCCGGCATCCTGATCCCAATTTCTTCTACCCTTGCCCGGCTCGCACGCTTCTCTCCACTCTTTTTTTTCTCCTCTTCATCCGCTCACGGCTCTTGCCAGCGACCAGCTTTGCCCTTTTTTCCCCTTCTCTTCTTGTCCAGCAGGCGAAGTCGTTGGTATCCCGCCCATCGCGTCCACGCTCATTACGACCAGCCACGAAGGAACCCGATCGTCGTCGCCGCCGTGTTTGCAATCACCGACTCGACTGCGCCTTGTCGACAGCTGCCGCCTCCGAAGCATGCTCTCTTGCGCGACCTTGTGATATCCGAGGCTCCTTATCGTGTTCCGCTTCCTGGTCTCACGACGCCAACGCCCAAAACCCCCTTTTGAGTGGCAAGTCCGAGCAGCTGCTCCCCTGCAGCGCCGTCTACAACCAACGCAAACCACAGCCCAAGGGCCGTTTTATTGGCACGCATTCTGCTGCGAGGCTGTCCTGCAGGTACCCGTCGAGCGTCACGCATAGCGCCAAGTCACGGCGCGCCTATCGAAGTGGCATCCTACATTTGACAGCGCCCTGGACCTTTCTCAGTCTCTTCGGAAATCGGATTCGCAACTCTTTCTTCATTTATTCGAACTCTCGTTTCGCCTTCTTGTTACAAGGCTTGGCATCCCATTCTTCCATTGGTACTTTCCTGGTACGTCAACACTGCTATTCTACCTACCCAACCTATTCGCCTTTCAAGGACAACCCGCGACATACCGAGATCAACAAGGAGCAAGAAAGCAAAAACAGAACTCAGCAACGAGATACAAGAAGACTGGCGCAACTTGCTGAAAGAGGTGGACGATACCAACCTGATTTGGCCCATCTCAAACCGCTTCATGCCGACACCCTCATGCTCACATCCACCACAAACACTATGGTTCGCCTTTGCGCTTGATGTCTGACGTCTTTGCTGGTAGTTCAACTTAACGCACGAAATCCACGACACGCCAGTGGATGACTTTATGACACGACATCCGATTCTCGGCCCGATACACTCGTTTTAAGAAAGCTACTGCCTCTTGTTGAGTCCTTCCGATCAAAATGAACGTATTCCGGAATAAGAAGAAGGGCAAAGATGAGGCCGAAAGTGCCCGTCCGTCGATGGAGTCCGAGTCCTCCAGCCCCTTTCGAATGTTTGGCAAAAAGAAAGGCCAAAGCGAAGAAACCAAGCCCGAGCTCGACATCAGCAGTGCTCTTCCCTCCACCGATGACTTCAGAACCAGCTTGCTGATGACTGGCCTCTCGGCTCGTTTTTCTATGCTGCGTGAGCAAGACGACCCTACCACCAAGGTAGGCAAGGCGAGTGATGACAGCGTCCTCTTTCCCCGCGGACAGTCAAATTGGAACCTCGGAGGACTACAAGATATAGCCGAAGTGGAGTCGATAAGGTCACCCTCCATCTCCCGGTTGGAACCTTTCAACATTGATGACTCCGGAAGCGTCATGAACCGGGCGAAGCCCGTCGACGGCAACACTCTCTTTGGCGGCCGACAAAAAGTCTACAGGCTCCCGGCGAACGGCTCTGGAGCGGGAAAGGACGGCCCCATGTCTAGCCGGACGCTACTCGAGGATGATGTCGGCATGTCGGCATTCCAGAAATGGCGGTTGGCAGAGAAGGAAAGGCAGATTGCTGAAGGTGGCGAACCCTCTCCCAATGAGACGGCAGACCTTGAGCCTCAGTCAGGACTTCAGTCAGAGCCTCTGCAAGAGTCTCAGTCAGAACTGCTGTCAGAGTCTCGGTCTGAGACTAGTCGGCGACGAGAGACAAGCTCAACAGTGTCGTCTGTTGCCGCCCGCTATTCCACCGCGACGTCGGTGACCTCACAAGGCGCTCCGTCCGTCAGGGACTCCCAGTTCACGTCGTCCACCTCGTCGTCTTCTGCGGAGCGGAGCGTCCTCCGGACACGACGTCTCTATGAGCAGGGTCTAAGCCGCGATATCCAAGACCAGCAGTCATCAGCCATGTCCAGGATGGATCACCTGTCCAAGGGACGCCCATTTGCATCTGCGATACCGGATGGGGCTTCACCGACTGCCAGTCTGTTTGGCGATCGCATCTTGGAGAGACGGCCGATACTGGCAAAGGCTAGTGCCCCCAACCTGCGGTCATTCACTCCTTCGACCACCAACTCTGCAGCCACTTCTCCTTCTGAGCCCAGTTCCAAGTTTCCGGCCGCTGGTCCCCCCAAGTCGAATTTTGGTGCCGCGCCCATCAGCCCCCCTATGAGTGAGCCAGAAAACCATCCGATGCTTGCTATCCAGCCCAATGACAGGGGCAAGGCCACGGCCATGGGCGTCTTCGAGAGACCAGCTGAGAAATATGATGACTCCACATATGCCCAGCGACAGCTACAGCTACAGCAAGGACGAGAAACGCCGGTGAACCGTCACCGCTCAATGGAATCCAGCGTCTCTGCCACTTCCGATGTCAAGTCTTCATCAGCAGCGCAACCAGAAAAGATTGAATCTGTGGCAACCAAAACAGTAGGCCCCGAAGATCCCCCTTCCTTCTTCGATGATAGCGACGATGACTTGTCCATGCTGAACGGAGCCCTGAATTCCATCAAATTGCCAAATCCAAGTCTGTCAGTTGAAAGACCCAATGACGGCGATCATCCAGCCTTCAAAGGGCCCGCCATCCCTGCCCCTCTCTCGCTCGGTTCCCGGGGGCTGGCTGGTAGCCTTTCGGCTGCGCCCAGTCCTATGCCTGGAGCACCGCCGGACTCTCCCACCCTGGGACCGACTACCGGCTTGAGTGGCATGGTGCGGGCTCATCTGCGCAGCGACAGCAACGCCTCCTCGATCTATCCCATGCCGGAAGAGGATTCGGAGCCGGCTAAGGCGCAGAGTGGTCGGAGCCTGGATCATGACCGTAGTCCAGGCTCAGCACCATTGGCCACCCATGGGCGGGGCCCTATGTCCCGATCACCCTCCCGGCCCAGGATCTCCAACGACGATGTGGAGAGGGAGGAGGAGGATGCATTCGCCCGTCACCTTGCCGATGGCGCTCGACGCGTCCGCGAGAAGCTGGGCTCAATGGTGGATGCCGAGATGGACAGGCCGCCTCCGATGACACCGTCAGCCTTGGAGGGTCCCAAAGATGTCCCCCCTCCGCGAACAAATGCGTTGGGTATCCTCAAATCAAAGTCCAGCCACACCTCGCTGTTTGACCGGCACGCTCGTGACCAGAGTCAGCCTAGGTCCATGAAGATGGTCATGTCGTCGACGTCTAACGGGAGTCTACCACCATCTCGTAGAGGTTCCACGGAGGCCGCAGACGACTCGCGTCGAGGACGGTCAACGCAAGCCCGAGAGCGACCATCTGATGAGGGAACTTCAACGGATAAGGAGGACAACGTCCACGTCGGTCTGAAGGCATTCCGCCAAGCCCGCCTCGAGCTCCAGAAGATGAAGGATCTGGATACAGTGCCACGTCCCTCGGAACGACCTCCGCTGAGCGCACGATTGGCGTCGCACGATGCCGTCGGCCCTCCACCAGCCATGTTTAATAGAAAGGCGCGTGACGAGTCTCGGCATGGAAGTGGTTCTCGCGCAACCTCCCGAGCGGGCTCGCGAGCTCCTTCGGAGCGAGAGAGGAGCGGCTCCGAAACGAGCAACACGGGCCCCCCTCCCCTTCGACCGATGCGACTAAGGAACGGATCGAATGCATACGACGACCAGTACATGCCGGTTAGTCCGCCAGGCAGTGCCAGAAGCGCGACGGGTATGAGGCACGGCCCTCCAAGTGCTCGACAGCGTCCTCCCTATGAGGCAGGACAGCCCTCCCCAATGGCCTCTCCCGTCGGCATGGGCACGAGGTCCAGAAACGGCAGCCTGCTCGGAGCGACGGCGTCGACGCCGAACTTGTTGTCAAATGCAGCAGCCCCTCCACTGCCACCAATCAATCCCCGGCGCAAGACCCTGGGCCGAGGCAGCGAGGATGGCATGCCATCGCCGCGAGTCCCCGGAGGCTTCCCCGGCCTGGATGAGTCGGATGACGACACTCTGGCCCAGCGCCGACAGAAGCTGCGCAAGGCCACAAGCGAAGGCACCAGCCTCAGATCGAGAAACGTCCCTCCTCCCAGCAACGGCATGAGGCCGCCCATGCCTCACGGCGGCAACCCCGGCAGTGACCTTCCGGGCGGCCTCATCTGAGCGCCGCACCGCCGGGTCGAGCTCTACCTCCCCCATCTCTTTTTTGTTCTTCCCAAACGTGATCTGGGCGCATCTCGTTGCTTCTTGTAAGGTGTCACGTCCCATTCAGCCTCCTGAGGCAAACGGAATGGAACGGCAAAGAGACGCCTGCCGATATCGACATTGTAATATTATAACGGCTGTACCCTATCCGACATGACACGTGCGCTTTCTCGATCTTTTGTTTCTGCTGCACTTTCTTGTCCTCTATATGCGACGTATTCTTCATCTTTCATCCTGTCAACCTACTTGTGGGTATATACGTGTTGATGCAGGGATGCAATCTTTTTAGGGAGCGGCTCTGCCTCCTCTCTCTTCTTCCATTCTACTTGTTCTTTTCTCTGTAAAGCAGCGATTTATTGGTGGAACACTTTTCAGGCGGGACTTGAATCATAATCACGGCGTCGGGATCTGCTCTTTCGAAGGAGACATGAGTTGAGTGCAACTCAGCACAGAGAAATCGATTCACACCGGAAAGGGGGACTGGCGGGCGGGGTGGTATCATGGGGAGACGCGGTCGATGCTATCATGAGGCGGATGGTGCGGCGAAGTGCCACTGTGAGTACAGATAGCGTAGCTGCGAAGTAGTGCAATTCATATCCCAACGATGACTTTTGGGTGAATTGAAGATGTGATCAAGAAAGGGATGAGTACGCTGGCCTTGGCTACATATTTCGCCGTGAAGCCGGTGCTGTGCTGCTCCTCGGCGGAGCTCTAGCAATTATGCGCTTGCGAGTTACCATTGGAAACTGATCAATACTCCGATCTCTGGATATCAGGGCAAGTTTACGGTCACGATGATGCAGAGCCTCGGGGAAATGGAAAGAGACGATCCATATGGTCTGCAAGTTTGGCTCAATCAAACAAGGCAAAGGCCGAGCCGGGCATATGGACAACATCTTGGACGCTCCCCGAGCTGAACCAAAAAAGAGGGCGTGAGAGTTACGTTACTTCGGGGCCTGTCGGCTAGCGATTTCCTTTCTCCTAGCTGCTTTTTGCAATGCTTCGGTGTGTGACATCCATAAGAGACCGGGGGAAACAGGGGAGATAGGGCGAAACTGATCTCTTGTGTTATCAATCGTCTTTCAATCCTTTCCCCCACGTAAGGTGAAAGGAGTTGGGGGAATAATGTGTGCCCAGAGAGAAGAGGGGAGGGGTTATTTCTCCGAGACTTGACTCAACTCTACGGATGCTTCTACCTTTTGTCGACACCCGAAGCTCTACAACTTCCGAGCATATATACATCGAAGCCGGGTTTCCTCTGCGGTGTTGGCCTGACGATCTTTTGTTCTGTTCTGTTTTATCTTGCCTCGTCCCATACACTTTGGCTATTGCTCACGCGTCAACTGAGGAGACTAGAGGTATGTACGTTTGAATGAGAAGGCGAGGTTGCGTGAGATTGAAGCTTGCAGAGCTGAGGAAACCGACACACGAACGGCCGGCTTGCACCAAGTTCTGACAGTACAGTCCAGACTCATCAACTTTAGAGTATCACGAGATCCTCTAGAAAAAGGTCGACAAGACTGTAAAAGCGATGGCGTTTATCCGACAGTACAAGCCCTCCGACTTTGACGGCATGGCTCACATTGTAAGTGGAAAACCCTTTTTTTTCCCCAGCTTTTTTTCCCCAGATGTCATCGACGGGACGCTTGGCTCTTATGGCCAGCTCCCGAATCTGACGGTGACGACAAGCTTCCGCCCCCCCTCCTATATACCACTCTTTTTTTCCCATCCTCGTGATCCCTTATTTTTTTTTCTCCTTATTCTAAGCTTGTCACTGCCACTACCCCCTCTTAAATCTCACTCTCTCACACACACTCACACACTCTTTTCTTCTTTTTCCCACAAGTGCCGCGAGACGCTCAATCCGGCGCTCGCCTCGTCCGCGGCCGGCCGTCGCCTGGCCCCCTACGTCTGGACGCACCAGTACACGCACCTCTCGCCAACGACGTGCTTCGTGCTCGACGACGGCGCAGGGCAGCCCGTGGGGTACTGCATAGGGTGTCCCGACATTGCCGCCTTTGTGGCCGATTACGACTCGTACGTGACGGATGTTCTCGACGTCTCACCGGAGGGGGAGGTGACGCGGCCGGAGGATCTCGAGGCCAAGGGGGAGCCGCTGTTTCTGGCGGACGGGAGCGTCAACGAGGTTGCTTTGGCGCGGCTGGCGTATAACCCGCGGTTGTTGCTGGTGGAGGGCAATGATGACTTGTTGGCGGAGTACAAGGCGACGATGCACATTGACTTGTTGCCGGAGGTGCAGGGGATGGGGTGGGGGAGGAAGTTGCTGGAGAGGTTTGTGGGCAGTGTGGAGGGGGTGAGGAGGATGAGGGATGGGAGCGAGAGTCGAGGGATTTGGATTGGGGTTGCGGGGGATAATGGGAAAGTTGTGCCGTTTTATGAGAAGCTTGGGTTTAGGATCAAGGAGAGGCCGGTGGAGAGTAAGACTTTTTTTATGGTTAGGGATTATTGAGGGTGTTGTTTTTCCCCTAAGTAGTATAAATGGTTAAGTCGTGTGTGTGATGACGAGGAGGCTCGTAGATTTGATTTTAGACTTTTTGTATATTGTATATTGTATTCTTGTTTTTCGGAAATCAACAGCTATCCTATCTGTCCCAGTAAATCAAAATCAGGATCGATCCAGCAGAAAAGGGAAGGGAAGAGAAAAAAGCGTCGATGTGCTTTCTTGGTAATAGTACATAATTGCCCGCAAACAACCACTCCGTAGCCCATAAAACCGAGAAACCCAAGAAGTACAGAGATGTTTTGCAAGAGTGCTTTGTCGTAAAAGAGGAATAAGGGTATCGCACGAGAGGTCCGCTCCGGGAAAAAACAGAAAGGAGAAAGGAAGCGTTTCGGTCGTGTTGTTGAGGTCATGTAGTATAAGGGCCAGCCTTGGATGGTTACTTGGGCGGCCGGATGGAGAGTTCTTGCGGTGCCATGTAATGGTTTGTTTTGTGTGGTGCTGATGAGGGTGTAAGTATTGCGCGTTGTCGAGAGATCGATGGTAGTATTGTCGAGACGGACCTCTGTCAATTGAGACGCCTAGTAGTCTCGACAAGTCCTTGTGTGCAGTCGTCTAGCACATGGGGCAGTGGGAGCACTGCTTGTGGCCGCAGCAAGTGCAGGTCGTGCTGATGACAATCATGCCACCGCATTGGCAACAGTACTCGTAGGCAGGCATGATGGTTGTGCTAGGAGTGGGTGATGGTTGAGAGATTTGAAGAGGCTCGTTTGCGAAGAAAGAGGTGGTTCGTGAAGAGAGAGGATATGTAGTAGAGTGTAGTAGAGTGAGGAGAGAGGCAAGGAAAGGGTTGAAGACGAAGAGGAGGAGGAGGAGGAGCAACTTATTATAGTTCAAACGAGGCGGCTGTCTGGGGAGGGTGGGCAGGGCTAAGAGGAGGGAAAATTGTGACGGCACATTCATAAAGCATCTATGTATGGCAGCTTGCTAGTGAAATCAAGGTTGCAGCTAAGTATCACAGCTCAGGACGACTGAGACATGCTATGGCTAGGCAGTAGTGCACTATACGGGGCCACAATGGAGGACGTCTGGCAAGCCGTAGCATCACGGAACCGGTGGAGAGGGTATTACTACTAGTAGTAGTAGTGAGACGAGGAGGCATGACAGGACGGGCATGTGGATGTGGACGATCGGGATGGGATGGGATGGGATGGAGTTCCGCACTTCGGAAGCCATGATTGGCAACTTGTCTAAGAGGGAGGGACACAGGCCGAACAAGATGGCACGCAGCCTTGGCTTGCCCTTTCACACGACCATCTCCGAGACCAAGAAGGACTTATCGGGATTCTGATGACGCATTTCCATCTGTCATGTACCGCATCAGGGCAATTGGGGCGCTGCCATAGGTGGGATGACAAGTAACAAGGACCGGCTGGGATGCGCAGAAAAGTGGCGTCGACGCCAGACAGGGATGAAGTGCGATCTGCCTAGGTAGGTAGTTATTCTGGGTAGTATTGACTAGTATTTGTTTTTGGCATGGGGCCGTTGATTGGACCGCGGGGCCATTGGGGAATGCGCAGCTGGGAGGACCCTCGAAATTCGATTTGATGTTTTTTGATGTCGTTGGATTTCCATGTGAAGCTACAGCGAGTAGGTACTATTATATCGTAAGGTGAAGGACTACCTATTATTGCTGGTGTTTTTAAGATGGGAGTCTCATCAAAGATTAAGTATCTTGTACATCAAGGGCCGGAGTGCTGCCGACAGAGGGGCCATGCGATGACGATGTCGGTTTCACTTCAAGTTCTTCTCTTGCATTCTTTCTGCCTTGTGCCTCTTCGTCCCTCGTCACCCATCGAAATACTGCTACTACTACTACTACCACTATCAAAGAGCCGTTCCGATTCCTCCCGAGCTCTTACTCATTGCCACTTCTACAAATTACCACAGAAAAACACAAGAGCGTGGGATGCTCTCCAGCTCTCTCTCTGTCCACCCAAATCTCGCTTGCATCGCATGACTGGACGACAATCAGCCCATTTGGCCCGTTCGCCCACGGCTTTTGCGTCGCTCAGGCTTGCTTGGCCCTTTTCTCAGCAGGCAGAAGGCCGTCAATCCCCCACGCCACCCCTCCCAGACCATATCATCAACAAACGCCCAACGCAACGCACCCAATTACAATACCTACACTATACGGACATACGATAATAAGCCACCACAACAACCACCACCACACTAAAAGAAGAGACCGGTTGGCGGCTGATTTCTTTGGCTGAAATGGTCAGAGTTTAGGTAGGTAGGGTTGGCTTCTGGCCCGGCTAGCAGGACGCGGACGCGGTTCGACGTGCGGGGAAGCTTGATGCACAGACGAGGTGGCGGCAGGGATGCCGGCACAGCCAACAGCCAGCAGCCAACAGCCAGATATTGATGGGGCTGCTACTGTACTGCTGCAGCTGCAGCTGCATGCTCTTTGGACCATGCAGTCAGTAGTGATATTACCTGGTATTAATGGCTGCATCCAGAACCTCTCTTGCCGGGTCTAGGCTACCCGCGTCGACTCATCACACCGAGTGAATCCTCTTCCGTCTCAGCCGGTGGCCGTCTCGTGTCTTCTGTTTCTCACGCACCAAAGATGGCAGATGGTCATCGTGCCGAGCGAGCAACATTTGACATTGGTCATACTGGAGGAAAAAGAATCATTCAACGTCGACATCAAGGAAGTCTACCTACAGCACAGCACCTTGGATCCAGGTTCCTGTTACATGACAGCACAAGAAAGAGGCGAGATCCAACGAGATCCAGCGGCATGCAAGGGATCGACGACTTGGCGGCAGCCTTATGACGGATGCTCGCAACCAAGCCCCGACTGTGTCTCGTTACAAACGACAAAAAGCTGGATGCCCAAGGGGGCTGTGTCTTGTGGCGAACCGCTCTTCGACGACCTGCAACCCTCGAGATTAGCCGGGACGCCAGCCCTGCTTGCCTGCCTGCTTGCCTGCCATCGTGTGAGACAGGGGTACGTACCTCGACCATTCCAGGCCGCGGGGCAATCCGGGGAAGCGATGCAGCCTCGTCCTCTGTATGTCCATCGACGTCACCGAAGCCGCCTGTATGGCTGCCTTGCTGGTGATGCTTCAAAGAGGGTAGAACCTTTGACGGCTGTGCCCCTTGAGTGGCAAGTGGGCAAGTCACGAGCACTCGTTCTTGGCACGTATCCCTCTCAGCTCAGATTGCCTCCGCCAAATACTCGAGAGATACTGGGGCAGCATTGCACGATGACATGCTCGCGATGAAGCTTCAGGGAGCTGCACATCATTGCCATGGTACGGATCAAGCCCTGATCACAAGCCTATTCTTGGCTACAACGGTGGCGGAGTGATGTTCACATCTTGCCGCTGCTGCAGGCGAGGGAGAGCTCTCAGGTGGATTCTCGAGACTGCAGGTGCGCACACTTTGCTGGAATGCATATGGCAGTCATCCTCGCTGTCCAACCAGCGGTGCTGATTTTGCTACAATATTGCAGCAACACCAAGTCCAAGTCGAAAGCGAACGGATCCAAAGGCAGCACAGTCATTGTGTAAGAGGAACTGAAATGACCAAGGCGGCATTATGTGTGTGATTATGTTATGTTATCAGTGAGAGACGCCGGGCTTCTATCCATCGACGGCCTCTCCGAGAGTCGCCATCACAATGGCATGACTGCTGCCCCCCTCAACCATCACCTCGATTCACTCACGTCTACCCCGTGCAGTACACGCGCATTCACTGGATGCGATGTGTTGACTTCTCGATACGCTCGGCATGACGGTTCACTCGGTGCCAGGTCCCTGTCCTCAACGGGCTGATTCATAAGGTAGGTCATGCCGACACCGCAAGCGCGGCAGAAAGACTTGCTCGTCAGGCCCTCCGAGAACGCATAGCGGCCAATGTCGGCTTTGGATCCCGAAAGGACAATGCTCTCGAACTTTGGGAAAAGCCAGACGTATGCGTTCTGTGTTGCAAGCTTAGCACGGTGGAGGAGTGACAAATGAAGGGCGCAACTTACCCTCTGACATACATGGCAGTTGCAGAAAACGAGACTCTCTTCGCTGGGCTCTTTCAGTGGTCTACACGAGAGTGCCACGGTTACGGCACCGCAGTGGCAGCTTCCAGTGTAAAGCCGGCCGCCTTCAACGATACGCGGCATGTCTCCTTTGTGCTCTGGAGGCTGATACTGGGCGCCAACTTTGGAGTTGAAGATGCTGTGCCCTGTCAGTATCGGATCAGGTCTGAGCCTCATTGCCCTACTCACTATTTCCGCTCCAAGAAACCCACGTCCACGTCGTGAAATGCTCGGGCCTGGGCAATTTCCGTGAGCAGTGGCTTACAAACAGCAGACAAACGTTGCTACGACTCACGTTGAGCAGTAGTTTCATAAATGCTGGGCCGTCTGGCATTCTCGAAAGAAGACTTGTTGCGCATATCGGACAGAACTATACAAGTCAGGGTCAGCAGGCTACTCTAGAGGTATTTACGAGTACTTCTCAGCTACTTCTACCTTGTGAATCTTGCTTCCTGGCCCGAATGTATACGACGTGAGATTCCCTTCGCTTCCATTGACAACTCTGAAGTTGGCGTCCTCGCCGGTCGGGACGTATAGGTTGCCCGTGCGGCGGCAGAAGCTGCAGTCGCATTCCACGACTACCCTCAGCTCGGGGAGGTCGATGTCGTAAACGAAGGCGCCGCAGTGGCAGGATCCGCGATATGTGCGTCGATTTGGCTCGGTCTGCGTCTGTGTCATGATGAACCGGATGAGGTGAGATACAGGCTGAGTTGTGGATGAAGAGTGTTGTAGACGTTGGCGGTGCGTAACATAGGATGAAGTACACGAGTTGAGTCACCTTATTTGTATGCCTACTTTATATATGCTCCTATGTTGTCAATATCTGGCAAACTTGTCTACTCTGCGCTCCCAGTCATGTTCCCCAACAAAGCACTGCTTTGATACATGTACCAGGCATGCTCACGCTTTAGGAAACAGACTAGCGTCAGATGGCATCGGCCTCGCCCTGACTACGCCAGACCTGAAATCTCAACACAAACAAGGACAAGGTGACGGACAATGGGCCAAGGACAGGCGGCCGGGGACGGATCTGGCTCCAAGTGGAGATGGAACTCTGGACTAGGTAGATTCGTTGTTGATGCTGTACATTATGTGCACTTGGCGGCGAGGGTCCGGGGCAAGGCCAAGCTGACGTCCTTCGTTGGGACTTGAGAGATTGATATGGCATGCTCGAAAGAAAGAGACGAACAGTCATACCTATTAAGAGCATTGAATAATGAAACATTTACTACATTACTTGGTTTATGCGCCGGAATGGTTGTTAAATCGTGGGATCCGTCACCTTCATCGCATCTTTATGTGACTTGGACCAGGAACCATGTATGCCACCCAACAAACGTACAATGTTGACATGTTGTACATACAACGAAAGACGACTGAAAAAACTCAGCAACATAAGTCGAAAGTTGTTAGTTCAATCCTCTTTTAGTCCTTCCCAATCCGTCAGATGAGAATTGCTATCTTTCAGCTGAGAGAGAGACGCTGTGCTGGTCCACTCTTTTTTCTTTTTGTTCAGTAATCATTTGGTGTTGGAGCTGCTTTTTGTTGAGGTGGGAGGGCCGAATCTTGGATATCCTTTGCAACTCTTCAATCCGTAGAGTTGAGCTTTGGACTTCTGGGACAGTGGTGTTGATAATTTGGCCTTATGGTAGCTGTATAGCGGTATTGAATGAGTTTGCTCTTGCTTGTATTGTTTGCTGCGTGTTTGAAGAGGTGACAGTTTGGCGGCCCTATTTGGGTGCTGGCCGTGCGCCAGCACTCGGACTGCTTTTTTTGGGTAGATGGTCCTGGAGATGAATATTAGAACATGTTTTCGAGGAATTGACGAGAATGAGGACGTATGGATCAGATGTGGATGGGAAAAAAGAAATACACACTCAAGCCGTCTCGCCAAAAGTCAAGGTGCATTCTCTCGCAAGGAGAAGGAGAATCTGACTTACAAGTTTCTCGCCAAGGCCTTGCCCAGACGTTTGCTTATGGAAATGCATCTGAACTGAGTGATGTTTCCTTTGATATGCTTTCTTCGTTGATGAGCGAATGTATGTTTGCCATGTGTTTCCCATTACAAGGTTGTGTCTTGGTTGGAGAGTGTTACACGTCTGGAAAGTGGCAGATGGGTTTTGCTGTTGCAGTTCGAGATTGACGGAGAATCATGTTGGCGCGCGCTGATTCCGAGACCGCAGTTGGAATATTCATCATGGCCGCCAATGGCACTTGAAGGGGAATAGTTGCGCCCCTATAGGTGTCCCGGAGCGGCGGCTATGAGAGTACGTGTTGCGTGATCGTACGGGTATACCAATTGGCTGCCGATATAGAATTGAGTAAGCCTTCATACTATAAAGTCGAAGTGATGCCACTGCCATATACGGCCAGAAACTGAATGCGGACCCCTAAAAACCGACAAATCGTGATGTTTCTTCGTGCAAGAGAGGGATGACAATAGTGGCTGGATTTCCCTGACGGTGTTACGCCAGTAGGTAGTTGTTGGTCTTTCTTCTGTCTGATTAGGGGACTGCATGTGTGAATCAGTTTCTGTCGTTGAAGCAATGTAGATTGCATCCCGATTCGTCGCGGACTTTTTCTCGGTGTGTCCGTTGCGAGGAGCCCGCTGCCTGGGTGGCAGGCATTGTGTGTGTAGCGCCAGATGTCGTTCGTTGCGAAGTATAGGTGCCGGGACAGGGACGGGGTCGAGAAGGAAACAATGTGAGAGAAGGAAGCTCCAAGCCTCAAGGGCTCATGACCTGACCTGTGGAAGGGTGAGCTATGGAAACTGCCAGCGTCCCTGATGCGTCGAAGAAGACATCGGTGACATTGCTGAGTGATGATGGCCTTGTCAAGCCGATCGTGGCCATCCATGGCTTGAGGGCCAAACTGCCTATTGTCTCCCATCCATATAGCAGGAGAAATAGGCAAGGGCAGTTATTGGCAGCAGACATATGTCCTTGGGTACTCGACTCGCTTCATCCACTACAATGGAAGAAGGTTAGTTGTCCTTCATGTGGATGGTCAGCAGATTTAGGGGCACTGGAGTTGCAGCAATAACATACGCTTGACATGTGTATCCTGCAATCTTTATGTGTGATTTTGTAAAAGGGTGAGGGGCGTTCGAGTTGTATTTGACCTCGGTTGAGATTCAGGTAGTAAACCCTTTCCCGTATTTGTATCAGACATGTCGATAATGGTATGAATCTAGTCGTGGAGTGGTCTTTCGATTCGGATAGCGAAGAGACTCTGTGGTAGAAGCATGGCTGCTCCAGCTTCGACGGCTCCCTCGCCAATGTCTTTTTATTCTTGCGAGCTATAGGTCCCGCCACGTGGGACTAGAAATTGTGGCCTTTATGGTTGATGCTCGTAGGGGGTCATGATGTTAAGCCGCGTCAACGCGGTCTGGTGGATAGAGAGCGGCAATGATGGATGGAAAGGAAACTTGAGCGTGCCAGGGCCGGCCTGTAAGAAAGACCCACAGGTTGGAAGGCGGTTTGAATACATTGGTGAGCCGTGCCATCTCTGCTCTCATTTATCTTTAGCAACGAGGGTCCGAATGTGGTGACTTCTTTTCCGGGAGCAACAGCTGTTGGCTCTTCGGGGTGCGCATCTGGAGTGCGAAGAGGGAGGGGCTCAATGTCAGAAAAGGGTGGTGGTGGTGGTGGCGAGATGAGATGCCGACTTACATGTTCTCTTCAACCGCCAGGACGTATTCCTGCAATATTTTCGTTGGCTCAGACACTCTCCTCAACTCTCGACGCCTCGATCAGTAGTTGGGCCATGGGCGACGTTTTATGAAAGGCGAATATTGGCTTTCGGATATGGAGCAAGCTGCTGGCCGAGCTTCTGTTTGCTGTCTAAAAAGGAGGCATGATGATGCAAGTTTTCTGTGTTTCTTGCGTTTCTTCATCTTGTGTATCAGTCTGTGAGGATTTTTGATGAGAAAGAGATGAAAGAGCAGAGCCGACAGAGGGAGGTCACGAGGAGTATATAAGGCCTCCCTGACTCTGTTCAAATCATCATCCTTTTCTTTAGGCAGGGGAAATTGAGGCAGCGTGTTAAGAAATGTCGGTCAACGGGTAAGTACTCTGATGACGACTCGTGAGGCCTCTGATGTCCGTAGCCGCCAGACATGAAGCTTACCGCTTTTGTAGCTCTCTCACGCTGTGATTGTAGATTGAGATCCATCTACAACACCCATGATTGTATACATTCCTTCTGGACTTCATAAGCTACAATCTTCAGAGACAGTCCATGATTCAAGCTCATTGGTCTCACGCATCAGTTGTTCCAAAGTTGCTGCTCAAGGGCAGCTGTCGGTTGTAAGTCATCACAAGCGCTTACTTGTAGGCAACCGGCAGATCTGGGGAGCAGCTGGCCGTCATCTGCCGGCAAGCGGAGCAACAGAATCCTGCCGGCTGAGTCAATCTCCCGGTCATGACGGCATAAATCTGGTAGGTGCATATCGTCAAGTCCAGCTTCAGCTGGAATGATCCAAGTTAATCATGCCGAGAACATTGTCAAGCCGAGGCAGCAGAGGGGACAATTCGAGTCAAGCAATGTGGCTGCAGCTTAGCCCCTAGCCTCAGTGGCTGTGCCCAAGGCACCTTCACCAGGCAGATCTCAAAAGTGAGACTGCTTTCTATCCCAACAGCTTCAACGCCAGCCAACCAGCTGCCTCAATTGGCCCAATTTGCTGGAATTGCCAATGCCAAAGCGTCGCTCAGCCTCCAATGCGCAAACCGAGATTTCATCCTTCTGCCAGATCGACCCCTTGCTAGTGCGGCTGTCCTATCGGATGTCTCTCCTGCGTTGTTTATCGCCTTTCCGGCATGTGTTTTCAACTTCTTATTGATCCTACGGCAAGGCCTGCCGAAAAGGGGCAACGGTGGCCGGTGAACGGGGAACGGGGAACTCTTGTCATTGATGCCTTGAGAATGTTTGACGGTGAAGTTGACCATCACTCTGAGGATTAGTCCAGCTCTAGTCCAGCTCGGCGGGTGAATCACAGGCCGTGTCTTACAAGGGAGGGAGCGTGTGCCGAGGTGGAGGCTCTCCAGCCCAAGAGCTGCTGCGGCTGAAGGGCACCGACTAGCCTCGAGAAAGGCGAACTGGCCAATGGTCAGAGCAACGGCATCTCTGTTGCAGTATAAGTACGGCAGTTGAGTTCCTCTGTCGAGCATGATTGGGAAGACGTCCATCGTCTGGTTGGACCCTCCTGGTTGATCATTGGTTGAGTCTGGCTGCCACCCCATTCGTCTCCCCTCCACATCTTGCATGACCTTGTCTCCTCTCTGTCATATCCTGCCCAAACTCTGCGCACTTGTACATCAGGAGACTGCAGCACAAGCTCACAGCCATGACCAATCTCAACAAACACCATCAGCCGACCGACGTTCCGCTGGTTCATGCCCAGCTCGAGCAGCTCTCCATCGCTGAGAACAAGCCCAAGCAAGCTGCAGGGGATCCGCCTCCCTACGACGCCCACTCCGGCCCTGTCGACCTTCAACTCCATCACATTCCTTCCAAAGAGGCTCTTCTCGTCAAGATCCAGCCGCCCAAGGAGCCCGCAAAGCCAATCAGCCATGTGGCCTGCGACATTGTCCTAGTGATTGACGTCTCCGGAAGCATGTGCGCAGCGGCCCCAGTCCCCGGCGAAGGAGGCGAAGAGACAGGTCTGTCAGTCTTGGACCTGACCAAGCATGCGGCCTTTACAATCATCGAAACCATGGACGAGAGAGATCGTCTAGGCATCGTCACTTTCGAGACCGAGTCCAAGGTAGTGCAGTGTCTTGAACCCATGACAGACACCAACAAGGAGCAAGCCCGCGCGAGAATCAAGGCCCTGCGACCACTGGGCTCGACCAATCTCTGGCACGGCATGCTGGACGCAATCAAGCTCTTCACCAAGGAGCTGAGCCGCAGCCACCGGGTGCCGGCCATGATGGTGCTGACAGACGGAGAGCCGAACCACATGTGCCCGCCCCAGGGGTACATCCCGAAGCTGAGGGCCATGCCTCCGCTGCCGGCCACGATCCACACGTTTGGCTTTGGGTACACTCTCCGATCCGGGCTGCTCAAGTCCATTGCCGAGTTCAGCGGTGGCAATTACGCCTTTATCCCGGACGCGGGCATGATTGGGACCGTCTTTGTTCACGCCGTTGCCAATCTGCAGTCTACGTTTGCAACCAATGCTTCGTTGACTCTCAGCTATGCGAGCCCTGTCAAGGTCGAGCAGACAACTGGTGACGCTGTGAATCAGCAGGCGCCGGTTGAATTCGGATACCGGCAGAGGAAACTGACGATATCGTTGGGAAACATTCAGTATGGACAGTCGCGCGACCTTTGGCTTCGTCTCAGGGGCGCTACACAGGAAAAGCAGGCCTCGGACTCGGTCCTACTCGAGGCCACTCTCGCCTTTGAGGAGGCAGGGAGGTCATCATCATCATCATCATCATTAGTCTCAGCAAGACTCGGCGGCAGCGATGCACTTGATGCGGAGACTCTCTCGCCTGCCGAAATGGCCTACCAAGAGTCGCGAGCACTCATCCTCAGCTTCATCTCAACCCTGTTCCCTCTCGCATCAGACGGAGAATACAAGTCCCTGACACTAGCCAATCAACAAATCAAGAAACGAGAAGAACTGTCGCAGCTCATCGAAACTCTGCCCAGCGGAGACTTCGCCGACAACCTAAACAAATCCTTGCTGGAAGATCTCTGCGGAGAGCATCCCAAGGGCCAAATCAGCCTCGCCCTCTCCACGCCGCACTTCTTCACCAAATGGGGCCGGCACTATCTGCCGTCGTACGCAAACGCCCTCAGCCGCCAGATCTGCAACTCGTTCAAGGACTCGGCGCCGCTGCAGTTCGGCTCCGAGAGCCCGCTCTTCATCGCCTGCCGCGACAGGCTGGACACTGCCTTTGACAGCATCCCCGCCCCTGAGCCGTCCAGAGTCGTCTTGAGCAGCAGCAGCAGCCGCCGCCGTCGCCAATCTTCTGGCGGAGGAACCACATCTCACACTACTACTACTACCACTACTCAGCCTTCGTCCATGGCCAGGTATCGCAATTCGTCGGGCGTGTGCTTTGCCGGCTCGACCGCCGTGGAACTGGCCTCGGGCAGGGTCACGGAGATTCGAAGGCTGAGGCACGGCACTCGCGTGCGCACGCCCCTGGGATCGAAAAAGGTGGCCATGGTCCTCAAGACAAAGGTATCAAACGAGACGCTGTGTCGCATCGGCTCGGTGCTTGTCACGCCGTGGCATCCTCTCTCGACGGACGGCAAAGGCTGGGACTTCCCCGCCAGCATGTCGGATGACGCGGTTCTTTATACTGGCAGCATATACTCGGTCCTCCTGCAGCCTGACAGGAGGCCGGATGCCCATGCCATTCGCGTGGGCGATGCCTGGGGCGTCACGCTGGGACACGGCATCATGCGAGGCGACGACGCTCGCGCCCACGGGTTCTTTGGCGACTACCGGAGAGTGAAGTCGGGGTTGATGAAGCTGGACAGCGCCGGCAGGAAAGGCGTCGTCCAGGGGCGAGGCATCGAGCGAGATGCAATGACGGGGCTCGTCAGGGGCTTCAGGCGGACTGGAATCACAAAAGGGGGGGGGGGGGGGGGGGGGCAGCACAGACATCTAGTGACAGACGCTCTATTGCACGGTTCTGAACTTACTACCAAGTAATATACATGACGATAGGTAGTGTAGCTTTGATATACCTAGAACATGACACAAGTCCTTCTTCTCCCCAAGTCGTTACTCCCGCACAAACACGCCCGCCATGCCCATGCCCGTCCCAACACACATACTCACAACACCAACCCGCCCCCCTTCCCGCTTCAGCCCATGCATCAACGTGCTCGTCATCCTCGCCCCCGTCGCCCCCAGGGGATGCCCCAGCGCGATCGCGCCCCCATCCGGATTCACCCTCCCCCTCTCCCACGCCTCCATGAGCCCCAGCTCCCGCAGGCAATACACCGTCTGGCTCGCAAACGCCTCGTTAATCTCCCACCTATCCACATCCTCCCTCTCCAGCCCCAGCCTCCTCAGCAGCCTCGGAATCACAACCGCCGGCCCGACGCCCATCTCATCCGGATCGCAGCCCGCCGTCGCCGCAGCGACAAACTTGCCCATGACGCGATGCCCCAAGCCGAGCTCCGTCGCCGTGCTCCGCCTCATCAGCAGCGTCGCCGCCGCCCCGTCCGAGATCTGGCTCGAGTTGCCCGCCGTGCTGGTCCCGTCCTCCGTAAACGCAGGCTTCAACCTCCCCAGCGCCTCAACCGTCACGCCATCCCGAATGCCATCGTCCCGCGCAACCGTAATCTCGCGCGGCTGCCCCTCGCCCACGGGATTCCCCTGCTTATCCACGTCCTGGAAGCGCGTCCGCACCGGCACAATCTCCTCATCAAACCAACCCCGATCCCTCGCCCTCGCAGCGCGCACATGCGACTCCGCAGCCACCTGGTCCTGCACCGCCCTGCCGACGCCATACCGCACAGCGACGTTCTCCGCCGTCAAGCCCATTGGCATCACGCAGTCCCTCACATTCTTCTCATCAGACTGCTTCAGCGCAGGCCAGACGTTGACGGGAATCGCTTTACTCCCGTAGTTCCTCGTCATGCTCTCCATGCCCGCCCCGATGCCCGCGTCCACCATGCCCGCGCCAATCTGCGCCGCCACGAGCGCGATGCTCTGCAGGGACGACGCGCACGCCCGGTTCGCCGTGAAGAGCGACGTGCTCGTCGGGTAGCCCGCGTGGTTGAGCGCCATGCGCGCCGCCTTGGAGCCCCCCAGCTCGGACAGCACCACGCCCACGCCCACGTCGTCGACGACCGCCGCGTCCAGCTCGGGGACGGCTTCGCGCGTTGCCTTGAGCACCGCCGCCAGCAGCTCCTCTGGGTAGGCGTCTTTGAGGCCGCCCTTGTAGGAGCGGCAGATGGGCGTGCGGAGGGAGCTGAGGATGACGGTGTCGGAGGGGGATTTGGTCAGGATGGCGGCGAGGCCTTTGGACATGGTGGCTGTGTGTGTGTGTGTGTGTGTTGAGTTGTGTTGTGCTGCTGATGAGTGAAGCCTGTGGTGAAGTTGATTGAGAAGCTATGAAAGTTGATTGAGAAGAGGTATGAAAGTTGATTGAGAAGAGGTATGAAAATTGATTGAGAAGAGGTATGAAAGTGATTGAGAGGAAATATAAACACAAGGGCTCACATGAACAGGTATGAAATGAACTCGCATCCGGTGTCATTGACTTGGTGTTATGGACAGTATTAATGAACCTCAACTTACATACACATCTCCCCGCCACTAACCCCCAATAATAAACCCACCTCCCCGTATCCGCCGCTGGCAGTTGCTGTCGGCAATGGGGTTCTCCTACTATCTTCAACGCTGTAGGTTCGCCCCCCCTCAGTCAGCACTCAGTGGATGCTATCAACTATTTTCCAGTGTCGGGTCCATTATACATACCGGCTCTAGGCGCTGATTCCGCTCCATTTCCCGCTCATATCTGGCGCTGTCCGGAACTGAGATCCGGCAATGACGCCGTTCCGCTCCCCCTTTGCCGGCAAAGGTCTTATCCCCCCCCTTCTCATAACGCACGGCTTCGACATAGACCTACATGACAAAACAGGTCTTGATAATCTATTATTAACTGTTTCTAAAGTGATTTGACCTTTTTTTTTTTTTTTATGGCTTCCCTAAGTCAGACGACCTAGTCAGTGGCCGCCCCCAGTCCATGGCCACCGCCATTTCGCCCCGCTCGCCTAACCGACTTTCCCCTTAACACTAATAACCCACACTTCAAGTTGCCACAACTCTATTATTTATTAGTCAATTTTCAATCTATTTAGGTATTTTTAACTATTATAACCGACTCTATTAAAAAAGCAATCTCTTCCACGCTTAGAGACATTAAACAAGGTATATTATAATAAAAGGCTGCGCAGCGTTAAGGGATCCCCCGCTTAACTCTACAGAAGCATCTAAACAGCAGCTTACTAAGGTCTAAGGTATACGAATTCCTTTAACGCCTTTTTAAAAAGCAGGAATCTCATCTTATTTAATAGATCCTAGTTTAGGGCAATCTAGGTCTTCCCCCTACATATTAGCAGGTTAAGCAATTTACAATAAGAATCCTTAAAGCTGGCAGTAATAATAAGCCACTAGGAAAACAGTAAATAAATAGCTTTTTATACTGCAATCCTAAAGTCAGGACTTTATAAAGTAAGCCTATTAATTCCTATTATTTAAATAAAGCTATAACTTAAGTTATTAAGGATTTCTTTTAGTTATAAGTAATACCAGAAGTTAAGGACATTCCTATAAAGCACTAATATAATATAAATAAGACTAGGATCCTTAAGGGCTGCAGCACTAACAGACTTATATTAGGCTCTACTGCTAAGAAGGCTATACTAAAAAAATAACCTAAATTATAATACTAGACCTCTATCCTTAAGTGTATCTTAGTAATAGGCATAGTCCTTCCTCTATTAGTTATCTTTAAAGGCCTAACAGTCTAGCAGTAATAGTTCCTTAAGGAAGTAGAATTCCTAGCTAACTAGGTCTTTAAGTCCTTAAAGAAAGGCTAGACTAATAATAAGATTATAATCTAGTGGCTATAAAAGATCTTCATTCCCTAAACCAAGCCTAAGACTCCTTCTAAACAGCTACTTATTATTAACAGCCACAGCAGCCACTATATAAACAACTTCCTCTATAAATACTTTAAAAACAATATCTATCTCCTCTTCCTACTGCTGCACATATCCCACATCCTTCAGCCGCTTAATATCTCAATTTTCTCGCCTATTAAGTTATACTATTATTAAAAGTTAGCTAAGTTTAAAGACTATAATAACTCCACGCCAGCAGAAAAGAGGATCTTCCTTAAATACTATTCTACAGCTAGAAAGCTTAGTCTAATAAGTCAGAATATACTAGCTAGCTAGCATAGCTCTAGTCTATAGCCAGTTAATATAGTAAAGCTGTTAATAAGTTAACTAGTCCTTCTAAAACCTCTAGCACTACAGAAAACACTAAAGAAAAAAAAAGACGCAATCCCAGATACTATTACTAAGCTATAAACGCCTTAACAATTACAGCAAGTTAAAAAAGCAGTTAAGGCAATTAAGATAGTATTACTAAGGACCTAGCTTCTTCTATAAAAGCTTAAAAAGCAGCTAGATAACCAGAACATTATAATCGCAGCTTCTAAGGCTACTATTTAAAAGCTACAGCGCTAACTTAAAAGCCTTTAGCTATAAAAGAAACAGAAAGTTAAAGAGAATCTAAATAGTCAGTTTATTAAGATCCAGGAGATTATTAACACTAAGAACAAGATTATAAAAGCAGCCCAGGCCAAGGCCTTAAAGGAAGATATAGCCAAGGCCTTAAAAGAAGAGGAAGAGCATAATTTTTATTATATATTTCTATTAAAATAAAGGCATCTTGCCTTTCTTCCTTCCTAACTTCCTAACTTCCTAACTTCCTAAGCTTATTACTATAGTGTAGCCACTTCCTAGGTCATGGCCACTAAGTACATTAAAAATGGCCACTTTCTAGGTTATAACCTAGAAAGTGGCCATTTTTAATATAGAAGGTGGCCATATTACGTAAAACGTGGCCACAGACCGGGGGCGGCCACTGACTAGGTCGTCTGACTTAGTACATAAACACTTGCCGCCATCATTCCCAAGCCCAGACACTTGAACTGGAATCCGATCAACCTGTGCCGTCGTGCCCCGTGACACCAGACCCCTTAGCCGATCCCGTGCCGACCATCTCCGTCCCGCTTCAATTCTCTTACTGACCGCTATTACAAGCAAACCTCCTCCCAAACATGCAAGCCAAATGAAAACAGATGGTGTGTCATCATTCATCAGAAAGGAACAGAAAACTCGGGGAATAATAGACCGCACAGCCCACCCAAACATACAATTTCAACATCGTCCAGCCGTGACTGCGGAAAAGTTCACACTCATCTCAAATAACCCGCTTCTTCCACAAATCTGAACCGAGCCAGGCTCATCCAGTTGTCCGCTCTTTCGCATCTTTCAATCTCTTGTTTATTGCCCGTACTGAATCCCCAGCCCAACACGCCGACTCTCCGACGCAGTCCCGCTAGCCCTCAGCTTCTTCTGCGGGCTCTCGCCGTCATCGGCGCCGGCTTCACCGTCAACGGCCAGCTTCCGCTTCTCGGCCCCGGTTGCCGTTCTGCCGCCGGCAAACAGCTTGGCCTGCATGGCTGCAGATTTCTCGGCCGGCCCCGCGGTGCCGTCCCGGACCGATGAAGATGCCGCCCTATGTCCCTGGCCCGGGTGCCGACGCAGCAGCTCGGCCGCCGCCTGGCTCGCCTGGCTGTCCTCGAGCTGATGGTCATCTTCTTGTGAGCTGACCAACTCCCCAGCAGGTGCCTCTCGCGATGACAGCGACTGCACCGCCTTTACTGATTCCAGGGCCTGTCGAGCAAGCTCCTCCGTGTCCTCCACCGAGATGGTGCTCTCGCGTCTTCTTCGCCGCGATGACCTCTGGGACGGCGGCGTCGTCGGGACGAATCGTCGCTGCGAATAGCGGGATCTGGGTTCCGTCTGCGCCACCAGGTCCACCGACGGCAGCAGCCCGGTGCTGTCGCTGCGTAGTCTGCTCGACGGAGTGGTGGGCAGCGAGGACATGGACTGGGCGTTGCGTTGGTGTCTCCTAACCAGCCGCGCAGCAGGCTGGGCCATGACCATGGGCGTTGACGGCGCGCTATTGTTGTTGGCTGCTGCCGTCGCCATCGCGTTGTTGTCCTGCGTTTGACTCTGGCTCATGGCCTCCAGCAGTGCCGAGAGCCCGTGCTCCCTTCCGTCGGTATCGTCCCGATGCAGGGCGCGGGATGTCCCGATGTGGTGAGGATGATGGTGCTGCTGCTGCTGCTGGTGATGGTGATGGTGATGGTGATGTTGCTGCTGCTGCTGTTGCGGCTGCGATGTCGACGCTGTTGCTTGTTTGGGCGTCAGGGCGCCGTGAAAGATGCCGCCCGGGCTGCACAGCATGTGAAAGTGCTCGCGATTCTCCCGGATGCGGTTCAGCAGCATCTCGCGCTCCTCCACCAGCGTCATGGTCTCCTCCATCTTCTGCTGAATCACCTTCTTGGCCAGCTTAAACTTGTGGCTGAGCGCCTCCTTTTCCTCCACCGCCGCCTCGTACCACATCTTCATCTGCAAGTACTTGTTCTGCAGCGACTCGGACGCGGTGCTGAGCTCCCGCCTCGCCTGCCGCGAATGCTCCGCCATCCGCAGGGCGTCCACTTCGCGACGGACCATGTCGTGCTCGACCGCGGCGCGCTTGGACTCCTCGTCCGCCTGCAGACTCAGGAGGTTATACTGCAGCTTGTGGTGCGCCGCCTCCATCTTGAGCTTCTGGTTCTCGGCGATGCACGTCTGCAGCATGGCGCGCAGCTCGTCCGCCGACGCCTCGAGCACCTGGTGCGGCGCGGGCGGCGTGTAGTCGGACTCCAGTTCTCGCTCCCGCAGCGTGTTCAGTATGGTGGCCGGCGGTGAGAAGAGGGTCGACTGCTGCGAGTTGGAATAGGTGCGTCTCGAGGCACCGTTGCCGGCCGCGACCTGCGTGGACGGCGGTGGTGTCAGCGACGACGGGATAACGGTGATGGCCGGCCGGTCGTCCACAGCCTCCGTCTTGAACGACTGGCCTGCGTCCATGGGTGACCCCGGGACCTCTGTGGACGGGAGTGTCGTTTGTGACAGCGAATGCATGCCCACGTCTTGAGGTGTCGTCGGGTCAAGGCCACCGACAGCAGGCTCCTCGACGCTGCCATTGACGCGAGGAGCGTCCGCCTCAGAGTCAGAGGCCATTGTAGATCGAGGTATGGAGCACGGTATCCGTGATGTGTGTAAATTCGAGGGTAAATCGGTATTCGAGCGAGTGGAGGCGACTCTTTTGCCGGGATCCTGCCCTTTCTAGCTATCTTGCGGACAGCCAGCAGCTCACAGATATCAAGGGAGAGCTGCACAGAGAGAGAGAGAGACAGAGATGTGGATCCTAACAAGCACGAGTCCGCCCTCAGTCTCCCTCGAGGCGCCTGAGCAAACAAGAGACACTCCCAGACACGCCTCGTGACTAGAGAACCGCGACCCGCGTGTCGTGACCCGTGAACCGTGGATCGTCAACCCTGAGCCAAATCTCGCAGAAACAGCGACAGGCTGGACACAATTGAGTCGGGTCGAATTGAGCACGACCTCTCCAACCGCCCCGCGTTGCGACAAACAGCAGACAACGGATGCGTCTGCCTGGTGATCTGGAGTAGCGTTATCCCATCGAATTGGACCGTATCGTCGCCGTACTTGCTGCTCTACAAGCTGCTCGTCGTCTTTGAGTCTCTCCTATAAGCATCCGTGCCAGTAAGCGGAGAGGCACAGCCAGAGAGTCGAGCTGTGGTTGTCGAACGGGGTCGTGCGTTGGTGTTGCATGCGTGAATGAGGAAGAAAAAGAGGGTGGTGGCACTTGTACGAGGTACCTGCCTTACCTTACCTTACCTCACCTTTCGCCAGCCAGCCGTCTCATTTCGTGCAGCCTGCAGAATAGGTACCTACAAGGGAAAAGGTACCTACCGGGAACGGGAAAAACAAAATCTCGGATTACAACAGGCGCTAGGCCCAGTCCGGGGCCTGGCCCAGCAACCAGCATCTCTTTATGCCTCAAAATGTTTCTTCATCATGACCGCTTTTCTCTTCTCAACGTCTCATTTCTGTCAATTCATGATGAAACTCATAATTGCTTGCTTTCCTTTCGTCTTATTAGTATATACGCGCCTACAACACTCCCTATTCTCTCTCATGCCGCCAAAGCAATGCGCCAATATCCCTATTCCATTTTCCAACCCACCACCTACCCTATAACCCACCTGAAAAACCCCCAAAACACCAAAACTCCCCATATCACCACCACCACCACCACCACCACCACCATCAACCTCCCCTCAAACTCCCTCATCCTCCCCCTTCTCCCCCTCCCGTGGCTGCAACATCCTCGCCTCCCTCCTCTTCTTCCCCATCAACCCAACCCACCCCTTCACAACCCTCACCCCCTTCCTCACAACCAGCACCGGCAAAATCACCGGCCACAGCACAATCACCACCACCCACCAGCCCACCACCAGCGCCCTGTCCCTCCGCGTCCCCTCCGAATCCAGATACCACTCGGGGATCCACCGGCCCGCCTTGCCCCGGCCGTTGATGCACAGGATGCAAATCACCCCAAACAGCAGCCACCCGGCGATCGAGACGGGGATCAGCACCCGCACAATCGCCCGCGGGTCGTACGGCGTTCCCTCGCTCTGGAAGCCGTCCTCCGGGTGGAAGCCGCCGTCTTCCGTGCTCCACGGGTACGGGTACGGGCTTATTGATGTGCTGGTTGCGGTTGATGATGATGATGACGCTGCTGCGGCTCTTGACGGTGGTGATGCTGTGATGGTGCTATCGCGGCTGAATCGGTGGCTGTGCGGCGTCGTCCTCTTCGAGCTGTGTTTGTTGCTGCTGCGCATGGCAAACTTTGCAGCCGAGGGATCCATCTTGTGAAAACAATGATATGTGATGTGTGCTATGTGATGTGTGATATGATATTGACAGCAAATGGTACAGCTGTTGATGCGATTGCTAGGTAGGTAGATAGAGGTGAGGACGACCAAGGACTACTTGAAAGATTGATAGAACCAAAATAACCTCGGAGATGGTCTTGGGCAGTCTTTCCTTGCTCACATTGACTCAAGGCATGAAGAATCAGAGTAGCACCTACCCCCTGAACCTGCTCGACACGCTCATTTACATGGTGAGAGAGTCGGCTTCTAGTAGATGCCGAATGTGGTACTTACCTTACTGATAGCTCATACGCCTCTACATATTACCTTACTGTTTCTCCATCTAGGCGCGTCTCAGCAATATCCCAAGTGCTCAGAGGTAACAGATATATACATTACTGATTAATAAATACTGCCCGCGCGCCTTCGTGCAAGCCCAACTGGTATATCTACCTACCTTTGCTACCGTTCCATAGTTATCCATACTCCATACATCGTTCTACCTTGTGCACCCGCAGTTCACCCATGTGATAATATACAGTTCTGTCCCCATCACGGGCAGACCAAATAATGTAAATAGCAGAAAATAGTACAGACCCTTTGCTGTAACCATGAGCCAAGTACTGGGCAAGGCAATCGAAAGCCAAGCCTCCGAGCTTATGCATACTAGTCCAAGTCGGAGTCGTCGTCCTCTCCATTCTCGGCTCTCCATTCTTCCATCTCGGCAGCCGGAACGCGTCCTCGGAGCCACCTCATCGTGGCGGCCGTGCCCTTCTCCAGGATGTTCCACTTGGGCACCTTGAACCGGTTGCCCGCCACCTCGAGCCGCTCGAGCCCGTCCTTGCCGCCTAGCAGGCCCAGCCGGGGATCCAGGTGAGCAATGTTGTTGCTCGACACATCAACAACTTTGAGGCCCTTGATGGCAGCTGGATCAAGTTCCGTTAGTTGGTTGTTTGACGCAAGCAGCACCTTGAGGCTGGGGAAGCTCTGCTTCAGATCCAGCGGCAGGGCGGTGAGGCGATTGAGCGAGACGTCAATCTTTTCCAGTGCAGGTGCTTTAAGGAATGTTGTCAACGGACCTAGGCTGGTGATGGTATTCGAGCTCAAGTTGAGTTCCGTCAGAGCCGGCAGGCTCAGCTCCTCGCTGAGGTAGGCCTCGCCCGAGAGCTTGTTGTGGCCCAGGGACAGAGATGTCAGCGTCTGCGAGAAGAACTGCAGCGACCCGGGGAACGCGCTCAGGAGGTTATGGTGAAGCTGCGCCTGCCTGATCTGGTAGCTCCTCGACAGCTCGGCACACATTTCGGGGCTTAGGGAAGACGCTTCGGTTCGTGAACGGTCCAGGAGTCCGCCCGGCTTGACCTGCCAAGTCTCCTTGAGGACGGTTTGAGCACGGGATCTGGCGGGCGAGTGCGGCGCAGACGTTGGAGGCGTGGCAAAGTCCTCGTCGCCCTCCGACCTGTCCGTATCCTCCGCGGCGATTGTCGCGACCTTGTCCGGCTGTGGCTTCTTCTCCGCGTCTGGCGGCGTGATGATGGTGGCGATCGGTGCTTGGGATACGGGCTCCTCGTAAGGTGGAGGAGGCTCCAGCCGCGCCGACAGCGCTTCCTTGATCTCGTCTGTCGACGCCGAAGCAAACTTCTTGTCACGGAGCGGGTTGCCGCTCAGTCGCAGCATCGTGAGGCTGTCCATTCGAGAGATCTCAGGCGGCACGACCCGGATGTCATTGCTAGAAAAGTCGGCCTGTCTCACTTTCTCGAGGCTGGTGAAGCTTAAGGGGATGCTGGAAATGTTGTTGGCATCAGCTGCAAGGGTAATAAGGCTTGTCCACGACGTCATATCCGGAAGCTCCTGGAGTCGATTCATCGAGAGGGTGAGGGTGTGGACGACGGGAAGGCTGATGGAGGCATCAGCCGGTACAAGGCGCATCAGCCTGTTCACCGAGATGTCGAGTGTCTGAAGCATCGGCAGGGAACCTATCGGCTCTTCAATCAGAGTCCCCGAAAGCTTATTCTTCTTTACATCGAGCTCAGTCAACGGCAGCTTCGAGAGTCCGTCAAAGGGGAGCGACTCAAAGCTATTCTCGCTCAGATTGAGGACGCGCAGCCGAGACAGTCTTTCGACGTTGGGCGGCAAGGCAGACACTTGGTTACCGTGGATATCAAGCACCTCCAAAGCGCTCAAGTCCGCGAGACCGGGGTACAGGGGCCCAGAGAGGAGGTTCTTGGCCAGTTTGAGATCGCGGACGGCCGTCATCTGCGAAATGATTTCAAGGCATCCATTTTCTAGGCGATTGGACGACTAAGAAGTGTGAATAAACAACGCCAATCAACATCAGGGCCACGGACAGACTCACCAGATTGAGAGTGGTCAACTGGGTGAAGCGGCGGAAGCCCATCGGAATGGTTACCAGCCGGTTGCCGTGCATGTCGAGTGTCTCAAGCCCGCCGAAAATGTTGCCGCGGCCCTCTTCGTCGTTCTCAAGCTCCTCGGGGCCGAGATCAGGGAATGCAGCGTCGTCCAATGTTTCTATCTCGTTATCCGCGGCAACCAGCCTGGTCAATTCGACGCTCTCTGCCCAGCTTCCGCCGGCCCCAATGGTCTCCAGGTCGTACATTTTGAGAACCTCGCCGGGTATTTCCTTGAGTCCTAGTGCGGCAATATTCAGCTTTCCGCTGGTCCTCGATGCCCCGATGCGTTGCTTCAGGACTTGTTGACCAGCATCCTGCCCCTTGTTCAGGTTGAAGGGGTCATCGAATGCTGCATCATAGTCGAAGCCATTGTTCGACGGCGCTGCCACATCATTGGTCGTTGACGAAGCGCTGGGCGTCTGCTTCATTGCCGCCCTCCGAGCTGCCTTTGCCTTGGCGATCTGATCTCGAAGCGCCGTCGAGGACTTTTGAGTTGGCTGCTCGGGCTCAGCAGCGGATTCCTTCGCCGCTGGGGCGGGTGCCGCAATAGTGCCGTCCCACGAGGAGGAAGAGGCAGTCGGATGATCACCCGCTTCGAGCGTCTGCGTCGATGCCTTTTTGTTAAGGCCGTACACTGATGTCCTCTTCTTCACAGGTTGGGTTGCTGGCTTTGGAGCCTGTTTAGAAACAGGCTTCGTTGGAGGCTTGCCCAGCTTAGATGGACTGGGACTTCTAACATCCGGCATGGAGGCGGACGGCTTTGAGGCGATCCCGGAAGCACGACTGGCTGGGCGAAGTCTCTGCGAGCTGTTGGCGGCAGCCGTCGGCGTTCTCTCAGAGGTGCCGCTGATGACTGAACGGCGTCTATTGAATAAATTTGCCGATGACATTCTGGGATTCGAAAATCCCATGTCGTCAGCCGCTCCGCTCGAACCCGGGCGAGACAGATGCGCTGCAGATCCGCCAGAGGTGTAGCTGGAGCCCGGCCTTGAGGTTGTACTTTCGGCGCGTGACGTAGGCCGTATTGAGTCAAAGAATGAAGACGACTTCTTGCTTAAAGCAGGAGACGAGGGCAGCTGTGAAAGAGTCTCGACTGTACGCTCGGCAAGAGAAGGCCTCGGCGAGGTGACCTGAGGCGTGCTCCTTCCGGGGGAGGCAACCGGGGACTCGTGATTCTCCAAAGGTTCCGGGACGCCTGCAGAGTCGTTCAAGTATGAGGTGAGTATGTCGTTTGATGGCTCCGTCGTGTCTGCCCCCGCTTCGAAGGCGTCCCTATCCGGTTCTGCCGGTTCTGCCGGTTCTGCCCAAGGCTTGTATTGCGCCGCCGGGGCATTGGTAATGGTGCTCCATCGTTTGTTAGACGATGAAACGGCTCGTGCGGGCTTCGGAGCCGGGGCGGCGGGCTTCGCAGCGGGAGTGCGAGATGAGCTGGATCGAAGGCTGGTATTCGACGTAGAATTTCGCAAGGCTGGCGGACGTCCGTTGTTGGTAGTGCTGGCAGAAGGTCTCAGCTGGCCACGAGAGGTAGAAGCTCGCAGCTTTGGGTTCTGGATGTCTCTGCCACTGGACACATCTCCAGCCAGGCTGTCGCGGGACGGCCTCGGGCGAAGCGATGACGTGGAAGTAGTAGCTGGCGATGGTGGTGCAGGTTGGACGATACCCGAGACAGGGCGAGGCAGCCGAGAAGGGCGCGGGATGCCGCTCATTCGTCTCTGTGAGGTGTCCATCTTGACATGAGTCCCTTGCAGGTGGTGTTTGAGCTGGACTGGAGAAGCGGCCTGCTGAGCTGGGGTGAGTTTCGGGACGTCGAGCGTCGAATTGATCGGTTCAATGGATGCAATGGATCAAGCAAGGGCACGCTGCAGACTTGGAGAGCAGAAGAGGGGCAAAAACTGGCTCGAGGTTGTGTTGTCAAGTTGCGCCAAGGGTTTGAAGATGTAAGGAATGTACTCGTCAACGGAAGACGGAATGAATCGCAGAAAGGCGAGAATCGTCAAAAAGGAGTGACTGGCGAAAGAAGACACACGAGGCTCGTATGGGGAGGAGAAAGAGAGAGAACAACCAAGAGGCAGATCGCAGCTGTCAGAAGCGTGTTGCTGCCAGATTACGTGCATGGCCACATCAATCTGAATCCTGGTCAGGGGAGCTCATGGAGGTGACAAGGAGCTGCCCATCACGTGGGGTTAATTGGTGGTATTAGCACTACTACAAGCCCTGGAGTGCTAAAATTACGGCGGCTGGAGGCGCTAGAGGCGGGAAGCGAGCCGTGGCCAGCGCTAGAAGAGAGCCGGGAAGGGCCCTATAATACGGAGCAGAAGGTCGGGTGCTATTAGGCGTCAGGGCTTGACAGAAGGTCCGGGTGGCTTGACTGTGGCGGGCAGGGTATCTGTAGAGAGGTAGAGGTAATACATTGGATGTCGACGGGTACTAATGCTACCTACATGTATAGACACATCCATGTGCCCTCATTTGAACTCGTACGCTCTCCACTCTGGCTTTGATTGACGATGGAGATGCGAATAATGAGATGCACGTCACCGAAACCCCAGAGAGCAAGGTTCAAGGTTCTATTCATAGGTACTACTACTATAAGACAGAAACGAGGCTCGTCGTAGATGTTCACTTTGCAAATTCATACCCCCACTAGTACTTTGTCGAACCTGTCGCTATGCTAATTACGCAGAAAACAAAAGTAAGCCCGGCTCTTTATGCCTGCCCTCAACCGGGTCCGTTCAGATACTATCCAGCCTCAGCGGCAACTCTGTCAACTCGACAGCCAGTCGCTGTCGACCTCGTAATCTCCGTCAGAGTCCATCGCGTCGGACAGCTCATACGAGCCGTCGCCACCCTCCTGCGCTGATGAATCCCCAAACTCGTCCTCAGAAGACGCTCGACTTGCCGATGCGGTTCTTTCGGAGTCGTCTTCCTCATCGTCTTGCGTCAAATCGATAACCACTGGTTGCGATTCAGGCTGTGACTGATTTCTCCTGGAGGGCCGATTCTGTTTCGGCGGCTGTTGGAGTTTCGACGCAGAAGACCTGCGTGCAACAAGGCGCTGAGTCGTCCGGGCCACTGCCTCTCGAGATGCTCGAGTCTTCCGATGGTGTCTCCTGTCGTTGTTCTTGTCCCTGTCCGCTCCGGGATTCACTGCTGCTGGCTTGCCACCCCATTCGACCAAGAGATTGGACACCTTGTCTCGTATAGCCCTCCTGGCAGCATCTCGGTCCCGGCTCTCCTTGGTGAGCCTATCATAGTTCGTGTGGCAGTGGCGGACATGTGCCTGGACCGCGAGATATGCCTTCTTGTCCAAGTCCAGCGTTGCGGTACGGCCAACCCGGCCGCTGCGCTTCCTGAGAGTGCGCTTGAGGACCGTCGTCAGATCCTTCTTTGGAATCCTGGGGAAGCCTTTCAGAATGGCCGCCTCAAACGCATCCTGAGTGGCTGCGTCGCGCCTCTCGACGGCACCGCGTCTCCTTTCGCGACTTGCCTTTTCTTCGGCAAAGACCTGGTGGATGATCCATTTCGGTGCCCTGAGTCCTTGTTGTTGGCCACGGCTTGAGACGACATACAGCGTCTTTCTGGCCTCGTGTGTCTTTCGGCGGCAGAGTGCCGTCATGAAGGGATTGCCTTTTCTGAGGAATCCGTAGCCCTTTGGCATTGGCGTGTCTGGGGAGACGATTGGTTCGCGATTCATCCTTGCAAACGGCTCAGCTTTGCGTACAAGCCCGTGGGAGGAAGGACGTGGGAAGCTTGGAATGACGCTTCATTTATCGCAAAGAGTTTGAGAATAACCATGGCGGCGGACAAAGAGTGCGCGCATTTGTTGTTGGTCTTTGACTGTGAGATTCTTTCCTTGGCCGCAATTGCTTTGATGACGGAAGGAAATTTCATTGAAGGAAAATGCGTTCTGAACACTACCTAAACAATAACGATGTTTTTAGTGCTCAAGCCACCCGTTCTAAGCGTGGGCCACTCAGGTACAAGTACAAGTACCCTCGATTCACGATGACTTTGGCTTGCTCATCAACCGTCATGAATAACATTGCATGTATTGTGAAGCTGAAGCAGATACAGTCACTCATTCAATCGTTATCTCCAGGCTATCTGTGGTGAAGGTGCCAGTAAACATGTCGGGATTCGGCTGTTTCTGCGCCTGTTCCAACATCTCAGCAGTAACGTCGTCCTTTTGCTTGTTCCAGACCATATCCCAACTGCCCTTGAGAACAACAGACGCCTTCTTGTCCAGCTGCGACGTGATAAACTCTTTCAGGACGATGTCTACAGATTGACTCTCCCCAGGGCCAATCTGAATGAGTGACTCGGGCTTGGGGGGCCATTCTCTGCGCAACTCGATCCGGGGCAATTCAAGCGGCTGTGCAGAGCCGTCGGGCGTAATGGTCAGCAGCCCGATGGTTGGTGCGGCTGTATCCAACGGCGAGTTGTACAAGAGGACAGTGACGGGATATGGATTGCCGTTGAAGACGGTGCTGGTGATGGTGGGAGGAGACGTCTTGGTCTGCGCAATGGTTACGCGGAGACGGTCGATTGGACTCGCTTTGCTGCCGAGATGCTCCATTGAAGCGGCTGGCCAGAGGAAGAATGTAGCGAGTGAGATGAAGAGGCTCAAGCCGAGAAGAGAGCGGATACTAACACTCTGGACAACGCTCATCGGAAAGTCAAAGGCAGGATGAAGGTATCCGGCGAAGTCTAGGCTTTCTGGCGTGCTTCACAGAGAGACACAATCATGAACCCTGGTGAAAGGGGGGTGAGTGCGTTTGTGCTGTTTGCTGAGTGCGGGGTGAGTTGAGGACGGTAAATCCAGTTCCTTCTACTTTGTTAATTGATGATGTCAAGTTGTTCCATCACCTCATTGCAATGCTGTATGAAGACACTAGATAGGTCTGTGATGGAGATGCGTAACGGCTGCCAAACATTGCCTCCATTTACACGCACGGCATTAGACAAGAGATCATTTATTGTCCGGCCCATCATCGCCAAACCTGAGCCAGAACAGAATCACTATCGAAATGCCTTGACGCCAAGCAAGACAAACAAATATTGGATACGAAGCCGCTAAACGAAACCGATGCTTCCTACATGTACACACCTCGGACGGTCGCTTCCGCGATAAACAACTCTGTTGCAGAGAGCTTCTGCTTTAGGCAATACAGCCATTATGCAGGGCACTTTTGTGCATAAACCAGCGGGATAGTACTTGAAGACCGAATACATGGAGGCAAAACAAGGTTAAAGGCTTGTCATTAACCTTTACCTTATGCTTGTCTGAAGCGTACTATTATCACCTTTAGCCTGAGGAGGCATCCGGCGATTGGGACGACGATCCAACGTCTCACCGAGAGTATGGGTGAGAGGACGGCTTCACAACGTAAATATACACTATGAGTTGCCAGTTGAACTATTGATTGAGAGGAAAGCCACGCCTATGATTCATGTAGATAATTGCCTTCCATGAGCACCACTCTATGCCTCCAGCCAGCCGAGGATATCCAACCCCAACAACTCAGCATTCGTCGAAAATGGTGACGCTTCTCTGCCAAGCATGCAACCCCCCCCCCCCCCCCCAAACGGCTAAACTTTTACTCACCGTACCAAGACTTCCGTCTTATCTAATACGCAGCGTGTCGAAGGTATCAAACAAGACAAACTTGATAACACAATTGAGGGGCCGAGCTTCCTTGTTGGGCATATGTCCCGGCCCAAGACTTGGACAGTGATGAGATTTAAGCACCTATGTCTCCAGAAAACTCCCACGAGGCGCCCGATATCTGGGATACGGAACCCAAAGGGGAAGGTCTCTTGAGGAAATAAATAACATATTAAGCGTCCTGAGCAAGCTTAGAGAATCCCCGGCGAACGAAACGAAAATCGCCACCGTTCCCATGCGATGCGACCCGGTTGCGTAGCCGATCGTGCGGAGATCTGGTGGGCATAGTGCGATGTCCCTCTTTGGGAGGCTGTATCTGTCTTTATCTTGTTTGAATGCCATATTAGGTACTTGATATCGAAGTCAATGGATATGAATATGCCGAGGTCGTAATTAGGAAGTCTCTATGGATAATATTGTTTTCTCGGACTTTGCTCGGTGAAAGTCACCGGATCCTCGCCAACACGACCTCTGGCACATATCTCAACTGAAGTCGATGGCTTGTCTTTTGAAGGCTGGTCCTATCTATAATGTGTTTCTTATAATAAGTTGAGCACGCATATCTGAAGTCGTCCAGTCTTCCACGTCTCCTCCCACATGTAGTCTTATACAGCAGACAATGCCACGGCAAGCTATATATCATGAAGTATACCAATGGTATCTGGACTTATCGCCAAGGTAGGAAAGGCAAATCACCAACTACGATGTTGGCGTACATGCCGGCAGAACCTCACAAGCGCCAAGTCCATTCCCACTGCCAGCCATCCATGAGGATACGAGAAACTGTTACACAAGTCCGCCTCCCGCTTTCTTCTATCTTCCCTTGCACACATATCTCACAGAGATCCCCGCGTATCCGGGAATTTACAACCAATTCAGGAAGCTGATTATTCGGCATATCGTTTGTTTCGCGCTTGATCGCTTGGCATCGAGGCGGAGGGTGGGGGACGGGGTGTTAGTGGTCGGGAGCTGATATACTATTTGCTTCGCCCTGGACGGACTGTCGGATCGGCAACGGCATGTAGCTGTAATCAATGAAAAGGCTAATTATCTTGCTGCTCTGAGAAGTGTCGGTATTGCATGGTAGAACCGCTATTTACCGCACGTCAAGTTTATCCGGACTGCAGTGTACTTACCTACCTACATGTGAAGAATATCACGTTGGCTCGAGCAGAGTGAATAGCCTGAGTTTCAAAGGTTTAACGATGCTCTCTAAGCAATCAAACACAGTCAATCAGAGCCAGACAGATATTGGAGATTAGTCCGTGTCCCTTGTATCCTACGAATAAATGAAGAATTGCTGGCAGAACTGCATATACGGTTATGATGATGATATTGTAAGTGGGCATGACGGCGAGCGAATGACTACATGTATGCGTTACCTTGGCAATCCGCCCTCTTAACAAACGGATATGTCTCCCTAATGAGGAAGTTCGATTGCTAATGGTGGGAGGAAACTCTATTTTCCATGGGCTCTTTGGGATACAACATTGCAAAGGAGGAAGCGGGCCACTACTCCTCCTCCTGCTCCGCGGGATGAACTTCCAGGGGCTGTGTATGTATGTGAAGCTCGCCATGCAAGTCCCCTGTTTGATCATGACAACAGACTGATGATGATGGTAGGATCATGATGGAGAAGCAAGAACCTTTTGCTCGGGGCTCTAAGGGACAGCAACCCCCTCCCCTCCGTGGCCCTGATACCCTCGCAACCGGATGTCGCCGTCATTATCAGTTTGAACTCAAGGATAAATAGGGGCAACCCATCGCTGATGTTGAGGTTGTAAAGCGTCTCCATTGTCTCCAAAGCATCACTTCCAATCGCAGCTATTCTGTCCTCAAAATGAAGTTCATCTCTGGTCTCCTTGCCCTCGCCGCCCTGGCTTCAGCCGCCCCTGGCAAGGCTCCCACCCCTCTCGACATCAAGCTCGAGAGCGCCGGCAACGCTGAGATCAAGGCCGTCATTACCAACACTGGCAAGAACAAGCTCAAGATTTTCAAGACCGGCACCATCTTGGACAGCAGCCCTGTGGAAAAGGTCAAGATTAGCTCCGGAGGTATGCCTTGTTGATTCATTCATCGATGTCTCCTTTATCTACTTGAAGTCTTCCTTGATTCATCCATGTCCTCAATTTCTACCAAAGACTCCTTAATCTACCCATGTCTCTCTCTCCTTATTTGTTCTCCATTCAACATACTGTGCGTTCGTACTACTAACACATAAGCTCAGAGCACACCGTCCCCTTTGACGGCATCCGGCAGCGCATCTCCACCGCGAACCTGGACGAGGACGCCTTCCAGAGCATCCCCGCGGGCGAGTCCATCGAGGTGACGTTTGACATTGCCGAGGCCCACGACCTGTCCGTGGGGGGCAAGTACGACGTGCAGTCGACGGGCGCCTTTTCCTTTGCCGAGGAGGACTCGACCGAGCTGGTCGGCTCGGTGCCGTTCGAGACCAACACAGTCTCGGTCTCGGTCGACGGCGAGGCAGCCTCGGCGCGCCGCATCGCGTTCCACCAGAAGCGCACCCGCGTGCAGAGCGACTGCTCCGGCAGCAAGCTGTCTGTGACGCAGACGGCGCTGCGCAACTGCCAGTCGCTCGCCTCTGCGGCGCAGCAGGCCGCGGCGTCCGGGTCGGCGTCGAAGCTGAGCGAGTACTTCAAGTCGTCGTCGAGCAGCGTCCGCAGCACCGTCTCGGGCGTCTTTGGCCGGGTCGCGTCCGAGTGCAGCTCGACGACGAGCGGCGTCGCCAGCTACTACTGCTCCGACGTGCTGAGCTCGTGCTCGTCGGGCGTGCTGGCCTACACGCTGCCCAGCGGCAGCCTCATGGTCTACTGCAACCTGTACTTCACGGCGCTGCCGGCCCTGACCCGGTCGTGCCACGCCCAGGACCAGGCGACGACCAACATCCACGAGGTCACGCACCTGACGCAGGTCAAGGGCACGCAGGACTACGGCGGCTACGGCTACAACTTTGTTCGGAGCCTGAGCGCCGCGCAGAACTTGAACCATGCTGATACGTATGCCTTGTATGCCAATGCCATTTACGCTGGCTGCTAAGCAGATGACGATGATGATGATGATGATGATGATGATGCTTGCAAGGCTTGGTTAGTTGGGCGTGGCTTTTGTCTTGGATATACTACTATTTATCACTGTTGAACTGGCATTGAGTTCGAAATGAGACAATGGACGAGTCGCTTTGACGGCATGTTTGAAGCATGACAAGGTAGCCCTATTTTAGCTGAAAGACAACAAGTAAAAGAAGTTTTCTACTGGGCACTGGATGATGGATGATGCGATTATTGTCATCTCGTAGAGAAGACGTGAGTTTGATGCTTCGCGTGTAAGTGCCTGTGAACATACATAGGTACCTGTACGAGTACATCGCAGGGACCCTGGCCCGAAAAGGCAACTGATGCAGACAAGTCCCGATTTGGGAAAAAAAAACCATTTGCGCTCTGCGTGAACGACGATCGAACAGACTGCAGAACAGAAAGCGTTTACATGACTGTTTCCCATTCATTGTTCCTTGGTCTGTTTGTCGTCCTCTGCCCCTTTTCTCAGCTCGCCCTGCATCGCCGGCGAACCCGCGCGTACGTACTCGTAATAATACTACACAAAACCAAGATACTAGACAGACAAATGGCCTGACCCTTGGCAGGCAATGGGCATCAATGCATCGCGACCCGCATGCAGCCCAATAGTACCCATTCAATCTTTTGCCATCCAGCCACCCCGAAAAGTTACATCTGAAGAAATTGAAGACGAACCCGCAGAGGCACAGCAAGTCCAAAGTCAAGGGGGCGAAGAAAAGAAGAAGAAGAAAAAGGAGCCACCGTACCGTCAAGGCAGTGGGACGGCAAAGCAGCACGGAATGTCAGATATGATCGATTTGCCGGCCCAATGAGGGGAAGACGGAACGGGCACTGCAACAATCGGTCGACTATTGGTAGGTTTTACTCGTATGTAATATAAATCGGTACTAGTAATACCATCGTCTTCCGCCTTCCGGAGCTCGCAAAGGATGGATGCAGGGAAGGAAGGCTTTCAAGGATCTTTTTTTCTTCGTCGTCGTGTTCGCTGTCGATGGGCTAAGGATACGCTGGGTCCATGCAGGGGAGATGTGAGTGATGATGGGAAGCTTTGAGTCTATTGGGGGGTTTCGGGGGGGGGGCTTGCGGAGAGTTTCTTGGGGGGCTGGCTCTAGGCTTTGTCGAGTAATAACGAGGTCGGGCGGTTTTGGTCGAATGCACTCCGTACGATGTTATGGATTCTCTCGTATTGCTGTATGCAGTGTGCTACTACTACTAGAGCAAGGTACGCAGGTGGTGGCAGCATCCTTTGTGTTCAAGGTCCTTGTTGCTGGTGGAGTTTTGATTTGCCAGCTGAAAGAGAGGCTTCTCTTTCTGTGTGAGCAATCACATCTCCAGTCTTTGGTGTTCAATCTTTTGTTCACATCGTTCATTACTTGTCTCACTCACTCACTCACTCACTCACTGACTGACTCATTCTGTTCATTCATACTCATTCATCTTCATCCATTTTCATCTAATTTTGACTCATCTTGGCCAGTGCAAACCTGCATCTCATAAAGAAATAAAAAGCACCCTTTCACCTCTTCAAAGCCATTCTTCAACCGAAACCGCTCCTCGACCACGCAAGGGTCCATGCTCTTTGTTCATGCAGGGGGTTCCTACTCCGCTGAACAACATCTCCATCTCCCCCCATAATGCAGCTAAAAAGCCTTGATTTTCGTCGCCTTCGATTCTCCTCTTTTCAGGTTATCCTTGTTGACTGACAGCGAACCCGGTGGGGTGGCCGTTTATTATTCTCCTACAGGTCGGCAGATGGTCCTTGTCCTTGTCCTTGATCGTGGTACTAGTAGTACTGTGCTATTACTCGTAGGCATGTCTTGGGGAGGTCTGCCGTCCGACCAGCAGGAAATGTCACCGGGGGTCCCTCCTCCTCCTCACCTGAACAGAGAAAATGACCAAAAGAAAAAAAAAGGGCGGGCTCACATTGTGTGTATGGATGCAGAGCCACATGAGGACTCCTGCTGCTGCATACAGTAGTACTACCTGCGGACGCGTCTCCCGTGGTCTCTCCGTCTTTGCAGCTCTTATTCCCGACTCTGACTCTTTGTGTCCGTAGGTATTGCCTTTTTTCATCATAAGTATAAAAGCATTCATCTTGCAACGGATGAATTAATACTCGTATAATGTGCCCGTGAAGGAACAGGCATCAACACCAATCTCACGCCATCACCAGCCACACTCCCCCCTCGGCATCATCACGAGCATCACACCAGCCCGCCCTCCCCTCACCCTCTCTCGATCACTCCCGAGCATAAACCTCCCCCTCATCCCTGCTCGGCCTCTTGTCCGTGACCTCACCCGTGGCTTATCATCACGGGGGCGCCTCACAGCTGGCCACTAGCATCTCGCGGCCTGTCTCAGTGCTAGCATCATCCAGGTCGAGCAGAAAAGCGTGCAAAAAGACAAGCAACCCCTGTCACAAAATCCTGGAACCGCCTGGAAAGGCCCTTGAAGCGGGGCTCAGCACACCCAAACGTCATCGCCGCCCACTTCCAGCAGTTCGCAGCAGCTTGGACGGAAGGGAAGAAGACAGAGAGAGCGAGAGAGAGTGTGAGAGAGAGAGAGAAAAGGGCGAGTGATTTCATATAGCCGGGCGTGGTGTGTGAGTGTTGGGCCCCTCTCTCGTCCCCTTTGGTGCTCTTCTTCTGCCGTTGTGTCGCCAGTCTTTTTACCATCATTTTCTTTCATCTCTTTTATTCAGTTCATTCCGAGGCAGCAGAGCGAGCTTCAGAGCCTTTTTCTTTTCTTTCCCAACTGTCTTTTTCTAAAAACAGCCGGTGTCCTGTTTTTATTGATCTTCAGTTGCCGCCTCAACAAAGAGAAGCCGAGTGATATAACCGCAACAGAGACCTAGCTTCTTTCCACTCATCAATCAGTCCCTTGTTTCCCCTCCCCGGTCTATCGAAGAGGCATCTCAACTGGAACAATCACACACACCCATACAAATACAAACACATACAACGAAAGCCATGGCTAGCCGTGGAGATCGCTGGGAGCGGGATCGCCTCAGTGGCGACCGCGAGAGAGGCCGCTTCGTCGAGGAGGAGCGCGAGCGGGAGCGCGATCGGGTCTTCATGAGCGGCGGCCGCAGCCACCGCGACCACTCGGACGAGCGCTTCGACCGCAAGTACGGCCGGACGTCCTACGAGGACGACATTGTCCGCGACCGGCGCTTCTACGAGGACGACCGCTTCGACCGCCTCGACCGCCGGTCCGACGTCCGCGGCGACTCGTACGACCGCCGCGTCGTCATGGAAAAGGAGCGCGACCGCGAGTATCTTCGCGACCCGTCGCCTCGCCGCCCGACGCTGCTGCGCCGCCAGTCGTCCCTCGACACCTACGACCGCCGGCCGCTGCCCCGGTTCCTCGACCAGCGCGACGAGTATCCGCCGCCGGCCCGCCGCGAGGACATCCGCCGCGAGGACATCCTGCGCGAGGACTACCACGCGCCCAAGTACACGCCCATCCCGCTGCCCAAGACCCGCGGCCTGCCGCCGGCCCGCAGGTACGACGAGCGCTTCTACGAGGACATCCACGTCGAGCACGACCACCTGGACGAGCCCCTGCCGCGGTATCCCGCCGAGCGCATCGTCGAGCGCGAGATCATCCGCGAGAAGGAAAAGGAGAAGGACAAGGTGGTCAAGGAGAAGCGCAGCCGCAGCCGCGACTCGCGCTCGACCAAGAGGAGCCACCACCGCCGTGGCCGGTCCCGCGTGTCCAAGTCGTCCAGCCGGTCGTCGAGCATCAGCAGCAGCAGTTCGAGCTCCAGCAGCAGCAGCGGGGGCACCACCGTCAAGAGCGCCAAGAGCTCCAAGAGCGAGTATCCGAAGAAGGGCAAGACGCGGATTCCCCTGAGGCTGGTGTCGAAGCGGGCCTTGATTGACATCGGCTATCCCTTTGTCGAAGAGGTGTGTGTTTGTTCTTGCATGGCATGGCATGGCGTGAGATGGAAAAATGGCAGTAGTAGAAACTAACCAGCTGGTGATGTTTATAGGGCAACGTCATTGTCGTCCAAAAGGCACTCGGCCAAGCCAACATTGACTACCTGCTGAAGCTCAGCGAGGAGTACAAGAGCAGTAAGTCGACGCCTTTTCTCTTCCGTTGATTATCTTCTTCATGACACACGAACTGACCTCGCGTTCTCAACAGGCGAGCTGGAAGTCTCTGCTGCCCGCTCCTCCGCCGGCGACTTTGTCCGCGAGCGCCGCGAAGAAGACATCATCCGTGACCGCCGAGAGGAGGACATCATCCGCGAGCGGCGAGAGGAGCTCATCATCCACCACGAGACGCCCGCCCCTCCTCCTCCTCCGCCGCAGCCGCAGCCCCAGCCGCAGCCCCAGACCATCGTCGTCGCGGCGCCCGCTCCGCCTCCGCCCGTCATCATCGAGGCGGCCCCGCGCGACGCCGTCGAGCTCGTCGACAAGACCGTGTACCGCGACCGCGAGCGCTCGCGATCGTCCAGCAGCCGCAGCCGCAGCCGCAGCCGCCACCGCTCGCACTCGCGGCATCACACCCATCGCCACTACCGCCGAAGTCATTACCGCCACAGCCACTCGCGGCACAGCAGCCACGGCAGCGGCGCCGCCCTCGGGCTCGGGCTCAGCGGCAGCAGCAGCGACTACGCGCTCGTCGAGCAGCGCCACCGGTCGCGATCCCGCAGCGGCAAGGAGATCCGCGCCGAGATCCGCGCCCTCGAGAAGGAGCTGGCCATCCGGCCGCGCGTCTCGGGCGAGCGCGAGGTCATCCGCACCGAGCGGCTGCCCAACGGCGAGCTGGTCGTCTACGAGGAGCAGGTCGAGCGCGTCGCCTCCCACAAGCCGGCGCGCATCGAGAAGGACAAGAAAGGTAGGATGTCCATCAGCGTGCCCAAATACCGATAAGGTGCGCCGCTATCTTCTCCCCTCTCCCCTTTCCCCTTTTCCTCTCGAAGCTGGGCAAAAGCTGACTCGGGGCCCCATTTACAATAGGTCCTGGCCCTGGACGCATGCGAGCGATGCTAGCCACGCTTACATGAATGAACAAGGGGGGGCGTGAAGCTGTTGTCGTGGAAGGGACCCGGACATGTCCATGGAAAGACGAACGAAGTCACGACTTGATGAATCGGTACATGGGATCCTAACGTACGTTATGTTATGTTATGTCTTAAAGGGAAGGAAGCTGTTTGCTTGGATAAGACGTGTGTAGATTGCTTCACTGGTTTGACGACAAAGGGACGACGTCTTGGTTGCAGCTGGCGGATGCTGTTTGTTTTCTTTTTTTTTTTTTTTTTTTTTTCTTCTCTCTCCTTTCCTCTTCTTTATGCATGTGTCTTTTACGGATCTGAAAGGACATTTACCATGACGACTATAAATACCGGATATATAATGATAGTGATGAATTGACTGAATAATTGCTGCTTCTGTTCTATAATTGCTGCTTCTGTTCTTGCTACTATCTGCTTGTCTTATGCTGGCTTTCTTCCCCATCTGTCGTCGTGATAGCGATCAAGGCATTTCACGAGTTTTTAAATAAGCAACTACTACTCCAACAACACATGCAGGATCCATGTCTGAATAGAGGAACGCGTAGGAACCGGGTACAGTAGGCGAACCCCGCGGGAGGGGAAGCTGATCAAAATCTCACTCATGCTCTTGTTACCAGGCGTCAAGTTGTTGACTATCTGATCTGTATTGTCTCTACAGATGTACTTTGTTCCGTGTGTGGTCTGAGCATCAACAGTTTAGGGAGAGAGAGAGAGAGAGAGAGTTACAACCCCAAAGCTTCACGATGCGTAGAGGCGTCCTTGCTTCGGGCTTCTTGCTCGTCAGCAGCGCAACAGCTCATCTCCGGCTTCCCCCATTCTTCCCAACCTCCAAGCAGTATAAATCATTCGACTTTGACGTCTCCCCATCATTCCACTTTCAAAACTTTGCACCAGGAGCCCAACAGCCACTGACGAACCCCGATATCGACACTCTCACCACAACATCCTCCTCCTCCTCCTCCTCCTCCTCCTCCTCCTCCTCAGCATCAACCCCCTTCCAACCCGGCCAGTACACCCTCACCCCGCAAAACGACTCGACATGCGCCACGTACGGCGAATCCCAATGGACCGGCACCGTCGACGTGACGCCCTCCCACCGCCTCTTCTTCTGGTTCTTCAACAGCCGCAACGACCCCGTGCGCGACCCCGTCATCGTCTGGATGAACGGCGGCCCCGGCGGCAGCTCCATGATGGGCCTCTTCAACGAGCTCGGCGCCTGCTGGCTCGACCCGGGCGCAAACGCCACCGTCCCGAACCCCTTTGCCTGGAACAACAACGCCTCCGTCCTGTTCCTCGACCAGCCCGCCGGCGTCGGCCTCTCGTCCCGCAGCCCGGGCTCTCCCCTGCAAGCCCACGACGTCGACGGCGCGGCCGACTTCCAGGCCTTTCTCAACATCTTCTTTGGCAAAATCTTTCCCGATCGCGCCCATCTCCCGATCCACATCGCTGCCGAGTCGTACGGCGGACACTACGGACCCGTCTATCTGAAGCACATCCTCGATTCCCGGCGGTTCGACTCCCCGGACGCCTTCAGGGGCAACATCTCCTCGCTGATTCTTGTTGATGCCGTCATTGACTTTGCGGCGCCCGCGGTGGGCACGTACGAGTTCCTCTGCAGGGGGTACGGCCACCACGGCAAGATCATGAACGACTCGACGTGCGATGCCCTGCGGCGGAGCGTCCCCAAGGTGTTTGAGCTGGACAGGAACTGCGATGCGGGCAACGACGGGTACGAGTGCTGGGGCATGACGACCTTTCTCGAGGAGGTCGTTCACCCGTATTACTACGCCGAGGTCGAGGCAGGCAAGAGGAACCCCTTTAACGGTAAGTCAAGCAAGCTCCCTCCCCCCCCCTCATCTCGATATCATATTCATCATCGTCATCATCATCATCATCATCATCATGACTAAAAAACCAAATCCTCTTCTCAGTCCACATCCCCTGCCCCAACTGGCCCTGGTGCGCCGACATCCGCAAGGGCAACATCACCGCCTACCTCAACCAGCCCGCCGTCAAGGCCGCCCTCGGCTTCCCGCCCTCCTTCACCTTTGAAGACGTCGACATCCCCCTCAACGCCGCCTACACGCTGTCCAAGGACCCCTTCCGCCCCACGGCCCGCCAGGTCGCCGCCGTCCTCGACGCCGGCATCCGCGTCCTCGTCCTCCAGGGCAACGAGGACTACATCGTCAACACCCCCGGCAACATGTGGGCGTACGACAACCTGCGCTGGAGCGGGCTGGCCGACTACCGGCTGGCGCACTGGCGGCCGCTGCCCGAGGGCGTGGCGGCCACGGGGACGTGGAAGGCCGGCGGCGAGGGGGGGAGGCTGGCGTTTGTGGCGGTGGACGGGGCGGGACATACGGTGCCGGGGGATGTGCGCGAGGGCAGCTGGCGGATTGTCAAGGAGTGGCTTGAGGGGGGCTGGAGAGGGTGAATACTGCTTTTTGTAGAGGCATGGATGTTCTTGGGTTAAGCATGTGAGAGCCGAGGCACGTGTAAGTGTATGTACGAGGCCACGGGAGACGCAGTAGCCATGCAAGCCCCAATATGAGATACCGAGGGATGAACAAACAATGACTACTACTTGTAGTATTCTATCGAGATCATCTCCACGGCCTGCTATCTATCTATCTACTACTACTACTACTACTACTACTACTACTACTACTACTATCCCCCGGATCAAGCTGAACTTGTGAACGTGGGGAACCGATCCAACAGGCTCCTCCTCCTCTTCTAGCTTCTTTTAGCACCGGCCCGTCCAGCCACATCCCGTTTTCTCTTACACATTAGTCCCTCTCTTTTTTTCTACTTCAGTAATTCTTCACTACTCTTCCCCCCTTAAAACCCTTTCCGTTTTTTGCCCCCTCACTCACAGGCCGAGGCAAGATCCGAACCCATCCATCTCAATATCAACTCCATCCGCGCCGTGTCAGACTCTCTCAACCTTGGGGGGGGAGCATCATCATGAGGGGGATACTGTCATCGTATAAGAGCCACCACCATACAACACTCTAATATATATATATATGATATTCCAGCCATTATATGCTCCCCAAGACAACCCTCCCCCAAGAACATCCTCAGAAATACGAGAAAAACAAAGAATCCTCAGCAAACCCACCATGACGACGCTCCCCTCCGCCAAAGCCCTCTGGAGCAGCATCGTCTCAACCCACAACCCCATCGCCATCGACCTCGCCGGCACGCTCCTCATCCAGCTCCTCTTCTGGTGGCTCCCCTGCACCCTCTTCCTCTCCCTCGACACCCTCCTCCCGCGCTTCTCCGCGCTCCACAAGCTCCAACCCGCCCCCAAACAGCCCACGACCGCCGACATCCTCCACTCCATACGCATCTGCCTCCGCAACCAGCTCCTCGTCCTCGTCCTCCACTCCCTCCTCCTCCTCTGCACATCCTCCTCCTCCTCCTCCCGGGCCCCAGCCATCCGCATCGACCCCGACTTTCCCTCTGGCAGAGAATTCTCAACACACATCCTCATCAGCATCCTCCTCCGCGAACTCCTCTTCTACACAGCCCACCGCATCCTCCACCATCCCCCTTTATACCGCCGCTTCCACAAGACGCACCACCGCTTCACCGCCCCCGTCGCATTCGCCTCGCAGTACGCCCATCCCGTCGAGCACATTGCCGCAAACGTCCTGCCCATCTTGATCCCGCCGATGCTCCTCGGCGCGCACATCTTGACCATGTGGGCGTTTTTGGCCATGCAGCTTGTAGAGACTTCGACGGTGCATAGCGGGTACGACTTCTTTGGCGGGGCCGCGAGGAAGCATGATCGCCACCATGAGCGGTTTGATGTGTATTTTGGAGGGATTGGGCTGCTGGATTGGGCGCTGGGGACGGATGAGAGGGACGGTGAGGAGAGGCGGAAGAGGGAATGAGCCTTGTCTATAGCCTTGCGATATGATGTACCTTATTGGAAGATAACCCTCCCCCCCCTTGCACATCCTGTTGCTCCCGTCGCTTTGAACAGTACATGAGTTAAATCACGATATAACCGTTCGTATCTTGTATACACGTAGACGCAAATACACTCAACCGCGCGGGCAGACACAAACTCCCATGAACCCAGTCCCAATAAACAAGGGTGTAGCAGTATGAAAAACAATGAAAAAAATACCTTTCGAAATTGTCGGCCGCCAGCAACCGTAGCAAAGGAAACAAACACTCTCCGTCAACTCAACTCCATTGCTCCTCTTGTGCTTCTTTGATATCCAAAAGACCCAAGACATGCCTTGCCTAAACTATATCATACAATATCCCCCCTTTCTTCTCAACACAGGGCAAAACTCCCTCGGCAGTTGACAAACCACTGACGCAGCCACTCGCGCTTCACACAACCAACCTCGCCGCACGGACTGGCTCTCTACGTCGTCTTGTACGTCTCCTTAATCTTCTTATATAGGACGGTGTCGTAAAAGTTGTAGTTGGGATCCAACTCGCAGAATGGATGCTGCGATAGGAGCACGTCGGCTGTTGGTCGATCAAATGGGTTCCTGTTCAAGTTTTGTCAGCACAATATACCCCCTTTTTGTAACCATCCCTCCAAAACTTACACTTGGAAGCAGTCCATCATAAACGCCACGGCGAGATGGCCTATGGTTTCCTGAATGTCCTCGGGGATCGGGGGCGTCTCTCCGTTTGCAATCTTGTAGATGGCACCCACGGCTTCCTCCTTGCTCCACGGCCGCCGGCCCGCAAACATCTCCAGCACGACGCATCCCAGACTCCAAATGTCCACCTTGGCGCTGTACCCTTCGTTCTGCGACCGAATCACCTCGGGCGCCATCCAGAAGACGGATCCCTGCATGTTGTTTGACTTGTCGTTGCCGTAGATGTTGTCCGTCTTTTTCGAGATGCCAAAGTCGCTAATCTTGCACGTGCCATCCAGGTCCAGCAGAATGTTGTCTGCCTTCAGATCTCGGTGCAGAATGCCCTCTCGGTGGAGGTATGCCAGTCCAGACAGCGTCTGTCGTGTGAGGGATGAAACAACAGACTCTTCAAACTTGCCGTGCTTGCGCAGGCACGAGCCGATACTGCCACCGGGAATGTACTCTAGGAAGATGCTGATGCTGGTTTCCTTTCGCTCGCATCCCAGGTACTGCACAATGTTGACGTGGTCCAGGTGCTGCATCGTGTCGATTTCGTGATCCAGGGCCGCCACGAGCTCCTTCATCTTGCTCTTGTCTCCTCCCGCCGCCTTGGGGTTGACCTCCACCTCCTTGACGGCCAAGAACTCACCAGTCGTGGCGTTCATACCCAGGTACACGCGGCCGTAGGTGCCCTTGCCGATGAGCTGGCCCTTGAACCACCTAAATGTCGTCTGCCGCTTAGGCAAAGTGTCCTGTGGGATCTGCGGGAAAATCATGCTGCCGCGCTGGTCCGGCCGGATCTGCACAATGTTTGCATTGAACATCTTGGTGCTCTTCCGGCGCATGATTCCGCTCGTGCTGGCGTTGCCCGCATTGTGCGGCGCCTGGGCGTGCGTGAATCGCTTGTTGGCCTCGTGGGCACCCCGGGCAACTTCACGGATGGACTTCATACGTCCAAGCCCGCCAGAGCGCCTCATGCTCTTCTGTGCCACAGTCTGTATGGACGGACGGCGGTCCAAGGCCTTCAACGTCGATTCGTCGGAGCCAAGAGTGTCCCCGTCGTAGACAGACTGGCTAGAGGATGCAACCGCGGGAGCGGGAGCAGGAGCAGGAGCAGGAGCAGGAGTAGAGTTGATGTTGTCTTGGTACATGGCAGGAGCCGGGACAGGAGGAGGCGCAGTCTGCTGGGGCGATTCCTCAACTTCGGCAATCGGAGACGTTGTTATCTCGGCCGAGACGCTATCCTCGAGAACAGGCTCGTCAAGGTCGTAGTTGGGGAAGAAGTCGTCGAGGTTGTTGAGCAAGTCGTCGGTAGGAGGTCGATTCGCCCACACGTCCTTTTCGATAAACGACTTGCGGCGGCCGAGTTTGACTTCCTTGTCAGACTCCCAGGATTCGGAGCCGGGTGTTCCAGGAGTCCGTCGAGAACCGTTGCCAGCCCTAGACCAGTCGTCTGCGTTTTCGTTTGTCGAGTTGGGGGAGGTGAAGGAGACCGACAAGGTCTTGCCCTTTGCTCGCGAAGTATTCACGGTCAAGCTGGGCTTCTGCGCATGTCCCGGTTTGCTGGTCGGTGATTTGCCTTTTCCTCGGCCGGCGAGCGGAATAGCAAACAGGCCATCGTCGGAATCGTCGTCGCTATCGTCGGCCGGCGGCGGGCGACCCTGCGCAGATGACGAGGACTGCTGTGTGGTTGGCGCCTGGGTAAACTGCACATCCGTGTCCGTAAAGTCCAGGTCCGGGCCAGGTGATTTCGGGTTGCTGTTGTTGCTGTTGTTGTTGCTGTTGTTGTTGTTGGCGGGCGGGGATGGCGGGTTTGCCGTGGGCGGCGACGGCTTGGTCGAACCGGGGCTGAGCTCTGCCGGCGACGGCGGAGGTTGCCCTATCATGTTGGTTTTAGTATTTGCTTCATCACTGCTTGAAATTGCGGCCGCCAAAGGGGGCAAGGGGGCGAGTGTATAGTCTGGTACAACAAAGGCCATGTTGCCCGGGCTCCAAGTGAGGGTCTTGGGAGAGCCCGAGCCCGGACTGGGCCTCACCGAGCCGAATTCACGAAAATCAACAGTAGACATTGCTTTCTTACCTGGCGACAGCTGCTGCGAGCCGTTGCTGGCCGCAACTGGCTGTGACACGGTTCTGCTGGGAGACACGCCTCGCGGCCCGTTGGCCGTCGACTGTCCGATGGCTCCCAGGTTTCTGCCCATGCCGACCAGTGCCGCACCCACAAACCCGCCCATGCCCGCGGCGGGAATGCTGAACTTTGACTTCTTGCCGTTCTCCGTCGACTCAGCCTCAGACGAGCTGGCAGCGGAAGGTAGCGGAGGTCGCGACGTGACGTGCCCTTCGGCAGCGGCGTTGCCGTTCATCTGCCGTCCTGTTTTCCTGCTTAGCGAATTGGCCTTGATCAGTGTTGCGGACGGGTCACTCGGCGGCGCCGGCGGTCGTCGTTGAGGGAAGAGGTGTTCGGGCTTTCTGTCTTCGTATGGCGAGAGCCGCGGCTGGTCAAAGTCCACATTCCTACCCACGATGCCGAAGCCCACGACAGATTCGGGAGGATCCTTCATGTTGGCCTGCTTCTTCTTGGCGAGGTATTCACGCTGCTTCCTGGCCATCTCGGCCTTGTAGTCAAGGGCCTCCTGGGACAGGGTGTTCTCGTCCGCCTTGTCCGTTGCTGCCAGCGAGTTCATCGTGTTGGATCGAGACGTCGGCGGTGATGAGCTCGATCTCTGGCGTCCATTGAGACGCGCGTAGGCCTCTGCATCTATGCCCGGCGGAATGGCGTCGGGCGACAACAAGCTGGGCACTTCGCTACTCAGACTCGGGGTGAGCGCGCTATGCGACGTGACGAAGAACTTGAGCGTGCCTGCAGAATCGGCCTTGACGCGCTTGCTAGTGAGGAGCTTTTGGTCGTCTAGGGGCTCAGCATGTTCAAACTGGCCCAACTCGGTTGGATAGATGAATGAGCCCTCAACGTCGGGGAGGCCGAGGTTGTGGCAGATGGCTTGTCGAATATCTGCCGCGCTCTCTGCGTCGGTGATATCGCACATCCGATAGTTCCAGTGGTCCATGGTGGCCAGGACGTATGTTCTAGCTTGGCCAGCGCCGTGCCTTGGTCCGTAGTGTGAAGTGATGCTGGACGGATCCGGGTGGGCGTAACCAGCATCCGATCCATGCGTAGTAGCTATTGACAGAGGCTTGTGGAAGGCAGGTGAAGTGGGAGATTCGAGATCGTCAGGTGAAGGAAAGGCGCCGTCTACTTGTTGCCGCTTTCTCCTGGATAAGAAGCTGAGGAGGCCCTTGGAGTCCTTGGTAGATGACGGAGACTCGGCATGCTTGGAATAGCTGTCTTGACTTCTTGAGGAGGACATGAGCTCCGCCAGGCTCATGCCGCGCGTCATGAGCCCGGCCGCCTCTGGTGGAATACCCGACCCATAGATTGCGGCGTTGGACGCGGCCGAGTCGGTGCTGTTCCTTGACCGGTGTGTGAATTTGGATGAGTTGGGCGAAGATGATAGAATCGGGGTGGTAGCCGAGTGAAAAAGTGTGGGCTGGGTTGCTGGGCTGGCGGCCGGGCTCGAGCAATGCGCTGCCTGCTCGCCAGTGGGACTCTGCCGTCCAAGCTCGAGATTTTTCAGCATCGTCCTATGATTCGTGGTGTCATTGCTGTTTGCAGGCGGCATTGTTGTCGATCTGGTTTGGGAGAACCTTCGGGCGTGAGCGTTGACTGGCACAATCGGCGACTCGAGAGCCTCTGGGGCATCTGAGCTCACAGGGACAAGCGTCGTGGGTTGGCTGGATGCGGTAGACTCCTTTCGGCTGTGGGAGGGCATCGCCTTAGAAGCCTCGACAGGCCGGCCGGTGACGACGCTCCTGATGAGCCTCCGCATGCGCTTCCCCTCCTCCCTCTCTCTCGGCTGGTCCCATCCCGTCCCGCTATTAGTACACTCCTGCGCCAGTCGAGGGTACACCCGCTGGTGCATCATGCCAAAGTTTCCGCGACCGCCGTGCGCACTGCCCAGCTCCAGGAACTGCGCTCCGTACAAGTTGAGCGACCGGAACGTCTCCTGCCAGTCCTTGGAGAACTGGTTCTGCGCCAGCCATAGCAAGACCTTGTCCAACGGCCACTGGGCTGCTATTTCCGGAGGGATGCTGCTCGGCGCATTGGCGGTAGTAGGCGCACTCGGTGCGGTTGACGGGCCCTTTGCGTGGCTTCCTCCCATATACGCCGGCTGCCTTTCTTCCATTGGCGTTGTGGCACTCGTTTCGGTCCCGTTCTGTGACGGGGAGGCGAGCCACGACGTCTGCGTTTCCTCCCGGCCGAATCCCGGTATGCCCACGCCTTCACCATATGTCTCCCCCGTGGGGATATACGTGGCGCCCATTGCGTCGCTCGGGCGCGGGGGAGGGGGCACGACCATTGCCTGTCCCGCCTGCAACGCGTGGTGCTGGTGGAACTTGGTCGGGTTATACGGCTGGTGCTGGTTGGTAGGGGGCGGCGGAGGCACGGCGTAGCTGGGACGGCCATCGTACAGGCGCCCAAAGTTGCCGTGCCAGTTTGGCGCTGGCATCATGCCGCTCCCAGGAGGAGGGCCGCTCGGGGGCGGAGGCACCATGATGCCCTGAGCCTGACCAGGCACGGCAGGATAGCGAATCGGCGGGGGAGGCGGAGGGACCATCATGTTCATCTGAGGCCCGGTCATGGGAGGTGCCATGGCAGGAGGCGGAGGCGGAGGCGGCACCTGGAAGGGCCTCGAGGGATCGTTGGCCGAGCCATGCCGCTGGCTGCCCTGATACATGGTCGAGAAGACGGAGGAGCAGGAGGAAGCCCGCCCCAGAGCCTCAAAGATGGGTTGTTTGGGAGCAGCCTCAGTCGCGCTCGAGGGAGAGCGATCGCGGCCGTCGCGGGCCGCCGTCGATGGTTCGGCGAGCGAATCGAGGGGGGCGGTTGCTTGTCAGGCTGCCTATGGTAGAGGATGTTTGTCGCAAAGAGAAGTCGTCGGTTGGGCGTCGATGCTGTCGGAACTTGGGCCGATGTCGTTGGTCTCGTCGTTGGTATTGAAGGTTAGCAAGGTATTGAAGGTAGTTCTTATCGGACTGGATGTTGGACAGGCGCTGGAGCTCGGGCAGCTGGTCTCGGTGTGGCCACGCCCAGCAGGCCGGCGTCCTCGTCAAGGGTGGACGATGCTCCGAAGCAGAGCAAGAGCAAGAGCAGCGGCTTGAGTCCAGGCTGCTGAGTTTTCCGGAGCAGCACGAACGGACGTCGCACAGCCGTGGTCGAAGCTCATGCTTCAAAGATGAACATGTGGGCCGTTGCACGTCCTTGATGGACCAGAATGCTGGCAAACATCAAATGGCCGGAATGGACCTCAAATCTGCTGTGGCCCAGCGGCTGCGGCCTTAGTGGCTGTACAGGGACGCATCAGTGGGCCTCGACCTCCTGGCTCGCTACAAGCGGCACCCCCAAGAGCCTTGAGGCCTTCCAGCGGGCTGTTTAGCGCACCCTCGCACTCGCAGCGGCGCAGGCAGGCCACTAACAGGGCCCCTCCTGAACCCCTGCAGCCCCTGCAGCCCCCCGTACCAGTACCTTGTAGGGTCTTCTGCCGGCCGGCCAATGAGGATGTGCCGCTTGGGGGCGACTTGTGGGCTGCCGGACAAAGACACGAGGCACAGCATCGATTTGATTGTGTCTGCACGTGCGACGGAGGGGAAGACACGACTTCTCCTGCCATCACCATGTTTGATGTTTGATATCCATGGCTCGTGATGGAAGAGTCAAACAAGTCTGGAATCATACTGACTTCATGTCTACTTAGAATTCACGTACAGCTACCTATAGCATCACTAAGTACATATTAGTTGACCGTATGCATTGTACATAGGTACATGCATGTGTGTACCTCTGTCGTGTTACCATCAGAGGTTGAAACATCATCTTCCTAATTGTCATCTCCACAGCCTCTTCCCACGGCCATCGCCGAGCCAATCAGACGAGAGACCTCTTCTTCGCCAGACAAGATCTGATATCACCAGCTATAATACGTCACACTTCAGTTGTCCATCTAACTAATGCAAAGTACAGACACGCAGATTGCGAGGCAGCCCGTCTTCATCACCATCACAGACACAAGAGCCCCAATAGAGGAAACATCGTCGAACTAGAAGTGTTTCCCAGATATTTCCTGAAAAACAAAAGTGTAACAGCTGATGTTGTACATGGATGCTCAAATGTCAGCTTCGTTTTTGCTATCTTTGCTTACGGCTACATAGTAACCCAAACGTGTTGTTTCCCAGGGATAGCAGAGCTCACACTGGGCAGATGTATCCATATGACATCGGTTCAACAGTTACGGGGAGACAGGGGCCCTCCTTTGACAGCACGTCGCACCGGGTTTCTTCAGCATCAGCACTGCTTCTCGTCGCTCATGGCCGTACATGTCCATGACTGATCTTGAGGGAGAGTTACATCCATCCGCGTGCACGTAGACACCTGTAGTTCTAATGTTATGCGCTGCTTCAAGCTCAGCGCTCTCCCAGCTCCTCCACCCCCCCTTCATATATTGATGCTCAGGTACTCTATAATACCAAACTACGCCCCCCAACTGACCAGTTCCTTTTCTCAAACTGCGTCTCTTTGACCTACTTCAAGTTATGCCCCATTTTGTTCCAGTCCTGATTGTCGCTTTCGTGCATAATACCACATATGTATCCCATGACCCATTCTCCCTAGGGCTGACAGACCCGTTTCGGAGCCCGTCCCCTCCGGCAACTTGCCGGCCGCCTAGTATATGGATTACATGGGCTGCTTGTAATTTAGGGCGCATAGGCTCCGGCGAATGGCGGCGTTTCCAATGACCCTATCCGGGGAGAGATTCGGTGAGGTGAGGAGCCCTGTCCAACAACCGCAGGACGTCCACCGTCTCTACATACATGTAGGGTCTGGTTATCAGGCACCTCACATCCGGTTAGCAGGCACCTCAAATTGTGGCTAGGGTGCCGTCAGACGCCAGTGTCGCCCTTGCCTAGCAAATTGCTAGTTAATTAAGACGCTAATGTCTAACAGTGCCTAATAAATGTACTTATAAGAGCACTTATAACAGATACCTTAACTTACTAAGTAAACATATAATTTACACTCTATTATTACACTATTAATTTTAAAGCTATTTATAAGTAAGTGATACTAAAATAAACTATATCTTCTCCTCTTCCTTCTAAACCTAATAAAATGCTATTTCCTATATTAAAGAGGTTAGAAAATCTAATAGCTATAAGCTTATTATATATACTAAATAACCTAATAGCTTTAATACCTCTAACTGCTATATAGTTATAATATGCTATAGTAAAGGCCAGTTTTATATCTTTTAGGCTAAGAAAGGCTTATATAAATCTAAGAGATAGAGGACTAGTACTTAAAAGACTAGTTACCTTTTTTATATTAATATCTAGCTATAAGAGAAAGCTAGGGCTATACTAGTCTAGTATTAGTGCCTAGAATATATAAATAGTAATACTACTAGCTAATATAATTATCTACTATTAAAGCTAGGAGTAATACTAAGCTTTTAAAAAGACAGCCTTATAAAAATAAAAGATAAGATTATCTTTAACTAGAATTCTAGCATTAGACTAGCATAAATCCTTATATAATTAAAGAGTAATAAAGACCTTAATATTAAGCTTATTACCTGGTTTAATATATATAACCTCCTTTATTACTATTACTGTAATAAGCTTATTAGCCGCACCCCTATTAAATAGCTCTTTTAATAGCTGTAGAATAAAGAGAAATACATCTTCTTTAATAAAAAAGATAATAGCAGCTGTATTATTAATCTTTTTATTATATTATAGTTAGGAATATAACTTTTATAATAATATTTAAATATTATCTTTTATAACTTAATATATAAGACTAATTACTTTAATATACTATTATTTAATATTTATAGCGCTATTAAAATAAAATAAATATTTTAAGTTACTACTGCCTTCCTTAATACTAAAAATAAGGCATCTTATAGTTAGGCTATTAATTATTTTATCTAGCTAGTTAAAAAAGAAGGAATCCTGCTGCTAATAACTATAATAATAAACTAAAAGCTTGCCTAAATAAAGGCCTAAGATAAGCACTTAGCTATAAGGCAGATACTATATATCCTTTACTATTAGTATATTAATATAAATATACTAGCTAAGTGTAAAAGCTTCTTCCCTAAGGCTACTAAGATTAATAGCTAAATTTAATAGTATAAGACTTTCTAAAGCTTCTTTAATAATTTTAATAAGCTTATTAGCAGTAAGGATACCTAAACTTATAATAATTAGCTAAGGGCTTTTTAGCTTTTTAGCATATACCTTATAGTTATTATAGGTTATATTATAATAATATAGCTAATATTATAAAGGGCTAAGATTATAAGCTATAAAGTTAACTGCCTTATATACTTTAGCTATTATATAATATTAATTATTAAATTAATGCATGCTATTATTAAACACTTCCTTTAGTCTAGTTAAGGAGACCTGGCTATAGCCTTTTAAAAGCTAGAGCTATTTTAAAAGATATAAGACTCTGCTATCTGCACTAAATAGGCTAAATAGAAAAATAAAATCCTATCTAGTATTATAGGTAATCTCTTTTTACTTATATATATAAAGGTTATACTTATAGTGCTATAAATGCTAATTAATAAGCTTAAAAGCTTTAGCTATAATCCTAAGAGACTACTAATAATGCCCTGCCTTCTTTATATAATCTAGGTTATATATAGGTTACCCTGTAGATATATCTTTTATTAATAGCATTAGCAGCAGCTGCTGCTTTAAGTTAGCAAAATATATTACTATTAGTATTAAAATTATAATCCTAAGTAGCAGACTTTAAAGCCTATCCTTAATCTAGCTATTATTAAGGCTAAAGGTAGACCTAGGGGTGCCCTTAAACTTACACCTTTAATAATATCCTAATAAAAGCCTATTATATTTAAATTTACATTAGTAATTAAGAAAGCTAAGGCTAATATAGCAGCAGCAGTAGCTAAAGCAGCAGTAGTAGCAGCAGCTAGGATAATAATAATATTAATAACTGCGGCTGTCCTTTTAAAGGGGATAGCGCTAGTGCTAGCGCTAGCGCCCTTATTAATAGCCCTAGCTGCTATAGACTTATCTAGGGCTTTAATTTTAAATATAGTAAGAGGCCTTCTTCTTATAGCTTAAAATAACACCTATAAAGCTAGTATTAAGATATAAAGGTTATACTAATAGGCATTAGTCTGTTTAGAAGATGTTAATAATAAGGAGCCTGGCCCCAGCCCTACTGGCGCTAATAACATTATTATTATCTCTAGCAGCAGCCTAAGCCTAAGCCTAAGCCTAAGCCTAGGGCTAGCCCTGTTACTAAAGATTTTACTAGACTAGTTGCTAAAGCTATCTGCAGTGCTAGACGCTAGCAATATTATTATTATCTCTAGCAGTAGCAGTAACAGCAGCCTTAGCCTAGCCCTAGCCCTATTACTAACACTAATGCTATAAGAGGATATAGACTTTAAAATACCCTTAAAGATACAGTAGCTATTATAGAATGCTAATTAGGAGCTTAATATCCTTATATAGCAGCTATTACTATAGCAATGCCTTAAAAAGCTTATATTAATAAGCGAGGATAGTAATAGTAGTAAGAAAGTAAATAATTTAGTAGAGGGCAAGGAGTTTATTACTAAAACAGCAGCAGATAAGGAAAGTATTAAAGATTAGCTTTATTTTAATGTAAATAGACTAGGAATAGCTTTAAATTTAATTAAGATATAGCTAAGTGTTATCCTAATATGCATTTATTAGGCACCGTTAGACATTAGCGTCTTAATTAACTAGCAATTTGCTAGGCAAGGGCGACACCGGCGTCTAACGGCACCCTAGCCACAATTTGAGGTGCCTGCTAACCGGATGTGAGGTGCCTAATAACCAGACCCTATATGTACCTAGGCCGTTAAGAATATAGAGTTACTATATGTTAAAAACACTCCTGTAATTGCTTTCACACCATGTCTTTCATAGTAATAGTTTTTCTTCCTGATAGGTACAATGAATGTGTTACCAACACTAAAGTTGAGACAAGCATGGTGTATACGGTGACATACATGTAAGGTAGAATTGGCCGTTGTAGATTGGCAAATTTTTTGGACTTGAAAGCTGGAGGAGATTGTCCATGGAGTAGGGTGCCTTCATGCGAATCAATTTGGCCTACAGCCCTACCTATATATCTACATCCTGATGACGCATATTGCAAGTACCTATGCAGCTTATATGGTCTTTTCGTATCCAGCAAAGTACTTTACAATCCATACCTACCTAGGTGCGAGTACCTAAGACGTAAGATGATGCCAAGCCGAGATGCCTGAAAGTGTTTAAGAAGGCACAATACCTCAGGTTGTAAATGATAGCTATTGAAGCTTTCATTGAAATGCTTCAAAAATCATCACCAAGATTCCGTGACGAGCTCAAAGCAGCCCAAGTGCCGGGTGTTCTCGCGAGGAAGAGAAACGCGCTCACTTACCCGACCATAGGTAGTCACAAGACTTTCCTCATAATCCCAAAGAACTATTACAAAACATACAGTAAACGATGCCTAAATCATCCCAAAAAAGAAGCCAATCGCCTCAAGAATCTTCAACAAAGCACCAATCTTTCCATCCTGATAACAGCCGCGCGCTTGATCTCGCGACTCGGCCCTCGGCCTTCTTGGCGGATGCCGAATATGGAGTCGCAAAAACCCCCTCCCCGCCAAATCTTGCGGAGTTACCCACCCCGATATTCGCCCAAAGAAGCAACCCTCTCCAGCGAAGAGCCCCGTCAATGATCGAATCGAATAGACGAGAGGATGATTAAGACATTATTTGCATGACTCTGATAGAAATCATGATTCAGAAGATTGAATAAGTACATGTACCCGTATGTAGCCTTTTCAATTGTGGTCGTAGAAGCTCCATTCAGTATTACAACTCCCGCTTCCCCTTCAGTCCTCCAACCTCACTCAGCCTGATACATGTACACCATGTCGCGCTCTCTCCTCATCACCGGCGCCACAGGCAGACAAGGCGGCGCCGCCATCCGCGCCCTCCTCTCCAAAAACGCAGACTTCAGGCTCCTCGCCGTCACACGCGACAAGACTTCCCCCTCCGCCCAAAGGCTCGCCAGCCTATCCCCGAAAGTCACTCTCCTCCAGGGCGATCTCAACAAGACAGACGCCCTCTTCCAACAAGCGAGAGAAGTCACCGGCTCGTCTCCATGGGGAGTCTTTAGCGTCCAGGTAATCACATAAACAATAACACACTGAAACATATTCTCCCCCAAACCAACGTCCAAGTCAAAACTCACACAACTCAAAAAAGGCCCTCAAACCAGGCCCCAAAGGCCCCCCCATCGAACAAGCCCAAGGCAAAGCCCTCATCGACTCCGCCCTCCAATCCGGCGTAAAGCACTTCGTCTACTCCTCCGTCGACCGCCACGGCCCAGAATCATTCACCAACCCGACCGACATCCCGCACTTCGTCAGCAAGCACAACATCGAGCACCACCTCGTCAACTCCGCAGCAAAGCCCAACAGCGGCATGTCCTGGACCATCCTCAGGCCGGTCGCCTTCATGGACAACCTCGACGGCGGCTTCTTCGGCAAGCTCTTCGCCACAGCCATCAAGCTCAAGCTCTCCGGAGACGCTGCGAAGCCTCTCCAGCTCGTCGCCACAGAGGACATTGGCCACGTCGCCGCCGAAGCGTTTCTCCGTCCTGAGGAGTACAGCGGGAAAGCCATCTCGCTCGCCGGGGACCAAGTCACTTTTCAGCAGCTGTCGGACATTTTTCGCGAAAAGACGGGTTCTCCTGTGCCCGTCACCTGGGACGTTGTAGCGAGAATGGTCTTGGCCATGTCCAAGGAGATGAGGACCATGTTTGACTTTTTCCAAAGGGAGGGCTATGGTGCAGATATTGAGGCGCTGAGAAGGCAATATCCACAGCTCAAGGACTTGAGGACATGGTTGGAATCCACTCCGTATGTGAAGAAGTAAGGGGTATATCTGTACAAGTTAGAGACCGTTCCATCAAACTGCCAATTGCAATTAAATAGACAGCAGTTGTTATTACACACAAAGAGGGTATGAAGCCTTACCGCAACTATACGCATATAAGAATCCCTGCAAAGTGTAAGCATCACCTTTTACATGGCCGAGTTGAGCTCAGAAAGCTGGGCCACCAACGAGTATTTTCAATAGCCGGCAACGTGTACGTATGCCTTGAATAGGTACTACAGCAACAGTCAGGCTCAACTAGACAGGTAAATTACATCCAGGATACGTATATTCAGCCATTGATACACACATAATTCGTACAATCGACTTCCATAAGGCGCCCATCAATGCCCTTGGTCGAAAAGCAAAAACCCCCTCTCTCTATATATACATACTATACCCAGGACGGGAGAGAAAGCAAACAGCCATCAAAGGTTCATCGTGGCTGTGTGATCAGCCGTCATGTCATGATGATCCCCAATCCCGATGCCCCTGCTGCCTCTGCAGCTAATCATGCCGATGCAGCACGCCTATATAATCACAAAAGCAAGAGAAACGCCAAGAGAATCCTTCCGTTCGTGTATCCTAATACACCGTCGTGCTGCTCCTTCAGGCAAGCACATCGCCGGATTGCAGACCTAGACGCCCAGACCAGAAATCGGCGAGATATAAAACATTTGGAAAAGGGTATTAGTAAAGAAAGGAACAAAGCAAGCAGCGTGGCATTTCCACCTCGTAAGCACATTCTGGCGCGCGCAATAATACCATCAATACCAGCAGGGTCTGATGCAGACGCAGCAGGCGGCTTATGCTGGTTAGTCCGTTCGCGTCCAGATGCGTCGTGATGCGTTTGGTTCCCCAAGTTGCTCGGCGGCTTTTATGGGGCGGCCAGAGCAGCGGTGAGAGCATTTGGTGAAGACTACTATCTCTTGTCCGAGGCCATGTGACCCGGCGGATCGACGTCGTCAAAGGATAGGAATATCGATGCTCGGTATGCATGTTTGGTGCGGCATGTGGTAACCGATGATGATGAGTCGTCGCATCTCCCAGGCCATCGGTAGTTGCGCCCTCCGATACCTTGATTTTCCTTTCTTTTTTCTCTTCTTTGCTTTCCTTTTTTTTTTCTTCAACACCAATGACGAAGCAATTCCATAAGGATTTGATTGGCTGGTTCATGCATCCTTCGTAATGGCTGCATGATGACCCTTGTCGCCGGTAAAAGTCGCCAAAAAGGCATGCAGAAAAAGCCTTGCGCATCAACGATTGGCCTCATGGTCGCAAGGGCTTGCGACCATAGACAACGTAGCTGCTGGAAATTAGCAAATCGTCCTCCTTGAGCCTGAAACGACTGCGCGGAGTGGAAAAAAGCTCATCGTCGGGCACAGAGACTTACTATGGCCAGTATGCGTGGACACCCAGGTCGCGTAGCTCCTTGCGTAGCAGGGCCGAGATGACCAGGATCTCGTCTTCTGTCCAGCCCAGGCTCTTCTGAAAGAGGCGCATCGTCAAGCCCTCCAGGTGGTTCATCAGGTTGTGCTGCTCCCAGGCCCCAATAAGTTTCAGGCGCTTATCCTTAGCCCAGGGGGTGCATGGCATCTTGTACACCTCCTCCGTAACGCACTCGAATCCTCGTTGCTCAAACCACTCCTTGAAGCGGGTCGGGTCATCCACTGGAGTGCCGTATCTTTCGCATGCCGTCTTTGTGAGATTCGCCCAATGTCGAAATGTGCTGTCGTCACGCAGCGTGCCGTCGTCACATTGGAGGAGTCCGGTATGGCATTGGAACTCGATCCATCCGCCAGGCTTTAGATGTCTATCAAGCAGATATGTCAGCTTAGAAGGAGGGACAAGACAAGGTTGCCGATCTCGCTCTGGGGCTGAACGAGCCATACCTGTATGCTTGGTCAATCAATCTAGGAAAGTTCCGTATCGACAGAATCAGGTCGCGAGAGAAGATGAAGTCGGCGCTGTCTGCCCTCCATGTCCAGGTCTGTTCGATGTCGTCAAGCTCGAACGAGCAGTTGGGCGGGACCCTTGATAGCCTCATCAGCGTCATCGTGCGTAATGCGTGGCTCGTGTCTCAAACATACCATTGCGGCTGGGTTGGGGCGATGTCGACACCGACAACCTGGGTAGAGGAAGCATTCATTGTCAGTCCCAGCGTCAATCAGGTATGGTCGAATGCAGGGAGGCATCGTACCTGTGCTCCGGGAAAGTCGTCGGCGACCTCGACACACCATATGCCTTTGAAACAGTCAGCGTCAACCAGCACACAGCAACCGACGGATGGTGTAGAAAGCTCCGGGGTTTAAACTACCTGTGCCGCATCCCAGGTCGAGGATCCTCTGCGGGTTTTCACTTATCGGGGATAAGAAGCGTCGCTGCTTCAGAAGGGAGAAGTATTTGGTGTGACACAGGTCCATACGATCGAGTTCCTGGTCGTCCATAGGGAGCCCGTATTCTTGAGACATCGGAGTCAGGTCAACACACAAGCTTGCAACCAGCGACCGCAATGGAGAGATCTGCGCTCCACGGTGGAAGAGAATCAACGGTACCTTCTTTCCCATACGCGGCATAGACTCGCTGGCCTTCGCCTACGACACCATGCAGTATCGATGAGGTGACGGAAGTCAACGACGACTGAAAGCTTCCAACATCGTTACCCTGGCCCGGAGTCAGAGGGCGTTCACTGGCATTCCACTCGCGCAACAAGCCACTTACCTCGTCCATTTCATCGTCCGGCGGTGACACCGCAGCCTATGTCAAGGTGCATGTCAGTAGCAGTCTCGACTTGACTGGGCCATCGTGGCCAAGAAGGACGGCGGCCATTGCACAGACAGCCGTCTCGTCGTACACACCTCATCGGGGGGAATCATTCCGTTCGGCTCTGTCATGATAGCTAATGAAGGCCGTGGGTTGTCGCCCATGTTATGGTGTCCAGGAATACAAGGCCTAGAAGGCGGCCCTCGGGCAGAAGTGACTCGGGAGCCTCGTCGGGCTGCAGTCACAGGCTGAAGCGTCGGTATGAGCTGCAATCAGGCGGGAGTTTCGTCGAGTCTCTCGCTCGTCCGCCTCTTGTCAATGAAAGATGCAGGTTTCTTGTCAGCTTGCGGCAGATGAGCAGCTTTGGCCTAGCTGCTGAAGAAGTGGGAGGGCCGATCGCTGGCTTGCAGCAAGTAGCTCTCCAAGTTAAGCTGTAGAGGGAAAGGCGACCAGCTGCTGGTGCGCAATAGTATGGGGAGGCAGGATGAATGGGGCAATGCGAGTCGATGGAGTTGTCGAGCGTGGCGTTTCTCTTTGGCTTGGGCTCTGGCCTTTGGCGTCTGTTCAGCTTCCGCTTTGGTTGCTGCTGGCCTCAAGGTTTGGGTCGTGGCTTCGGCTTATGGATTATTTTTCCTCCCCCGTCTGGTATGCGTGCGTGTTGCTTGTTGCTTCTATCCTTCACTAGGTAGGTAAGGTAGGCAAAGCCTCGACGTAACTCCAAGTCTGGACTTGCCCCGTTGTGTGTTGCCGCGGCCGAGTCGATGGGAATCGGCTCCTGCAAGCTTGTGCCCAGCAAGTCTCAAGGTCGTCTCAGCGTGAACCGGGCCGCCGGAGAGACTGTCAAGAATCTTCCACCTTATGCGAATCCCTGAATCGGAGCGGGCCGGCTCGCTGGGAAGAGGCTATCGACACGCCCAGCTTACAGTCTCGTCTCTCAGCGCAGTCCTCGGAATGCCGGCGCGCAGCATAAGGCACATGTAGACGACAGTACCGTAGGTAGGTCACGTAGTTGTAACAGCTGGGGGAGACTCAACGTGGGCTAGGGACGATACGGGCGCCCTATCGCACAAAACAGACACAACAGAAGCCGCAGACTAGGGGGTCTGATAATGGACAAGAGGGGGGGAACAAGAGCACAGGGCAGAGGGCAGAGGGCAGAAAGTTCCCTTCTCCTCGTTCGCTGATGCGGACGACAGTACAACTACATACAGGACAGGACCAGGACAGGACAGTGCTCTTCACCCCGGTCGTGTCCACTTGTTCAAGGGTCCCAAAGCGGCTGTAAGGACCGGCCGAGTCATGTGTTAACCGCTTTTTGCGCCCAGGAGACGATGGAGGAACCAACACGATAGTCAGGCACGGAGTTATTCCAGAACAAGAGAAGAACCTTGGGAAGGGAAGCCGCCAATGGCTGTCGAAAGCTGTGTTGGCAAGGGAGGTGTTGTTGCAACCCCCCCCCTCCCCCCAAGTGGTGCTCAGGTGCAGATCTGGAGTTGGGTAAAGATCGACTATGACAGGCTCAAGCTTCGAGAGCAGCACGATAGTAGTCAATCAATTTTCATATGAATATCCATGTCTACCGGCGTTTTGCCAAAATACCACTTTGCCTGGCTACCTCCCTCCCAACGGGTCGTATCGGCCACAAGTGCAGTATAAGGCATCTACTACTCTTCACTCTTCATGTTAGTACTGCAAGTCCCAGATCGTCCATGGTGATTGCAGCATGTGTCATCGATAGCTGCTCCGTATTACCTGATGGCACAAATTTCCACATGTCCATATAATAATCTACATTTAGGTGGTATCGCCGAGGCCTTGCATTTATCGGCAGAAGCAGCGACACAGCCGACAAACCCCAGCTTTACATGCCTAAAACCCAAGTACATGTAGTATGTACGCACTCTTGCCTATCTTGTATGATACAGATATGAGGCATATGACACGTAGAACCAAAGACGATGCTGCTTGTCTGCATGTGGATCGTCAGCATACAGATATAAGGCCGAGTGCTTGTTGCAGGCGCCTACATGTTATATTTTTTACATGATGGGGGTGTAGGGCCGTGCAGGAGTGCGGTTGTATTGCATCGGCAACTGTTGACGGTATTAGAAGGGCATCAGCTAGGACAAGATACTTGTCGACAAGAGATACTTCTCTGCGACCTACCTTTGGGTACAAAAATATGATATTGAAGATGCGAGTATAGTATTTGAACAAGATATCAATCCCCATGTCCCGGATAGGCAGCCAGTCAGGGCTCCTTGAAAGGAGGCCAAATGCCAGCACGGCAGCCTCCAACCAGGAGGACTTGATCAGGTGGCCAAGGCTTCGGCTGTCGATGCTTGACGCAGCTTGATGATAGCACGCAGAGAGCGACATTATCTTGATCCTGGCCACGACTGCCATGGGACTCGAGAGGGATCATTCATGGGAGCCCTGGGACAAGCTCAGCTTCTTCAAGGTGGCCCAACCAAGCACAAAGCATCATGCCGGGAGTTGTCGCACAAGGCATCATCATCAAGCCTCCTATTGCTTCGCGTGCTGCCATCGAGGCAACGTGAAGTTTGACGTTGGCAGGTAGTCGAACGTCAAGCCATCTCGCTTGGGCCGACTCCTTGCAGCCCGTGCTGCATACATGTACATGTAGTAGTATGTGCTCACCTGCTCCTGGTAGGGCTAGCCAGCCAGCCATGCAGATGCGGGCTTCATGGTCCTTGAGCCTGCCGCCGTGACTGGCTGGATAAAAAGGGCAACACCACCGTTCTGATTGAGCGACAAATACGACCAACAGCAGTTTGAGCCTGTCATGAGAGGCTGCGCGGCAACGGATGTCCGCCGACGTTGAAGCTGCTGTCATTCGTTGATGATAGGCTCGTTACACATGCAGCCAGAGCCCGCACGCTCGATGCGTACGTGTATCATGGATGTCCTAAAACCGGTGGCACTTCGACCCAGCCTCCAGTTGAAGGAAGAGAAGCGGCTCCAGTAGTTATTGCAGCGTGCTGCCTTCTGGTACAACACGGCTCTGCACGCACGTGCATGCAGTGGAACAAGCCGCAATCAACTTGACGAAATCAGGTCCCGCGACACGTTGAAGATTACGTTCATCTGCAGCCAACAACAACGAAGACGGGCAACTTGAGGTTCAGGCCAACCAACCAACCAGCCAACCAACCAACCAACACCAGCCCAGGCCAGAGAGACAGACTACGTGTAACCGACGGCCTTCGCTCCGAGCTTTGGGGCACAGCGCTTCGAGCGGGAAGCGCACCGGCGCGGACATCGCTCAGCCGTCGGGACGTGAAGCCGCCGCGGACCGTTGGCCCGAGCTGAGATGAGCGGTCCCCAAGAGAGACGGAGAGCCGGTCCGGTTTGCAACAACTCACTGTACATATTCTTCTTCAGTTCTTCATGGCGGAAAGCGATGGCGGGACGACGAGAAATGGATCATCGTGAACTTCGGTACGCGAGCCATCCGCGAAGCTCCCACTACGAGAGCAGCATCTCGTGTGCAGGCACAAGGCAACGGACAAGACGGTGCGTCTGGTTGACGGGTTTCAATTCGAATGTCCACCTCACGCCAGCAGTGGCAGATCACGGCAGACTGCATGCCCAGGGGGGGGGTTGGCCCTCGGCTTCACGTTGCCTGATCGGTAACGCTCCGGCAAATCCCCCCTTTGCCTGAGGAGAAAATCTCGTCCCAGCAGATGACTTTCGGATGAGCCGAGTTGACTACTATGCGCATACGACTCTCCGCCTTGTCTCGCTTCCGACACTTTCCAATCTGCCTCGCCCGCGTTCGACAAGGCCGTATTGTAACATACATAGTACTCGTAAGGTGGAAAAAAAAGAGAGCGGTGTAGATACATACGAAGTGCATGCAGCAGAGCCCAGGGAGAGAGTCTGCATCACCAATCTGGACGCGCGCATCCTTTGGGGGGAGGCATTGCACATGGCATGATAATACTAGCACAGCACTGGGTTAGTTATCTAGCCCAGCCAAGCCCTACTCCATATTACTCCGTAGCAGATGGAGAAATCCACCGGACGGAGTTGAGAGAGAAAATCCTGGAGAGACATTTGGATCTAGTACTAAAATGCCCCCATGCCTTGCCTTGATCGCCGTGGCTTGTTAGCCTTGCCTTCAGTCTCTCTAAAGTATACATACTGCTGTCTGGGGCCGCCCCGGGTGATGGTGATGGTCACGGATTAGACTGCCCGCATCAGATGGAAACATCCTGACTTCGACAGAGCGAGCTTCAATGTCATCGGAGTTGCGCCAGCCTCCTAATATAAGCCGCTTGCTGAGTGCATAGATACATGTACCCTTACCAAGTAAACATACGCACCCGTCGTAGTTCATGTGAGGCATAAGCCGGTGTCGTCATGAAGGCCAAGTGACGCCCTCTTCATGCACGCACCTCGCAATTCATGTCGCGAACTGGACTCAATCGCCCCATTGACGGGTGCTTTCTACTCTTTCAGGCCACTCCTTGGAGGGCATGAACCAGCGAGCGACATGCGGCATTGACGAATCTAGCAGGGAATCTTAGAAACGGCCCAGCCCGTCTTACACGCTCCTCGCCAGCAGGCTGGGGTCATTGCTCCTTGTCGTCAGCTCATCGGAGAGATATCTTAGACGCCTATCGCGACACCACCATCACAGAAAAGGGCTTTGAGACCTTGATTACGGTTCTCGATGGCTTCTCAGATCTGTCGATGGCGCGACTGTTTCCAGAAGGGTCCCAATGTTTGTCTATGGCATGCATACCTAGGAACATGTAGAGACGATTCCATATCACGGTCCTCGTTCCGCGCCGCCCTCCGGGAAGCATATCGCTACAGGAGTCGTTACTGATACCTACATGTATGTACTTTGCACAGCAAGAAGCGCAAGTTGAGCATCTCGCCTCGCGACATGTACATACACATGAACCACAATGTAAGTGCCGTCGCATCCCCCCAGCTCGATGCCACCTCTCATGAAGATGTCTTTGTCTCGTTAACATGCCGCCGCCTCCGTTCCCCAAGCATACATGTACACACTACTATTCGTACATACCTTGTTCTGCGGCCTTCTTTCATGCGTCTCGCATGTCCTAGTCTAGCTGTCAGTCAAAACGACCCTCTCGAGGCGATCCCTGTCATCCAGCCTGGCAGGTCAAGACAAGTGTCGAGGACCGGGCGCAACATTGACTCGATTCGGCGTCGCCAGCACACCCTCTTTATGCGGTGCTACTTACTATTGAAAGTAATAATAATACGGCACACTCTCTCTCTCTTACACGGAGTCTTACTGTATTATGTTGCAGCACACCTTGGCACCCGAGACGCGTACATGTTGCATATCGATCCCAATTGCCATGACAAGCAGCACTCCTATCTATTTACCTTGCCCCGGCTGTATATCCAATCTTTTCCCTCTTGAAGCCGCGTGCTTAAAGATGCTCAATGCGATGCCGTTCTAGCGCTCCAGGCTTCTTAAAAGTCTAAATGCCGCTTCATCGGCGCATCTCGGCGCCCAGATCCATGCCTCAGATCTTTTCTGATACTTGCGATTCGGCTTTGCCGCCATTCTAGTTGTAGTACCGTCAAGAGGGCAACAATAGAAGTGGTAGCCAATGAAGATGATAAGGTCGCATAACGCATGAGCCGTCTGAAATCATTGACATGAGGTTTGTCATAGGGAGGCGATCAGAGGAGAGGGATGAGGGAGAAAGGGTCACTACTAGTACCTACCTACCTTACTTACATGTATTAGTAGGTAGGTAGTTGGTCTAGAAGCCTTGCCCGGCATATCTGCTATGGAAGCACAATCGCCAAGAGTATCTTGCCTTTGACAGCAGGGGTACCAAGCCTTTTCTTTTTTTTTTTCTCCTCTGGCCTAGGATCCGATTTCTATTTAGAGATTCCTTGTTGGAGTTTTAGCATTATGATTGCAGCATCGAATCGCAAGGCCAGCAATTGCGGGCAAATCGACTCTCCGGGGGCCAGATTCGGGGAAGATAACGGAGAGACAGTGGGTGTTGTTCGTCCTGTATGCCACAACAGCCTGACCTACCTACCTTTAGGTATATCTTCATAACACCAGCTAGAGCGCCTCAGCAGAATACAGAAAACTTCTTGTGTCTTTTTTGTGTTTGACAAGATGGCTGTTGTACATGGTATATTCATACACCTCTTTTTTTTTTTTTTTTTGCTCTAGGTACCCTTTCTTTCCCCGTGACATCACCCAGACATAGGTAGGTACTCATCCATAGAATCATACAAAGCCCATCAAATCTTCCCCGTCAACCAATCCCTCTCCTTGTTCCGCGGCGCGTCCCCGTACCCCGTCACCGGCAGGTCGCGCTTCTTAAGCTCCTCCTCAATCACCTTCCACCGTCCCACGGCCACCTCCTTGTCGATCGGGCCGACCCTGCGCTCGTGCACCTTTACGTTGGCGAGGTCGCCAAAGGCGTTGCGCTTCTCGAGCACCTGCGCCAGCTTCAGCGGCTTGGGGTCCCGCGCCGCGAGGGTCAGGATGTGCTTGGCGGTGTTGGCGGCGGCGAGTTTGGCGTCGGGGATGAGGACTCCTGTGAGTTGGTAGAGGCGTTTGCGGAGCTGTGCAGGAGGATATATGGATTAGCAAACGCTGTATACGCACACACACGGGAAGGGACAACGAGGGGCGCTGAAATGACATACCGCAAATCGTAGGGGATTGTCCAACGCAACGTTCTTCCATGATGAATCCCACGACTTGGTCATCTCCCTGGCCTCCTCGACAGTAATGACCGGCGGCGTAGATTCAACCTCCTCAGCCTCACTCGTCAGAGCCTCGGCAATCGCCGAAGCATCGCCCTTCAACGTAGCCTTGCCATCCTGCACCTCCACCTGCGCAGCCAGCGCCTGGTCCATCTCGCCCCTCGCCCCCCCCTCGGACCATTTCTTCGTAGCCCACTCCGCAAAGACGCCCTTCTGCTGCAGCGCCAGCGCCTCCACCACCGCCCGTCGCAGATACACCTCCAGAACCTCCTTCTCCACGACCTTGACGGCGCTGCCAAAGCCCTTGAACTCGCTCTCCTCGCCCCAGTGGCCCGGCTGCTCCCACCACGTGCTCAGCGGCCCAATCTCCTCCAGCCCTTCCGCGTCCGCAGCAGGCACGTACGTCGGGTCCGACGCCTGCAGCTCCTTTTCCGCCGCGACCTCGGTCCTCCTGCCCGGCAGCGCCAGCCTCGACTCCCGCACGGCGGCCGGCGTCTTGTCACGGCGCGACCTGCTGCTGCTGCTGCTCTCGAGCGCCTCCTCCGGCAGGTTTGTCTGCGCCTCGGGCTCCATCCGCTGCGTGTAAGGGTCGGCCGGGCCGGGGGCCTCGCCCTTCCACAGCTTGCCCCGGATCCAGTCCGTGTTCTTGCTGCGCGCGGGGCTGGTCGTCGAGATGGCGCGGGCGGCGGCAAAGGACGGTCGGGGTGCGGCGGCGCATTGTGATGGGACGGCCAGTTGCAGAGACTGGAGTCTCCGCATCCTTGTTATTCGGGCCATTGGTGCGGGTGTGTGTATATGTGAGGGAGAGGCCCGGTGTTGGAGAAGAGTTCGGCCGGGGGTTTGCTGGATGGATTTTGAGATGCTAAAGTTCAGACTCGAACTGTAACTTTTCCTCATATGGGGCTGCGAGAATGGGCCAACCAGAGCGCAGGATGACATCGAGTAGCTCCACATTTTGAGGTCAGCCTTGTCGCCAGTTTCGGCAGCGCAAGGGATTCGCATTATCACCCTCAACCTTGAATCTTCATCCGAATCTAGGTACACACCGAGATGCAGTAAACGTTGGAGCGAGAATCATACCTCGTAGATCTTCGACGCATCAGCAGAACCCGCCATGGCGCGAATCCATCTGCTGGTGCTCCTCCTCGCTGCGCTCGTAGCGCTAGCCTCCGCCTCTTGTAAGTTCATTCTCAAAGCCGCTCAGAACCCACGATATCCCCCTCGATCCGAATCCGAAAGCTGACACCTCATGAACCCGCAGCCGCCCCCCGGTTCTGCAAATGCACTTGCTTCAAGAACAGCACCATCATCCCGCTCGGCCCGCAACACCAATCCGACCAGCGATCCCTCTTCCACCACGACGACGACCATCATGACGCCCGCAGAACGGCGTCGACCTCGTGCGCAGACTGCACAAAGGCCTTTTGCCTGAGCCAGGGCATCAGCTTCTGCGAAAACGCAGACGAGGACGACGTCGTCACCATGTGCTTCCAGCGCGATAGCAACAAGGACAAGATCATCGTCTGGGGCTTCATCTTTGGCACGCTGGGCTTGCTGGGCTGGGCCGCCTTCAAGAGGGTGCTCGAGTGGAGGGAGGCGCGGAACCTGGGGCGGCTGGGCGCCAGTTATGCTGCTGTGGGCGGCACTCGATAGCACATGATATTACCTTTTGCGAGATTTGTTTTTTTCCGAAATTCGAATGGGGTTTCTTGGCTTTACGGTTGCGCGGCGTTTGGGGGGAAACACTTGACTTGAAGGGTCCTTCACTGGTACTTGCTCGCGACACGGAACGCGGACTTTGAATGCGGCATCTTGCTGTGTAGGCAACTCATGGTTCTATTCTGAAACTGGTTCGTGTGCGCCGTCTGTGACAAAGTGGACAGCCAACAATATATGCCTTCATACATGTTCCTTTGGTGCGCCAATTTCTCGATATCCGTGTCGAATGCTCTCCCTAAAACTTTTCTTATTTACGCTGGCCAGGGAGGAAGCCAGGATTCGCGCGCATAAACTCACGCATCGTAATGTTCAAAATCAACAAACCGACCCTCATGCTTTTCGTTCCTCTCTCTCATCGTACACACATACGCCCCTTCCGGTAAAACTACGTCTAGTCCTCCTCCAGAGTGCTCACCTTGGCCTCTGCGCTAGGAGCACCCGAGTTGACCTCGCGTCGGGTGCGGACGGCAGCGGCAAGGTCCTCGAGGACCGTGACTGTGTCCTCCCAGTTGATGCATGCATCCGTGATGCTAACGCCGCGCTTGAGACCGGCCGGACCCTCAGCAGGGACCTTTTGGTTGCCCTCGTTGATGTTGGACTCGATCATGACGCCGACAATGGCTCGCTCGCCCTCGCGCAGCTGGTCGGCAATGGCCTTGGCAACCTTGGGCTGGTTGTTGTGGTTCTTCTGAGAGTTGCCTACGTCTTGTTAGACCCGATTCACAATTTTGCAGGCCAAGTTTTTGTCTTCAACATGATTATGGCAGAAAGAGCTTACCGTGAGAACAGTCAATCATAATGGCCAGCTTCTGGCCCTTGTCCGTCAGCATCTTCTTGGCCGCCTGGACGCTCTCCTTGTCAAAGTTGGGGCCCTTGCTTCCGCCTCTCAGGATCACGAAGCCGTGCTCGTTGCCCTTGGTGCGGGTAATGGCAGCCAGGCCCTGCTTCGTCACACCCATGAAGTGGTGCTTGGCCGCGGCAGCGCCAATGGCATCAATGGCGACGCCAAGGCTGCCGTCGGTTCCGTTCTTGAAGCCCACGGGGAAGGACAGGCCGGAAGCGAGCTCACGGTGCAGCTGGGACTCGGTCGTTCGCGCGCCAATGGCGCCGACGGAGATGCAGTCGGCGAGGAACTGGGGGGAGATGGTGTCGAGCATCTCGGTGGCAATGGGCATGCCGTTGGAGGTCAGGTCGACGAAGAGCCGGCGGGAGACGCGCAGGCCCTTGTTGATCTGGAAGGACGAGTCGATATCGGGATCGTTGATCAGGCCCTTCCAGCCGACGGTCGTGCGAGGCTTCTCCAGGTAGGCGCGCATCACGATGCAGAGGTCGTCGGCGAGCTTCTCGGAGAGCTGCTTGAGGCGGGCGGCGTACTCGTGGGCGGCTTCGGGGTCGTGGATGGAGCAGGGACCGACGACGACTAATAGCCTGTCGTTCTGGCCCATGATGATCTGGGCAGCGTCTCTCCGGCCCTTGACGACGGTCTGGAGGGCATTGGGAGTCATGGGGATCTCGGAGATGAGCAGAGCCGGGGGGATCAAAGGATCCTGACCCAGGACTATCGAATTGCTGTTAGCCCATGATCGAGTCTTGAATGACTGCGTCTCCCAGTGAAGAACAGCGTAGCCGAGAGAGCACTTCGCAATGGCGCAAAAAGCCCTTTGGCGCAAGCACCGGAATTGCATGTGTCAAAGGGGCTTCAAGGCGCCGGTCCGGCATCGCAGTTCGGATTCCTCGCAGCTTTGGGGCGCTGTTTGGCAAGATTCTGCACTCACTTCTGGTATCATCGGCGATAATCTCTGCGTCAACGCCAACCATCTTGTTTGTAGTTGTCTGTGGTTCTTGGGAAGAAGAATGGTGAAGAGGAGAAAATTCGAGGAATTGGAACGATGGTGGGGTGTTTTGGCGACTTTGAGTGGCGGGGTCACTCGAAGTCGGATTGATGAATCTCGCAAGATGTCGAGCCAAGGGTATCACAATTGGAAGGCAATGAGGTTAATCAGTCAGGTTTTTCTCTAGAAGAATATATATTTTCCAACGAGGGCAACAGCTTCAAGATATACAACCGGCAGCGCACTCGCCAGCTCCCAATGAGTCAGATCACCCTTGTAGACCGGAGAGCAGCCCAGATGCCGGACAAAATTTCTTAAATCGGCCGCGCTTCGGAGGTGTGGATGCGCCGTGAGCTACCCAAAAAAAAACTCGGTCCAGAAAAAACAAGGGAAAAAGAGGCCACAGTTACGTCGGTCTAGCTCTCAGAGTGGTCAATTAGAGGCTTACAATTGGTCAGTATATGAGTCGAGCCGCCTGCGAGTAAGGCTTTAGGATGTCGAGAGGTCCACAGCCAGCCTTGACAGCTGATCACCGGAGGGCTGGTTTTGTTTTTTTCCTTGACGCCGCCTTGTTCGGCATGTGCTTGAGAAGCCGCCAACTCGGCGTTCATTTCCACCAGACAGCTACTATAAGTACGTGTTTGTTCTCTACATATATTTTTTTTTCGTCAATTGGATGCACCACGAAGTCACATATGCCTACAATTAAACAATTGATGCCTATTAAACAGTTGATGTCTAGCACAAGGTATAAACTGGCGTCTTCCGCTTTGGAATAAGATACTTATTGCATAGGCTTTCATGCGGTCTCATCTGGATGGTCAATCCTCATGCTTCCTGCAGCGTAATATAGCTCTACACTTACATGCTTGCCTAGAAACCTTATGGTTATAGAGAACAGGGGCTTGTCTGCACCTAGCAGAGGACACAATCTGCGCAGCTTAAACCATGCTAATGTGAATAGTCTGAGGCATTGCCGCTTCTTATTGATCTTGGTGATGGGCGCCGAACGAGTGAATCCGCAGCGACGGAGTAGATATTGAAGCCTACTAGGTAGGTAGGTAAGGCACCGTAGCAGGTAGGTATGCCACTGATATTCCGGTACTCCAGATTCTCAGCACTCACGGCTCGGCATATTACGGAATATTACAAAGGCAGCAGTTTTGAAAAACACACTTGAACATACCTCACCTTATTCCTCCCATTATGCACTGCCTTACCCGCCTGGTGTAGTAGGTACCGATGGCTTTGAAGGAGTTTTGCGCTGCTGTCGGAATCCCCGAGTAATAACCCCACCACTACTACCACCATTTACCCTGCACCATGCGCATGATACCCAGGTATTCAGTAACTCACAGCATCAGGACTTGAGTATCCAAAGATGAAGGCAATTATCGAGAGCCATTGACTGTAGGCAAACAAACTTAAGTACATGTGCCCCGATTGTTCTCTTATGCCAGACGCTCGCAACTGCTGATTGTAGTTGTGCTTGTTTCATGTCCCTGCTAGATATGAGGAGATGGGCAAGGGACCACTCCACCTAGACCAGTGATCTATAGGTCCTAGCAGCTATAGAACATTGATTCAGATGTTACAGAACTCAGAAAAACACATGCCGAGTAAATAGACATATAAAGGCAAGCATCATGCAACGAGACCAGAGTGAAATTCTCTCTTCGATCTTACGCCTCGACATCTCTGATCCGTTAGCCAAATCGCACACCTCCCCCTCCCAGGGATGCCCCCCCCCCCGGAAGACTTACACCGCAGGGTGAAAAGACTCTCAACCCATCGACCCTTCTCTATTATGGTCTTCTTCCTCCCGTGCCACCCTTTCGTCAGCACCACGAATTAACCTTCACACGCTCCCTACAAGTACCTACCTCCAACTACCTGACCTTACCTGTTCCTGTAATACCCAGGCATTCAGCAGGTCTCCCACCGCCCACATCAGAAGCCGCCAGGGCCTACAAGACAACCTCGACACCATCGCATAGCCAACATGCAAGACGGCCCCCAACATAGAATTCCTCTCATCTTCAGCATGCCACAGACCAACCAAACCAACAAGCACAGACTCAAACTCAAACTTGCCATTCTGCGCTATGCACCTTCATGTACCCCAATACCACAATTTGCATCACCAAATCCTCTGTGGCGCAATTGGCTAGCGCGTCTGACTGTTAATCAGGAGGTTGGAAGTTCGAGCCTTCCCGGAGGAGATCTGTCATCTCAACGATTTCTTTTTGCTGTTTCTCTCTACTACTCATCATGACCATAAAGTGTTCAAGCCGAGTGTCAAATCCCTAGATCAACAGTGCACATGATGGTTCATCAGCCTCAAGTCATGTCGATTCATTAAGTCTACCGAAAAAAGTCGCTACTCATTAATCTGCCCGTCGTTTACCCAGTGGTCATCCATCCCAGAAGCATCGGCGTGTGTGTGTATGTGTGTATCGTCGGCATGTATGAAGCAAATCGCTTCCAATGTGCGCTTCTTCGAGGCGGGAGCAAGTATAGCTCGCGGCAGACCAGTCGTAGCTGGTCTCCTCATGTGTAACAGAACAAGGGGAAAAAATATTAGAGAATTGTACAGTGTCGATGCGTTATAACAATAACGAGTGCGTCGCAAGTATAGCTTCCTTCCGTCCAACGCCGAATCATTGTCGTTCAAAGTGAAAAGAAACAGGAAAAAAAGGAGAAGACAAAAAAAGAAAAAAAAAAGTCAAGCGATGTGGCCGTGGATGTCGCGATCCACCACCAGCCTTTGGCGTTTCCAGAAGGGGCTGCTCATCCTGCTTCGTGTTGAAAAGGCTCTCTGCTTGAGCTTGGACACGGGAAACTCCAGCCGCCGGCTCGGCAAGGCAACCGTCCCTGTGCACTTTGCTGCTTGCTGCCTCATGTTGTTTTGTCTGTAGTCGGAAAACTTGGCCAGCTCATGTCGCTTGGCCTGCCAATCGAGGGGCCTGACGGCGGTATCCTATAAATCCGGATCGGATCTGCTGTCGATGACTTTAGTCTTCCCCTGCTATGAGATGACAATGTGATTGAAGTGCCCGGGAACTTTCAGTCGACATTTCTCACAGTCGGCTCGGTAGCCAATGCTGAAGCTCTTCTTCATCCCCGGCTGCCACGTCCAGCTGTTGATGGTATGCTTGCTTCGCATATGGCCTCTGCGCCCAGGGCTAGGCGAAGGCGCGTCCCCCTCGCGGTCGACCGCCTGCAGTTGTGCCGGCGACTCGACATCCATCATCGTGCTGGGGTGGTCCATCACAGGGCTTGGCAGTGGAGGATCGACGGTCGCGCCCATGCCATCATCACTCATCATGCTAGTGTCGCTGCAGTCTTGATCCCGGGTGCAGCCTTCGATTTCCGAGATGGGCGAGGGCAGCCTTCGGTGGTTCTGCACAGCCTGCCAGTCTTCCAGACCAGACATGGCGCGAGGCACGGATTGATCATCCGAAAAGCCTGCGGGATGATGGCCCATGTTGACAACGCCGTTGAGTGTCGTCACAACCGGACCAGGGCCGGCCCACTCGTGCTGCTGGCCGCGCACCTGGGCGGCAAAGTTGGGGTGCATCGGCGTCGGCATCCGATCAGAGGTCGCTGCCGTGTTCGGCTCCGCGCCACCGTAAGATGAAGAGCCTGCTGCAGGTTGGTGCGACCAAGCAGCAAAGCCGGGCTGCGGCACGGGGTCGTGAGAGCTGAGACTGAGGGAGGTGAGAGATGATGCAGTCTGCCACTGCTGCGCCGACTCTGGTGAGCTTCGGACAGGGAGGTACTGGACTCGTTTCTGCTCGGACCGTTAGCACAGGCTGCCTCTTGCGGGGGAGAGCATCTCGTCTCTCTCTCTCTCTCTCTCTCTCTCTCTCTCTCTCTCTCATATCTGTTGGGTTCTCGTAGGACTCACGCTCTGGTGCTGCTCCCAGCCCGTGGACATGCCGCCCATTTCCTCCTCGTCCCCGTCACGGCCGCGCTTTCGACCCACGCCCATGTAGCACTGCGTATCAGCCATTGCGGAAGCCCTGCACGATGCCAGAGTGCGTTGATCAGAAATATGATATGCAAAGAGAATGGCGATTGGTTGGGAGCGTAGAAAAAGAAAAAAAGAAAAGAAAAGAACAGCAGCGATGTCAAGCAAGACGGAGGTGAGAGAGTGCTGGCCAGGTGGGTGATGGCTACCTTGCCTGCGGTGAGATATGTATAGAGGGTTGGCAGCTGAGAGTCAAGAGCGGCTGGCAGTTGGTGAGGGGACGGCAGTTAAAGGGAAAAAGGGAGTGGCTAGCCAGCCAACAACCCTGACCGTGCTGGCAATCCTGGGCGCTTTATATGCCAGCTCCGCGGTGCTTCTTGCTCCTGCTTAATAGGCAGTGACCGAGACAGAGCCTTTCTCGTGCCTTTGTCATGTGTTTGCAGGATCACTGTAGACTTTTGCTCTCAATCGAGCGCTCTATATTCCTGCCCGTCTTATCTGGATCCGGTATCGCTGCTGGATTTGATTGTGTTAGCACTGCTAAGTAGGCAGCGCCACTGGATGCTAAAAAGTTTGAGGCTACAGGCGCAATGAGGCGGTAACACCAAGGCTGTTGAGGCTGGACCCTTGGAACCAACCAACACACGCCATGCGACGAGATGGAATGACTTTACTCGTGGACCTTGATGAAAAGTAAACACGCAGAGAAACATATTATTTTATGCTTCTTTCGCTTGATTGATGTACACAGACGAGGCATATGAAAATCTTTGCATTGCAATGACTTGCTCAGAGCCTGGCGAATCTACTGCACAGCTTTGGCGAGGTTTCCTAGCGCTTGCGCTTCAATGCACTCACCCTTCAAGCCATGAGATGCTGCCAATGGAATCACTGCTGTATATGGTATGTATATAATGCTGAGCAGCGTTCTTCAATCGATTGAGGGGCCTTGGCCCTTCTATCGTGACACTACGTCAGATGGCCCGGATGGATGGCTGCTTTGCTCCCATTGCTTGGATGCAAGAGGTGCTTACTTGTACGATTGCGGCAAAGTAATACGCCCTCCATGTCCAACTTATCGCGTTGTAAACCACCTCGGAAACTCCAAGGCTGACTGACACCGCCCCCTGGGTATCATGACGGCCTCAAACTCACCTACAGTTGCATCTTCACTCACATCATCCACTTCATTTCCGCTCCCTTGTCCAGATGTATCTGCAGTCCCGCATGCCCAACCAATGCATCTAGATGCACATGATATCATTGTAGCTGGGAGGTGTGTCCCCTTATAGTACATACAACAAATGAACTCCCGACTCCATCTAATGCAAGCCCATCGACATGTAGTATGATACACGACTGCCGCCCTCCTTACCCAAATAACACGATATATAGTTTTTCTCTTTCTTCGTTGCTCCTCCCCTTTCTTCCTCTTCAACTTTTATCCGCCGCCGGCCATGAGCTCACCACCAGCCCTTCTTCTTGGGCTCTGGTGCGGCGCTCCCGGTCTCCAGGCCGAGCTGATCCAAGCTGCCTCCGTTCCTCTGGTTTTCCTTTTCCTTCTCCCACGCATCCTTGACAATGGCAGTTGCGCTGCTGCTGTTCTCCGTATCGGTGTTGGCGGTGTTGGCCTCGCTACCTCCCCAGAGGAAGCCCAGCAGGCCCTTGCCCTTGGCCTCAGCCGCCTTGCCGGTGTCGAATGCAGTCTTGACGTGCTCCTCGAAATGCGTCCGGTGCTCGGGCGGTGACAGCAGGGGAGGCAGCCGAACGCCCTTGGCCTCGGCCTCGCGGTTGGCCTCCTCGACGAGGGCGATCTGCTCCTCGGTTGCGTCGCCCTTGAGGTAGGCAAGACGGGCGGTGGAGAGCTCGTCGGCCTCGAACTTGCGCTGGGCCTCGATCCATTCGGCGCGGCGAGCGCGGTTGTAGCGGAGCATGTCCCAGACGGAGTATACGCTGACGACGCCGGCAACGACTGGAGAAAAGAATGCATGTCAGACTCGTCGTTCATCTCTGAAAGCTCCTCTCCCGTCACTGTTCTTGCTCCAGCTCATTCCCCCTTCCTCTCCAGCTTGCCCACGTACCTGTAAACATCACGAGGCCCCCCACTGTCCACCTGTGGGCCACATCAAAGAAGCGCCTTGACGCATCAATGACCTTGTCCGTCTTGCTGACCTGCGCCCTTTGCGCTGCCAGATGCGCCTGCCTTAATCGCCTCACCCGCTGCTCGGGCGTCTCGCCGGGGATCCTGGAGGCGGCGCTGGGGGTCGCGGCAGAAGTGGCAGACTTTGAGGTGGCGTGGGGTATGGTGGAGGTGAATCTGGTTGCGTCCTTGACGCTCCGAGGCCCTATCCGGGAGGCCATTTTGAAGTTTAGGGGTTGTAAAGAAATGGGAGGAAACCTGTCAGTAGTTGAACCTGGAAGAAAGGCCAAAGTGGTAGAGAGGCTGATTGACAGGAGCAGACGGGCAAAAGGTGATATGAAGAGAGGTTTTGCTGGATCGGTTTTCGTGAGATTTTTCGACAAGGTGCAAGCCGCAGAATCGGCCAAGAAGTGTGGAATTCGCTCAATCTGATTGGCGCGGGAGAATTCCGGGGGAGCAGAAATGGGCTGTTTTTTCCCTGAGGAAAGAAAGCTGATGGGAAGAGTCGGCACTACGGAGATGGCTTGGGATTTTGAGAAGAGGAATCGCGTTGGATGTCTATCATTGAGCTGCTCCAAATGATACTGGCATCATCGAACCGTCTCATTAACGTACAGTCATGTCATGGGTTTAGCAGATGGTTCACTAGGTACGATTGGTGGATCGTCGTAGGCACTCGTAGATGGTCGCGCATCACAGCCATGAAGAGAGTAGCAGCATCTACGGATTTTGGAACGTCAATTGCTAGAAGCCGAGATCTATCGAGACTTGCGCTTCGGTGTTCGCACTCTATTCTACGCAGCGCGGCAGATGAAGTTGGTGGGCTGTGCCGCCGTACATAGGCTACCGTGCATGAAACACCGCCAGAATCACAGAGTTCCAGGGACAAAGTCTTCTTCATGATGCTGCATGTAGCAGTCTCACAATGAAAACGGAGTGAAATATATCAAAAATTACGCCTCCCATGGCCCCGAAGGACAATGGAGCAAGGAATGACTCCGCGATGTGCAATGCAGGCCTTCCTTACTGAATACCCCAATTCTTGAGCTGGGGTATTCGAAACAAGGTAAGTATGAAGAAGAAAAGAAGAAAAATAAGCAAAGAAGCCGCAGCGTGCACGCTGTTTTATAGCTCCAAGTTGATGCCTGGCGCCAAATAGCGGCTGTCTCAGGCACCAAGGCATCAGCTCTTGCTAAGCGGGGCACGTGATCAGGATTCGCTTTTTTGGTGCGCGGCAGGGCATGTCCCCACGAGGTACGTATCGATTGTAGGGCACGAAAACCCTTCGACGAATTTGACGAGTCTCATCCTCCGAAATTTCAACGCCTCCCGAACAACGACACCGGAGTCCACGTTGATCGCAAGCAGACACAATGGTATGCAAGGACCCCCCCCAAATGGATACGCCGAATTGCTCGACTTTGCAGAGTTGCTGACCTTTTTCCCCCCCCGTGCAGGCGATCAAGCACAACCAGACGATCATCAGCAACCGTGAGCACCATCCCGCCAAAAAGACCTCCGAAGCGACGATGCGATTGATGATGAATGGCGACTGACTCCTCCCACAGACTTCCGCAAGGATTGGCAGAGACGGGTTCGCACCCACTTTGACCAGGTATGCGATTCCTGCCACGAGCGACCCGAAAATCAGAAATTCAAAGAAGCGTCATTCGAACAATCTGGAACATTGGGATATTGACTTTTGTTTGTTCGAATAGCCCGGCCGAAAGTCTCGGAGACGCACTGCTCGTCAGGCCAAGGCTGCTGCCCTCGCTCCTCGTCCCGTCGACAAGCTGCGCCCCGTCGTGCGATGCCCTACCATTAGGTACAACCGCCGGGTCCGCGCCGGTCGTGGTTTCACCCTCACCGAGCTCAAGGTACGACTTGATTTGAGAGTCTCTTCTTCCCGAATCTCTGGGGCCTCGAAAGGAAAAAAAGAGCGAAATGGGAAAAATCGGACTATTTCTAGGCCTTTGGATACGGGGAGAAGAGATTGCAAACGCTCTCATACTAGCTGGGTATGGATTTTCTAACGAATCTCACAGGAGGCCGGTATCTCCAAGTCCCTGGCTCCCACCATCGGCATCGCCGTCGACTTCCGCCGCCAGAACCTGAGCGAGGAGAGCCTCGCCGCCAACGTGGCCCGCCTCAAGGCCTACAAGGAGCGCCTCATCCTCCTGCCCCGCAAGTCCAACGCCCCCAAGAAGGGTGACACCAAGACCGACGTCTCCCAGCTGGACAAGGTCTCCTCCATCGCCGCTGCCCTGCCCATCGCCCACGTCTCCGAGGGTGTCTCCGAGATCAGCAAGAGCGAGATCCCCGCCGGTGTTGAGGGTGGTGCCTACACGAAGCTTCGCATTGCCCGAAGCAACGCCAGATACCAGGGTGCCCGCGACAAGCGTGCTCGGGACAAGGCCGAGGCCGAGTCTGCCAAGAAATAAACTTCTTGTTAGAAAAAAGGGAAACTGGTGTTTTAAGGGTTTTCTTGCTCTTTCGCGTCCTCTAAACGGGAGTGTGTGTGCGTGTGGCAAGGGTTCGGTTTTCGAAGCTTTGATGACTTGTGTGCTGGGCCAGGTTACGGGAGGAAAAGAAATAACTGCCTTACTATATGCTCTTTTAGGTCACACACATCAGGTCAAAGAAATTATTTGCATGATCAACCGACTCTGCCCACCTGTATTACGCGCAGCTCATACAAACAAAAAGGGCCAATTGGCATTAATTTGAAACGAGTGCATGAAGCACACGGACTCCCATTATCGTGAAGAAAGTTGCAGTTGTTCTCTTCAAGACGGGTCATGCTGCTATCTGCGTTTCGCGAATGTGACAATATGTATACTGATTTATATCTATATACCCCGTATATATGCGCATATCTGAAGATACTGGCCGATGAGTATATATTGAGCCTCCTCATACTATTTACCGATTTCAGGTCAAGGCTGGACAAAGATATTCCTTCTCCAGGCCATAAACCGCCCCTCGCTCAAGGCACCGCCGCCTTCTGCGCAGCCACAATTTCCGTCCCCTCCTTGACCAGATCCTGCAAGATGCTCACCCTCAAGCCAGGCAACCGACTGCCCCACGACCTCAGCAGCTCCGTGAGCATCACCAGCGCATTCTCCCGGTCCACCCGCACCATGCTCTCCTTCTGCCTCGGGTCCGCCTGCTGAGGCTGCAAGCCCAGGCCCTCCGCCATGGAAGCAATCTGCCCATCGGAGGCCACCACTGAAGCCTCGTCGGCCAGCTGCTCGTTGGCGGCGGTGGTGGTGGTGGATGCCGTCTCACTGAGGGGCGTGTCCCTGCCTGTGATGGCTTTGATGAGGGCCGTCATGGTGCCGTGGATCTGGAGCAGTTCGACGATGACGCGGCCGCCTTCCTTGGAGCGACACATGAGGGCGAAGACGAACCACGCTTCCGAGCGGAGACTCGGCCACTTCTGCTGGCTAATCAGGAACGAGAGGACCCTCGCTACGTCGTGCTTGCTGTAAAAGTATGCCCGCCGCCGACCTTCTTCGTCCAGAGGTGCGTCGTCGTCGTCTTGCTCGACCGGACCGTCCCAGTCCGGCAGCAAGGGGGCGACTGGGCTGGAGTGAAGCATGCGGCACACTGCAGCCACAGCCCGGGCGGCCTCGAGTCTTGTGGGCTCGGCATCGGAGCGCTCGTAGAGGGAGATGATGCCGCTTACGCTGGAGCGTTCGTGCGCAGGGCTGGCCGGGTCGGCGCTGAGAGGGGCGCAGATGCGAGCGACGTTGGGAGGGCAGTTGATGAGGAGCAGCCGAGTCAGAGACACGGCGGCAAATTGCACCTGCGGCGAGGTATCCAGGGTGAAGAATCGCGGCACACAGCCGACATCCAGCAGGTCGCCGAGAAGCGGCTTGTTTTGTACCGGGATGGCCAGGTTCTTCAAGAAGGACAAGGCTGAATGGAGGAGCTGCGCATCTGTGATATCGGGATTCGAGAGGAGCCTCACCAAGGGGACATGCGCCGAGTAGGTTTGGACGAGTGAGGTCGTGGTTTCGTCGGAGCGGGAGATGTTGCCCAAGGCGAGACAAGCTGCAGTCTGGAGCTGCAGGTTCGAGCTCTGAAGCCACGCGAGCAGGTTTTGCGCGATGGGGCTCTGCAATGGATAACTTGCGGCGAACAGGTCGTTGCCGGTAATATCCGCCAGATTGATGAGGAGGGAGGAGTGAAGCTTCTTCAGGGACGCTGCCGGATCGGCATCATCAATATCCGAAAGGTCAAAGTGCGTATGGGCGTGATAAAAGGTAGAGAGGAAAAGTTGCATCAGTGGTCCCTGGATCAAGGCGGCCTGGAACCTGTCATTGGCAAGATAAGCACCCGCCACGGAAACAAGCGATGTGAAGTCGTCAAGGTCATCTCGAGACGGCGGGCTCATGGCCAGGTTGAGAAGGACCTCGACAGTTCTGGGACTGGCACGAGCTGCTTCGCCTTCTTGGCTGACCAGCAGGGCGAGAATCTTGCAGAAATAGGGGACGAAGACGATGAAGTTGGAAAGAGTTGGAGAGGACAGGAGGTCGATGAGTCGCTGGTTGAGATTCGCCTGTGAAGCAGCCAGCTGTGCAGGTTCTTTTTATGCAGGCATCCATTAGTATCCTTGATGTCTCGACTCAGGTAATCTTTTGAGAAGAAAATGCTCTTACCGTAATCAACCAGAATGTTGAACAGCACGGGAATGGTGAAGGGAATTAGGCTCTCATCTTGCAGAAGATTGATGACGGTATCGAGATGATTTCCTTGGATCACCCTCGCACGGTTCTCGTCTGTATCTGCACAAGAGTTCCCGACCAGCCGCAAGATGTGAATTTTGAGCCCTTGCTTCAGGCCATTGCCTGCCAAGATCCGGAGGAAGAACTCAAGGATTCCTGAATCACCAAAGGGGCCCCGCCAAGCGACTGCATGGATACAAATATGTGGTCAGTCGGGGAGGTTTCCAGTAAATGCCGTTCTCGTCCTGTTTGCCGCAACTAGCTTGCTCAGGTTGTGGTTCATTGGATTGCCTGATAGCAACTCACCGTCTCTGCTGCCGTCACCCAGTTTCTCAACCATGAGCTCCAGCTCGTCCGGCTCAGACACCCACACTTCTCGACAAGCTGCCAAGATGGGCACCAAGAGCCCCGTCCGTCGCTGGCGAGCCTCAGCTGGCTCAGTGGACTCATCGTATTGATCGGGAGAGACTTTGCTACCCTCTCGCCGCAGCATCTCTTCGATTTCATGGGGCGCCATGACTGCTTTGAATCTTGTCTGATCTCCGGTTCACTTGACAACAATAAAGCGTTTGAACAAACTATAACTCGTAGTAATGAGCGGATGGAGAGCAGAGGAGAGGATCCAAAGAGGTCAGGTAATAAATCGCTTTTCGAAGCTGGCCTCTTCACAAGCAAACCCTTGCAGGTGATGACGACTCTCTGCTGCTAGGAACAGACCACAAGCAAGGACCCTCAGCCTCACCACCAGAAAATGAAACAGGCTTGTGAAGCTTCTGGGGAAGACAACCCCCGTCTAGCCAGCAGAACCCGCGTATAACGGCAAAGCTAGAGTGGGCGGTTTGCAGATGCCGGAGAGATAGCAATTTAGCTTCTGACTCTCCGGTCTAGGAGCAACAACAAGGAGAATATCCTGCCAATAGGGCTCGAGTTTGCCGGACCCAGCCAAGGTTACTAATGTGACTGGCAATTGCGTGGCACTCAGGGGGGGGGGACAGATAATAATAATACTAATACCTGCTCGGCTGTGGCTGGAAGTTGCTGGGATACGAAGATGGTGGGGGGGCGAGTGGTGGGCGCCTTTCTCCCATTGACCGCGGTGAGAGATCTCGGTGAGCGGCAGAATCCCGGGTAAACGAGAAAAATGCAGCTTGCCTCCCGCATCAAGTCGCAACGCCGGCATTGGCAAAATTCGAGAGGCAAACTGATTCTCGAACGTTCGCACTTTCAAACCGCAGGACGGTGTTCACGCCTTGTCTGCTGGACATTTGCACTTCCAACGACTTTCACAGACTCTCTATTGTGTCAAGAGAGTGTATATTCTATCTTGCTGGCGTTGACTGCACTGGGTTCTACATCATCATCATGGTATGTCCGCGCCGTTCTCTTCCTTTGCTTGCCGAGGTCCCGAGTCTTCATGCCGCCATCGTGACGTTTTTCCTCTTTGCGACAAGAGACAGCATGGCGGAATGAATGCTCGAGGCCGCGGCGCTTTTCTGTGACGGATCGACAGCAACTAACCTCTCCTACACAAACAGGCGCACAAATTCGTCCTCACGGCCTTCCTCACAGGCTCCCGCATCCTCGGCCGGTCCTTCATGGCCGCCTACCGACAGGCCCAAGCCTCGTCGCAGTACCAGCGCGCACAAGCAAAGGCCGGCGTCACGCCCTCCGGCCGAGCCTCTCTGACGGCGGGGATGACGCTGGAGGAGGCCTGCCGCATCCTCAACGTCAAGCCGCCCGCCAACGGCCAGGCCAACGTCGAGGAGGTGCTCGAGCGGTACAAGCGGCTATTCGACGCCAACAACCCGGAAAAGGGCGGCAGCTTCTACCTGCAGAGCAAGATTGTGCGGGCAAAGGAGCGCTTCGAGGCCGAGCTCGGGCCCATACGAGAAAAGGCCGAGATGGAAGCTGAGGCCAAGGACGGGTGGAAGCCAAAGATCTACAAGGATAAATGAGCCAGGGATTCTCCATTTTGAACGAAGCGGATGATACATACTATTCTAATCGACTGCGGTATCATGCGATTGGCTTGGAGGGAGGGACAGCTTACGCGGCAGCTCGCTGTGCTAAGTGGGATGAGGGGAGCAGGGCCGCGAAGGCTCCTCCACTGCAAAAAGGGGGGGCAGATGACGAAAGAGAAACAAGACAGCCTCTTCCCTTTCTTTTTTCTTGCACACGATTTTTCTTTGACCTTCTTTCCTTTATTTCTGGGTAATTATACTACCACATCTTCACTCGAACAGTGGCATGGCACGGCGTTTATGGAGGAGAGGACATCTAGAGGCTTCGAAGCCAACAGGAGACTGGGTCTAGACGAACACACAAAAAAGGGAGAAGGGAGAGGAAGCAAGAGGCGTTCTTTTGGAGTCGACTTCAAGACGCGTTATTCGCTTGCTTTGTTTGTACGATAAGGAAACAATGTAACATACCACTTGTGTAAATTTGATGATTAGATGAGCCTTTGTCTACCGCGGGACCTTGAGGATGCGATGCAGTGCAGTACCTTAGCATCAGGAGGGGGTTTTATGCTTTGCAAGCTTTACGCCCTTCTCCGGACGAGTCCCTTCCAATAGTCAAAGCTGTTCTCGTCACTCTGAAGACTCCACATCTTCCCGATCCCTCGCCCCTCAGAATCCGTCTCCTCGACCCGCAGCATCCCCCAATCGCGCGTAATGCCCACGACCCTCGCCTTGACGCCGCCCTCGGCCTCTAGCGTAATAGACTGGCCGGTATGCAGCCAGTGGCGGTAGTACCGCGTCTCCAGGTCCTGGGAGAAGCCCTCGCGCCGGAACTGCTCGTACACGGCCTCGAGCCGCGTGATGATGCGGGCGAGGAGAGTCTCGATGTGGAAAGGCGCGGCGGCGGTCTGCGGGAGCAGGTCGGAGAGGGACGTTGTTGGGCGCGGGTTGGTGGCGTTGATGCCGATGCCCAGGACGACTTGGTAGGCGCCGTTGAAGTAGCTGCACTGGGAGAGGATGCCGCCGATCTTGACGTAGGATTGGGAGGATGCTGGCTTTGTGGGATCAAGGGCGTCTATTGTTGCTGCTGTTAGCGAGGTGGATGCATGCAAAGTGAGCATGTTTGAGAAGGGGGGGATGAAGAGTAGTGTCTTACAGATGTCATTGGGCCACTTCAGCTTGACTGGCATGTTCTCATAGCCCGCATCATACGAGCGGATGGCCTCGACAATGGCGACAGCTGCGATGTACTGGATGAAGACTATGGGCCGCGAAGCGGCGAGGTGAGCTGGATGGTTGATGACGACGGAAAAGAGAAGCGAGCCCGGGGGTGCGACCCAGACGTTGGATCCTCGTCCACGTCCTGCGATTTGAGTGGTGGCAGTGAAGACGAAGCCGGTTGGCAGCTTGCTGTTGAGCTTGGGATTTCTTTCACGAGTTTGAGTCAGTAGCTGTGAATGATTAAACGGACGGCAAATGAATGAAGCGACGCACTTTTCAAGTAGAGTATTGGTGCTGGTGACGACATCCCCATAGAGCAAGGCATCGCCCCAGTGTTCGGCCCCAGATTCAATCCTCCTGTACCTCTTCAAACCAGAGTAGAACCGCTCGTGGCTAAAGTGAGGTGTTAGGGAATCGCTAGGCAACTTGTCCTCATGAGTAACAATCTTCTTGATAATGGAGCTCGGATCATCAATCGTGTCGACCTGCGGGAGAGCCTCTTCAAGCTCATCCAACTTCAGTCCTTCTTGATGGGCTACAATCTGGAAGGTGTCCGCCTCTCCGCGGATGAACTCATGGCCGTCCTCCTTTTCGATGGCGTCCCCCCAGTCGCACAGCAGCTCCGTTACCTTGCCGCTGTCGAGGGCGGTAAGATGAAGGCTGGACAGCGAGGGGGGCGTGTAATCGTCTTGAACGACCTCGAGGCCGAGTTCGGATAGCAGGGCCTTTAAAAAGAGGGTTCGAGATCTGTCGTCTGCAGCGAGTTTGTCAACGAGTTCGCCGTATCCTGGAATGTCTGCTTGGGGCTTGAGATTGGCGGGTGCGAATCTTGACATGATCAAGGTCAGCTAAGAGAGCAATTCCCCTCTCTTTGATGTTCACAAGAAGGATACTCACTCTGGGTGCGGCCCGCTTAGAATTGCTTTGCCTTCTCCCACATGGCATAGAATCACTGCGGCCTTTTCGTCCCCCCCGTCCACATCCAAGTCGTCCTTGTACGACGCCAGCACCTCGACTTTGCCTCCTCCAGTTGCATTGCCACCAACAAAGACGCCTCCTCCATTGTAGTAGACGGCGAAGTCATCCGGCAACTTGTCTCGCAGGGCCTGCTTCTCCGCCTTGATGGCAGCAGCCCGCGCTCCCCTCTCGCTCCTGTACTCGAATCCCTTAAACGCCCCGCCGCGACACGTCCCCGGGAAGAAGCCAAGCTCTCTGTTGCCGACGACCTCGAGGGCCTTGTTCCCAACTTCAAACTCGCATCTGCTGCTGCCATAGTACCCGCCGGCACAGAGCCCGAGATACGCGCCCCCGCGGCGGACAAAGTCGCTGATGCGTCGATTCCCCTCGCCGTTGAACACCCGACAGTAGCCCAGGTCGGCGCCTCCGGGGAACACGAGAAGAGCGCAAGTCTGTGCCCACGGCTCCTTGAGCAGGACCGTCTCGGTGATGGGGATGATGGCGTAGTTTGGCGAGAGCAGCCGGCGGAGCGAATACATGCAGTGCCGGACAGACTCGGCCGTGGTCCCGGTGCCTTTGGCTTGCAGTTAGTTGCCATTATATACCAAGTAACGCAGCAGATATTGAGGCTGTTATACCTGTGTGCACGAGAACATTGAGTCGGCTGGGCGCCATGATGACGGATATTCCCGTTGCGTGGGAATGAAAGGAGGCCGAGTCACGCCACCTAAATATGTGTAATCGATATTTGCTCTTTTCTTTCTCTCTTACATCCACCAGCGCTGCGGCAGCAACACAGCTCGTCTCCCGAAAGCTTTGAAAACCTTGCGGATTCCTCTCGAGATGCCCGGACAAGCGCAGGAAAAGCCGCCGGCAGTGGAAGCTTCAGCAGCCGCGGCAATTGAGGACGACGATGAGCCGGACGAGTGGTGAGTAGCGGGTTGTTGACCTGTTTTTTTCTTGTTGCGTGAGAGTTGAGAGTGTGCCGACGCTAAGCCGTGCTTCCTCTTTCTGGGGGTTATAGGGACAAACGGATATTCAGCACAGGATGTGCAGGTGAGTTGAGTTGAAAACGAGTGATTTATGAGGGGGTCTATTCCATCAGCCTCAAGGACCGAAGAGGAATTCAGAGTCGAGTTTGAAGAATTGAAGACAGGAAACTGCATTCCCGGTATAGGGTAGGGCTGACTTGGACGAACAGACGAAAACGCCAAGATGACAGACTGCTACTACGAAAAGAAGGACTGGAGAGCATGTGCAAAAGAGGTAAGTCCCTTATGAATGGAACATCCTGCAACTCTTCCATTCTGTCCTATATCATGTTCCTAGCAACACTGACGCATGGCTTGTTCGCTTTAGATGGAGGAGTTCAAGGAATGCTGGAAACGTCATGGCAACAACGAGAGAACCAGCACCAAAGACACGTAGACGGACGTGTATCACCACAACAAGCTGCAACTGTATCAATATCAAATAGACCTACCTTGACTCATGCATCGATTCTCAAGAGTTCAAACTTATTTTATATCTACTTTGTCTCTAGAACCAGTGGAGGCTATTCTATCTTTTGCTTGCAATGATTCATCATTAGGTAGAGGCAAACCAGATCGGCCGCCCGGAACTTCTTTTCACCGGCCCCATCTCGCCGATAACACATGAAATTCTTCAGATAATACCGTGAATCCAGCAAACCTTCAGCCATTGCTTCCAGACTCTCACCGGACAAACACCCCCTTACAAATTGTTGGCCAGCTTGATCTCCAAGAAAGTCAACATGCTTCCCGCACGCAGATCCTTCGCCGTCGCCTCGCGGCCTCTCGCCCGCCTCCCCCTCAGACAGCTCCAAGCCCCAGCACGCCTCTATGCCACAGACTCAGCAACACCATCAACGACGTCCACAACGGAAGACGCATCATCCTCCGCACCGCCGCCTCCCGCAAAGCCAAGCACCTCCTCCTCCTCCTCCTCCTCCTCCTCTCCCGTCCCGCCGAGATACGCAAAGCCCGCTCCCAAGCCGACGCCCAAGCCCGCGATAGCAGCCTCCGTGCCCACCAGCTACAGCGACGTCGTCTACCAGGCCAAGAGCATCGCCTACGAAGACGCAAGGGAGGACAATGCCGCCGACCTGGCGGAGCCGGTCAGCGTGGACTGGACGAGGAGCTTCTACGGGATATCCGCCCGCCCGGTGACGGAGAAGCAGTTCAAGGTCCTGATGCAGCCCCTGGAGGAAAAGGACATTGAGGTCAAGCCCGACGGCGTCGTCTACCTGCCGGAGATCAAGTACCGGAGGAGGCTGAACGAGGCCTTTGGCCCCATGGGCTGGGGCTTGATTCCAAAGGGCGAGGCCGTCGTTGGCGACACCATTGTGACGCGGGAGTATGCGCTCATTGTGGATGGCCGGTAAGAAAAGAAAAAACTCCGTTACGTCATTGCTGCGAGCTCTCTGTCTTTACTAACGTTGACTGCTTTCTAGCTTTGTCTCGCAAGCCCAGGGCGAAAACTCGTACTTCTCAGCCGACCAGCTGCCTTCCGCCGTTGAAGGATGCAAGTCCAATGCCCTGATGCGTTGCTGCAAGGACCTGGGCATCGCCTCCGAGCTGTGGGATCCTCACTTCATCCGCTGGTTCAAGAAGAACCACATGGAGGAGGTGTGGGTAGAGCACGTCACGACCAAGAAGAAGCGACTTCAGTGGTACAGGAAAGGCGACGTGGATGTGGCATACCCTTACAAGATCAGCAAATAAGGTGCTTCATCCATCCGGCGTTGAGGAAGTTCTAATGGGGGGAAACGATAAAAAAATCTCGGTGGCGTTACGGGCGAGCAGTGGACTTGTATGATGATTTAGAGAATCGGTTTGTGGGTTGATGCTGTGCAGCAGTTCCGGTTAGACCCAAGGGGCAATATCATGTACACACACACAAACAGGGCATAGTATATGGCAAGACTCATTTGCATGGGGGCGCGACTCTGATCACTCCCCTCGATATACCATTAACCTCTCAACGAGTGCCAGATTCTATTCTCCTAACGCAGGCACGCACAGCACCCACACGAGTGCCCATGCGGCCTGGCGGTGGTGACGGACTGTCTACATACTCACGGGCCAGCCATTTGCCTCGACGCTCCTAATCCTCCTAGTCTTCTTCTGGTCCAGAGATATGGCCTGCGCCCGGCTGTCCACCGCGGCCCCCCCAGGGCATCCATGAGCCGCTGCCGCCACCCTCGCCGCCTCCGGCATGGCGGCGCCGAAGGTTGGACTCGTCCTCGGCCCCGCTCTCGGCGTCAATCTTCTCGAAATCCGTCTCGCTGCGGCTCTTGCTTAGTCCGCTCCAGCCGCTGAGTCCGCTGGGGGGCCGCTGCGTGACCTCCTCATCGCTGTCCATGTGCCTGGAGCGCGATCGCGACTGCGACTGCCCGTTGTTCCGCTGAAGCTGCGCAGCTTCCCGATCGAGGGCCGTGAGGAGGACGCTGAGGCGGTCTCGCTGAGAGGCGATGAAGGTCATCCTCTCGTTCGAATCTTGTATGTGCGACGGGACCACCGACGACGCCGAGTAGCTACCAGCATCGGTCCGACTGCCCGAGCCGCCCGTCGCCGCGTTCACGGCGCTGGCCAGCAGACCAAAGAGATCCGATCCCACATTTGCGGCGCCAGCAGGCGTGGCCGCCGAAGGAATGCTAAACCGAGCGAGCAGCGACTGCGTGTAGCTCTGGTAGGCGCTGGGCGGAGGGGTGGCAGGCTCGGGCTCGGACGGCGGGAGGCCGAGGACATTAACCCTCAGGTAGTCAATCGCCTTTCGGAAGTAGTCGATGCCGGCGGCCTTGAGGCGCTCGTGGGCGCTGGCGATGAAGTCGTCGATCTGCGCTTCGTTCTCGCGCAGGAAGGGGTGAACGTGCTGCTCGTACAGGACGCGGGCGCCCTGGGTTTGCGGCAGGATCAGGTAGAGGAAGAAGAGAAGGCGGATGTAGCCATAGAATGGGACCCTAGAAAACCCGCGAGAATGAATATCGAAACCCAGACCACACACAAGCAATCACTAGCCGGTAGGAGACGGAGACGGAGACGGCGGGAACAGCTGTAAGACGTACCACGCAAGGATAAAGTAGACCCAGGATTCCACCAGCAGACAGCAGCTAAAGACGACCCAGTACATGAGCCATGGCGTCAGCTGGGCGGGATCCGACGTCTTGAGGGCTTTGTAGGAGGCGAAGATGGGGAAGAGGAAGGATGCGATCGAGCTGTTGTGCTTGAAGCGTTAGCGTTCCGTGATTAGCAGTGACGGCATCGGATGGATGGCGGGGCAGATGATACGCACGATAAGAGCATCGCGAAGAGGTCGAACATGATGGCGGGACGACGAGGCCTGACGCGGCCGCCTGAGCTGTCTAGAGGATGGCTTATATATTCTAGGGCGGACGGGTTGAGGAGTCGGAGGAGAGATGGTCAATGTCGCTTAATGCCTCCAAGCTACTGTAAGGATGAGGATATGCGAAAGTGGCCGTTTATTAGAGAGGTAGAGTAGGAGGTAATAACAAGGCAGAATAAGGCAAGGTAAGGTAAGGTAAGGTAAGGTAGGGGTTGTCTGCGTTGGGAGAAAACCTAGGCTTGGGCTCAACGGCAGCCTCAGCCCAGCAGCCCGTTTTGTTTGCAACCCAGCCCAGCCTCGGGGTCTCTAGACGGAACGGCGATTGACACAAGAACGATGATGACAGCGACGGCGACGAGCAAAACGCCTCTAAGCGGCCAAGGTTCCGGTGGCAGAGAGACCTTTCGGCAGGGATCAGCAGTGGGCAGTTATTCGCCTGCCTGCAGCTGGTAATGGAAATTTTGGTCGAAGACGAACTGCTGTGGAAGGGGGCCGGCAATGAGGGCAAACAGGAGTCGGGATGCGGCTTGTCGTGTCGTGTGAGCCGGACTCGGTGTGTCGTCTGGTGGTAGTAGGTAATAATGGCAGGGCGGGCACCTGAGATGGCTGAAAGCGGACGGGATGAAGCGTCTGGTGCAGTGGGAGAGAATCAGCCGTTTGGTGCCGAGCTGTGTGCGTGCTTTGCAGCGGTTAAGGTACTTTGGAAGAGCTGTGAGACTTTCCCCCGCAAATGGCGAATGCGGCGGCTGGTGGTGCTCGTGACTGCGCCTGAAGCGGCTGTCAGGGTGGCTTCGGGAGCTGTGGATGACGCACCGTGGTGTCTTCCTCGAGGCCGGGGAGGGGGGTATTCACGGTACCTTACTAAGGTTAGTGTCTTGGTAGGGATATTTTACGAGGTTGCTGTAATAATAGCAAGATGATTGCGGATGTCAGAGTGACTCGAGGGGCGTTGAGGAGGAGAAGTCGCTGGTATGGATGCCAGCCAAAGGGACGGACGGACGGATCGAGGGGCATTCACGTGTCAAACATTGCAGTGATACGCAGCAGCACAGGGCAAGGCATCAGCATCACATGTAACATGCGGAGGACCCCGATCGAATGGTAATACTAATGAAAGGATGCACGAAACGAGCAGTAATAAGGGTGCCAGTGTAAAGACGAGCATAGGGTGTATACAGGCTTGTGAAGACGCACAACCGAGCTGTGCATGTATAAGTTAAAATTAGGCAACTGAAATCAATAATCGATTTCCTCTGTGGCGCAATTGGCTAGCGCGTCTGACTGTTAATCAGGAGGTTGGAAGTTCGAGCCTTCCCGGAGGAGATGCAACCACGATTCTTTTCTTTTTTTGCCAGTTGACCATATCAACACTTTTGATGTAGCACTTCCGATGTAATCACCAGGCATTTAAACTTACCTACTACCTAACTATTGCGAAGTCGACGTTATAACCAGCTCCTCCTCCTTCCCCTTTCCCCAGGCTCATCATTCGTGGACGTCATCTCGCTTGATCGACGCTCACAGATGGCAGGCGGAGCAGTAGCACCTGCCCCCTTACCGCATGCCAATTTGGGCATCAACTGTATCACCTGCAGTCCAGCTGACTGGAACAACGAGAATTTACTGATTCTTCACGTGCCTTGTCTTTGATGCTGCGGACTCAATCTTGCATTCAACAACAGTCCTTGTTCACTCACCTCAACCAACGATAACGATACACAGACTGATGACCTCTCTCCTTGATCCTCAGATGAACACTGACTGTCCTCTCTATTCCGCATCATACTCCATACCTACTTCAGCGGATAATCTCGGCTCGAGATGAGTGTCCTGATGTCCTTCGCCAGCCTCCTTTACAGCAGCTGACGAGCGTGCCGCAGCCGGTGCTGAGCGAGATGCGATGCATTCTGCACAAGAACTGGTCCATAAGTCCATGCCGCATAAGCACTGCCAAAGATTGCCAGCCACGATGCAACTCCCCTCGCGATGAGGATCCTCTTGATGAGCGTCATGGTTGCAGCGTCGTTGACCCAGGGAAATGGCTCCTCCTTTGGCACACCCTTGCCCAGGAACTTGCACAGCGGCTCCCAGCCATCCTCGGCCGTCCAAGTCAATACCTCACGGTTTCGCTTCCTGGCCTCTTCGAGCACAAACGTCTGGTATGCGTCATAGAAGCCATCTAGATCCTTTGTGTGCCACCGCTTGCCTATCTGCTTCTTTGCTATTTGGTGCATATGCCAGTGAAGACGGTCGTTTTTGACGGGCAGGCAGAGCAGCAGATACGTCCAGGTGCGGAAGAACGCAAGGCTGTTGTTCCAGCTCTGCAGCCAAGACTCGTCGCCTCCCTTTCGCTGATTCAGTATCAGCTTGGCGTCTGGGTACATGTCCATAAGGTCTTCGATGAACCAGAACCCAGGAAAGTCGGCAGAGGCCTTGTAGCCGTCGAAAATCCTGTGTAGGAGTGCCTGTCGCTTCTTCTTGTCGCTTTCTTGCATGGCTTCGATGACGATTTCGGCACGCTCATTGCTGGGCATCACATGGGCCATGTGCATGCAGGGGAAATATCCCAGATGGGGAGATTCCAGAGCAGCTTGAAGTGAAGATGTTGCGCATCGTGGAAGACCAGCAGCGATGACCTGCATCTGGGGGCCCAGGGCTTGCCGATCTGGGCCCATGGAATTAGAAAGGAAGCGCATGGTGACTGCGGGGACAAGCGATGAGCTTGATCAGGTTGGCATATGAAAGTAATAAGTGAATTCGCAAGCTTTTGGACATGAAATAGGATGGTGTTTATATATCGCTTGCTGATCGAATTACATGGCCCTTTTGGTTTGCTGTCGCTTCACACCCTCTCGCAGACAACCCGGCCACTCAGCTTTCTTCTATGCACGATGCGCATCGAATCCCTTCGTTATCATGCCGAGTATCGCACTCTGGCTCAGTGTCCCTTCCCAATGGTTGCATTTCATCCCTTTTTGAGGTATATCCTTCAGGACTAGCTACTCTTTGACGGCAGCACGGCCATTGTATCGACCAATATCACGATCCTCATCTGGTGATCTCTACGTACCAGTTTCTCATTGGAAAGTAGGGGCTGTATCAGAAGCCATTATTCAACATTACAAACTGGCATATATTCTTGGTACGGCATGTCGGTCGACCTGCAGGGGGCTTAGCGGAACTCGCAGATGCACGTCGGGCCCTCGGGCGTGGACGAGACAGACCACACCCACTACATGCACCCTCATCGTCCTCCCAATGGACAAGAGGATCGCCTGTCTGTGCCTAGGGCTTACGTTAAATCGAATCCTACTGGTAGGCTGAAGGATTTGATCCAGGGTTTGGCGAGCTGAAACCTCTTCAAGCAAGCGGTATATAATAAATCGAACAGGCAAATGTCATGACATCTTACACATCGCTTGCAGAAAGATCAACTGAGCCCGAAATGGCCATGCTATTGGACGGACGAACCAGAAGGAAATTACCAACAATCACAACTTGAGGGCGACTCAAGCTTATGATACGTGACAGTCATCCCCAGGTTCATACAGTTGTTAGAAGACGAATATACTTATATGGTATGTTTCTCACAATGAAGTGTGCAGGTCGTCACAGCTCTGCTCCCGCGCCAATCACTTACATCAATGCTCTAGGTCGGTACAGTCAGACGTTATATCAATGGTATAACTGCTATGGAATTCACTCGCAATATCCTAGTTCCATATCTCTCAAGGCCGATCAGGCCAAAGCTCCTTTGCAACGTCTCTCACCAGCCTCAGCTTCGCAAACATCTTCTCCTCCGTCATGCCCTCGGCACCAACAGCCACGCTGGCAAAGCCGCACTGCGGGCTAATGCCGATGTTCTCCATGACCTCCTCGACGCTGCGCTGTTGACCGTCTGCAATGATCCTTGCGGCTTCCAGGACGCGCCGCTTGATCTCCTGAGGATCCTCGAGGGCAGGGTCCTTGGTGGTCACAACGCCGAGGACGACGTTCTTGCCCTTGGGCAGGAAGCGCAAGGGCTCGAAGCCGCCGGACCTCTCATTGTCGTACTCGAGGAAGAAGGTGTCGTAGTTGAGGACCTTGAAGAAACGCTCGGCAATCTTTTCATACGATCCCTCGCTGAAATGAAGAGACTTTGAAAAGTTGCCTGGCAGTGCAGGGAAGAAGAAAAACTGTTAGCTCTGACGACACAGACGACACAATAATGTGAAACCTATAAGCTTCAGAACTCACCTCGGCAGATGTGAAGCCCAACATGCATGTCATCAGGACGATCCGCGATACAGTCGTTGTGGGCTTTCAGATAAAGCTCAAACAGCTCATCCGGATCCACGCCCTCCTTGCGCAACGATTCCACCATTTCATCTGAGCAAAAGTACGCCAACGTCGGGTCGTCGATCTGGAGGTTCCGCAGCCCCTCGCCGTACAGCGTCCTGATCTCCTTCTGATACGCCACAGCCAGGTCCGCAAAGAAGTCTTCGTCAGAGCCGTACGCCTCCGGGCTGTAGCACTTGCCGGGCGCCAGCCTCAGGTGGAAGTAGCACGGCGGCGGCATGGTGAACTTGCACTCGGCCCACTGCTCCGGCGGCAGGGTATCGCGCAGCAGCCGCCAGTTGTCCAGGTACGGGCTGCTCTCGTAGGTGATCTTGCCCTCGCAGACGGCGGCCATGGGGTACTGCTGGCCCGACTTCTTGAGCGCGGCAATGGGCGGCGCGGAGAGGCGCGCGAGCTCCCACGGCACGGGGCTGACCTCGCGGAAGCCGCCGAGCCTCTCGAAGAAGCCCGAGAAGTAGTACTTGCGGTCGAACTCGCCCGACGAGAGGGCTCGCACGTTGTTGAGCAGCTGCTTGTCGACGGCCTCCTTGATGGCGGACTGCTGGACTGTGCGCAGCTCCTCGGCGGTGATTTTGCCTTGGTCAAACTGCTTCTGGTGCTCCGAGACATAGTCTGGCCGGATGAGGGAGCCGATGTGGTCGGCGTGAAAGGGGAGTCTCGTCATCTTGTGTGAGATGTGCTGTTGCTGGTGTGTTTCGAAACAGCTTTCACCTTGGCCACGAACTTGAGATAGGTGTGTGAAGGAGTGCGGTCATGTCATGGTGTCGGCGCCGACGAGCCCTCCATATATTATATGCTTGCCTCTGCAAAACACCATACAGTTCGTCTTTTTCATCCATGACATCAATAGCCGCTTTGCCGCTGTTAGCAGTGGCAACATCCGCAACCCTGGAAACGCTCCCATCTCCGAACTCTCTCTTTTTTTTCCCCGCAGCTGGCCTCAAGCCGTCTTGTTCGCAAGCAACGAATCCCGCTTCGCAGAGCAGAGGCGCGAATCACCCACGAGTTCTCCGCATGAACATGTGGGTTTCGTGTGTGCCGTGTGCCTCGAGCTTGCAGGGTTTTTCAATGAGGAGCAATTCAAGAGCGTTCCACCCGGGATTTAGCATCGGCAATGCTCGACCGAAAATTGATATAGCTAATAAAGAGTTGATTGACTCTTCGCAAGGCTTTCGTGATGAGGGTCGCTTGCCTTATTCCCGGATAAAGTCGTTTGGTTGTGGGTTGAAATTGGGGGGGTGTTTTGAGGCTATTTTCGTGGCGGGACTTGATGTGCCGATGGAGCGAGATGCCGTGGCTCCAGTTCTCTTGGACAAAAGGACCAAGAGGAGATAGAGTTGTTATATCGTGACATTTACTAATTACTACTGTTCTAGATGACTTGATCGGAGGATTTGCGGTGGGCCCTTGTTGTAATATTTGCACCAGATTTGTGAGAGCTCTCAACGGTGACGGCGATAGACTCTTAGGTGATGGGTTCAGTCAGCATTTTAACCCTGTGAATGCCGTCAGTTTAAACGGTCGCTATAGAGTTGCTAACACGACTCTGTTCCAAGGCGCTTTATGAGCACACCGTGCCATCTTATTGATCTCCCAACCGTCCCACACACTTTCCTCACACTCTGCTTGCATGGACACCTGGACAAGCTATGTAGAATAACACAACTGTTTGTGCTACTGCAACAGAGTCTGGTCCTACTGTACGAGTCTGCTTTAGCATAACGCAAGTCCTCCCTCGACTTGACAGGAACTTTCTCCTTGTTCTCCGTACCTTCATGTCTCACAGCCCCCCCACCAACTCTACGATCCCTTGACATAGTCCCACGTTGACGCGTTCGTCTCACAACGTCATCCTATTTCTTTTTCTTTAGCAGCTTCTCTCAATCAAGTGAGACCAATGTCTTCATCGGGATAGCTGAGCTGACACTACCTAGCATCATCATTGTCAGTGACGCTGGGAGTGTAGCCTAGGCTTGAGTATCTGGACTCCAATGTTTCTCTACGCCAAGATCGCCCCAATTCGCATGCCTTATTCCTACGATTTACACGATTTAGACGAGATCTGAGATGGCTGCTGCCTTTTCGGTGAATCTGAGACGGCGTTGGCAGCTGAAGCAACATGTTGTAACAGAATGCCTTGAGAAGGACTGATTATGGGCGTTGGGTGCTGGTATCTTCATTTGTGAGTGAAGAATGCTGAAGTAACGAGGGATAACGCTCTTTGCTGTGTGCATAGAAGCTGGGTGTTGGTGCATGAACATTCTTCAAGATGAAGTATGAGAGTCTGCTGTTGGTTGTGCGTGAGCATCTTTCAAGATGAGCTGTGTTTATGTTCCTCGACGCGCCCGGCAGGCTACAATGCTTCATTCGCCGACTTATAAATGGCGATACTCTTCCCTTTCGACGAAGCAGTTTTTCTTCCCCATCAAGGCGTGTACCGGCAGCATTACAGCCAGTTCTCTGATTCCCCTCTTTTATAATCCGAGAGCCTTCTCATTCACTCTTTTGAACAATATTCTTCTTTTCGGTCTCAATCATGCACCTCCCCTTGATCATCGCCTTCGGCGCCAAACTCGCCCTCGGCCACTTCAGCAACACCTCGGACTCCTGGCCGCAGTCTGACGACGATGCCGCCGCACAGCCATGGGTCGTCGGTGACTTTCGATTCTTTGGATGTGCAGCTTCGACTGCTGGATTCCCGCTCTTCAAAAAGGTGGCCTTTACGGACTTTATGAATCTTGATTTCTGCGCGGCGAGCTGTCCCGGTAGATACTTTGGCACTTCGGACAAGTATGTTGCGCTTCGTCTTGCCACCATCCAAGTCGAACTACCTCTCTCCTAATTCATGCTCATACTGACCGTGGGTCTTTCTCTGTAGGGACTGCTACTGTGGTGATGAACTTGACGCTGAAACAGCGGACAAAGTCGACTCTGATCAATGCGACACCCCTTGTCCCGGTGATGGGAGCCAGATCTGTGGTGGTCGTTCCGCATCAGACTGGGACAAACAGAGTCCATCGTCCGTCGTCACCTTGAGCCTGTACATCAGGCTCGGCGAAAACCATTACGAGCAGCGCGACCATGAAGACGAGGACACCTGCGAGGAGGAGAAGGGCGATAGCCACGGCGGATGGCAGTTCACCCGCCCTCCCCCCCATCAGACATACACAAGCACAATCACCAGCACCACAACCAGCACAATCACCTCCTGCGCCCCCGACGTCCCGCACTGCCCCCTCGGCGACAGAGTCGTCCAGGCCGTGACCGTCACCACCGAGCTCTGCCCGACGCCCGAATGGAGCAGGAAGAAGATCACCTGCTACGGCGACCACTGCGCCCCCGACGAGCCCTGCCGCGAAGGCGATGACGACGACGAGCAATGCCAGCGCCAACGTGTCGTCTGCAACGGCGAAAGCTGCCACCCGGAGCCCTGCTCCGACAAGGACGACGATTGGCACAAGCTGGTCGTCTGCGACGACAACGACAACAGTGACTGCCACTACCGCCAGTGCGCCGGCGAAGAGTGCGGCACCAAGATTGTCTGCTACGACGGCCAGTGCGCAAAGCAAAAGTGCTGGGGCGACGAGTGCCGCACAAAGTTCGTCTGCAAGGGGCCCGAGTGCCGGCACGAGGCTTGCGAGGACGGCGAGGACTGCCACGCGCACCACGTCTGCAGCGAGTCTGGCGACGACTGCCAGGCTCAGTCTCCTTGCAGCGGTCCGGAGTGCCCTGTTCCGCCTCCCCCTGTGTCCAAGCCTGAGTCTCCCGCGTTCAAGCCTTGGTATCCTGCTGCGTCCGAGCCTGAGTCTCCTGCGTCTAAACCCGAGTCTCCTGCTTACAAGCCCGAGTCTCCTGCTCCTACGCAGCACCGTCCTGGCCATGAGACGGCTTATCCTCAGCCTGCTGCGCCTACGAATGGCTACAGCTTGCCGCATCCGACGGGAGTTCCTGTCGTTGCTGGATCTACCCAGTTGGGGGCTACTCTTTTCGGAGTCCTACTGAGCTTCGTCGTCTTCTTGTAATCGATCTATCAGCCTACGAAATGGCACTCTGTTCGAAAGGAAGGGCATAATATGAGAGCGATAGAGCCTCAGGACATGTAATCGGCACGTTGGAGGGCACTTGGAACAATAATGTTGACTATCTCAAGACAAAACGTTTGCGTAATATTAGATGGGAGAGGGGCTTTGAAGGTTCCCTGACAATTATCATTAATAAGACTGATATTTCTTGTTCATTGAGTTTCCGACGGCTAAGCGCACCACTCCTTGTTGATATAGACCTCGACTCATAGCGGCAGCATCAGAAGTGCATTCATACGCCCTGTAGCACCCAACAGCATTCTCCGAGAGCTAGGCTCTACGTTTGCAACATTCCGGTGTATCAAGACTGATTAATTCAGTGGCTACAATCGACAAGAAATAATGTCAGAACCTAGTGATGGGTGTGAATTAATCCCCATATCACACACTTACACCAGCTTAAGGAGCGCGGGCTGGGATGAGACTCCTGCATGAGCCACAGTCATTCTTAGGAAAGAAAGATATGCATAGCGACTGTTACAGGCCCGGCAATCCGGTAGAACATGATAAACGCCAGGCACCGCTCTCTTGGGTCTGGGGACGGAGAATTGATCCAACACAAGTGCGTAATCTCAGTCCCAATACCATGGTTCGAAATTTCGTCTTGCATATAGATATGGACAATGCTAGTCTCGACCTTCCCTGGAATCGTAACCTTCATCTTAACATATGGAATAGCCGAACGAATCGTAATAAGAATATCTGGCTTAGTTGTCTGTTGGGCGCAAACGATGTTTACTCAGCGTCTTGTGATAAGGGCCACTCGGGCCACCTGGTGATCGAAGAACTTGGATCATATCAGCCGGCTCCGCGTCTGCAAAACATCGACATAATGCTGGGGAAGCAACCAACTTGTCTTGTTGGTAAGTGATTGGTACTGGGCAAGTCATTCACTCAGCCCAAAGGAAAGGAAGAATCGGAGAGAGCTTGGGTATGATATGATCTGGGGTATACTGTCTGGAGTATACTATTTCAATTCCAATGGCTGCATGGGCCACATTGATCATAGGCTACCATTAAGCTCTTGTGTGCCTCAACTCTACAGAGCTCCTTGAAGAACCGGAATCACGATTGCAGTACCGTCACTGCCAAAGGGTCGTGAGAGTTTGCCAGCATCAAATTGGCAAAGGTGGCGCTCGCCGTAAGCAGCAGAGACGATGGAGGACACACCATCCCAACTCGCCAGCATCTCCGTCCTCTATGTCAATGGGTCACAAGGCATGGACCAGTGAACTCGAACTACTACTAGCCTGTTATCGTGAAATCATGCATGGCGCTGACCAGTCTCGATGAGCAAATGCAAGACTTGCACTCTGTGCCCTCTTGCACGTATCGTTTCAAAGGGACCGCCATAGCCGTAGGATATTTCATGCTTCCCCGCCCGGCTCGTTGCTCCAAACGGGCATAGCTGCCAATCCCATGCCTCTCGTGGTGGGTAAGACGAGTCCAAGCAGACCAGAGGAGGCGTCTAGCGTTCCCTTCTGTCGGGTCGACTGGAAGTGTCGAAGCCGAGAGAGGACGCAAAAAGAGGACCTCGGAAGGACAGGGGGCCCAGAAACCGACTAGGGGGGGGACCCAGGGAAGAAAAGGGCTGTTGGTATCCGCAGATTTTTGGTACTTGTCGGTCCGCAAGGAGAGGGGATTCGTAATATCGCGTTGGATGATCCAGCGGTCAAAGGGTGGTGGTCTGTAGTTGTATTTTGGTAGCGGTTGACTGTGCTGCTGGCATGTTTAGACGACAGACTTTCATTGATGCCGGCAAACTTGCGATATAGCCAAGAAGCGAAGCGAAGCGTCAAGCATCTGCGACTGAGACCGAGCAAAGACAGAGGCTGGAGAGAGCAAAACCCTGCCCTAATCTGATCGATGAGATGGTGAGACGAACTACTGGCAGGTAAATTGGAGTGGAAAGGCAGAGATGACTCGCGAGCCAGGTTCTGGAGTAGGTACAAAGCGCTCGTACCATGTACTCGGTACCGTAAGGCACGGACAACTTGGGAAACTGCTGGTAAGGTAAAGCAAGAACATTGCACCTGCCGTAGATAGGCAGAAGGGTCCAGCAGCCTCAGGCAGGCGTTATCGAGGATGAACAATCCCTTGTTACTGGATGCTGGCTCGGAGAAGGTGCAAGTGAGATGCATGCGCAGACGGATGGAGGAAGGCACATGCAGGGCTAATTCCATTTGGAAGTTGCAAGACTTTTTTCCTTTCATTTGCTTGAGCCGTGTCGGAGTTACTAAAACAGATTTTTTTTTTTTCCAATGCTTTGTTGAAGGCAAACGAATACGGAGAATCTTCATCATCATCATCAATCGCCAACCAAAGAAACAGCTCTCGCCAAATCATCAGCAGTTGTTGCATCCATTTGTCAATCATTCGCTCCTGTCGCCGTTTGGCCGTACAAGTAATTGTACAGCAGCAGTTGAACCCGTTTGCGGGCAGACAAAAGAGCAGGCAAGGTCGCTGAATCATGCGACGTCGATCGACCCTGAGCATCACAAGACAAGCTTGTTGCTGTCTTGCTGTATGTCTCCGGAGCTTGGGGTTACGATGCATCATGCTCCGTCTCAGACGGGGCTGCGACCAATGACATCCTGCCGCCACACAACAGTCACGCCATATCACGGACCGTCTCGACGGAGTGCAAGCGCCGCCATGCGGGAGAGCGCGAGAGCAGGTCGGGTTGAGGCTTCAGCCACTGGCATGGGCTGGAGACTAGTCGTGAGCGGCCGCCAGCCACCAACTCCAAGCTTCACGGCATCGATGCTGGTCCCGAATTCCAGACGACTCCTTAGACGCCGTTGGTCCGCTCTTCAAGAATGTGTTGGTTACACCGTTGCTTGTCATGGGCTGAGGGGAGCATCGCCGTCGGAGACATACAAGCGTCTGCTCAGAAGGACAGCCTTCTGCATGACGGCAGGACTTTCGATTGCTAGCGTCCTGAATGGACCCGAGAGGCCATGGCCGGCAGTGCTCACGCCTGTAAATCAGCAGGAAAAGGCTGCAGCACCCACAGAGTACGTGTGCCAACCAGTATGGCACAGCTTGCGAGTACCGGACTGCGGAGCCGGAGCAAGAGTGCCGAGTTGTTGCAATCTCTCGAACCCTCGTGCCCATCACGAGGTGGCCAATCCGATGTACTTCGTCTGATACGGTCCCCTCCAACTTCTTGCCCCCTCCTCTCCTGTGGCTGGTTCGCGAGCACCAAGACCCTGGATCGATTCGCGAACGGTGGGCGGTCAGCGCCCTCATTTGCCATTCACCTACTACTACTATTCACGAGCACAAGCACTCCTTCACGCCGTGCTTTGCCAAATCCAAAGAACCCTGCGTTCCGCCCCCTGCCAACGTCAGCTTCCCCATGTTCCTGGCGGTGGACTCCGCTCCCAGAGCACGACCCGGTATAACGTCGCCCTGCGTATTAAGCTCATCTGCTTTGACTCGGCCCCTTGTCTGAGTGGTGCTGCGAGACGCTTCGAAGGGGTTTCTGTCTCGTCCTTCTCCCACTTGCAACCAACAGCACCGATCACGACTGAGGCTGTCTGTCTCCTGCTGATCGATCGTGCCAGCTTCCATCCTTCTTCCGACTCCCTGCCGAACGCCGTGCCCGGCGCCGACTTGTACTACGGCCGGACGAGACCGAGGCGTGAAGCTGTCCGCCGCGCTGTTGGTCTTCAGCGCTACTGCAATAGGCTGCCGCCGCTCTGCATTCGCCGACACTGGCAACACGATAGCAACCTGTCCGTCTCTATTTGGACAACAGGACCCAGCAGAGGCTCCAGAATCGTCTCCGTTGGCCGGGTCTAGCGCCGCCTGATCGGTAATGCTTTGTGAGAAGCATACAGTACTTTAGTCGACCATCCCCCCGGTACGCCAGATGATGCCGTAACCGTCCGCCCACAGCTGCTTCTTACCTATCGATAATCCGATCCCCTACCACGGGTGCTGAAGGTCATTACTGCTTGTCGTCAGTCAGCATCATACTAGAGGCTTCAGGCCGGTCTTGGTCTCGATTGGGCCACGGACATCGCCAACCTCTACCTGCAGAGTTTCTTTTAACAAACACGACTGGCCACCAAACCTTCACTCACTCAAAAATCGCCTTCAACCTCCAGACTCTGTTCACCTCCTCGATACCCACAATCAGCCATCATAATTTGCAGCGCATCTTTCCACTTGCACACTCGGCCTTTGCACATTCTCGCATCCAATCCCACGTCTAGACAAACCTACATGCTACATACGACTTCATCCCCATCTCCCCTTTTCGACAAACAACAATGACCGAGGACGACGCAAGTAGCGAACCGGTTCCACCACGTACCGGTCGCCCTCCAACACCCGCCTCTACCGGCTCAGCCATCACCGTGGGTACATCACAAGAGGCGCTTCGTATCAAGAATCTGGAGCAAGGCGAATACGTCGAGGATGAAGACAGCTGTGACGATACACGGAGTCTCACCGAGAGCATTCGCCAACACATCATCGATGGAGGCCTACGGTACCATGCTTACCATGCCGGGCAATATGCCTTCCCCAACGACGAGACAGAACAGTACCGTGACGACCTCAAGCATCATCTGATCATACACCTTTGCGAAGGCGTATACTTTTATTCCCCTGTCCATGAACGGCTGCAACAGCCTGGTGCTGAGGTCCTCGATTTAGGTGAGCCTCAGACAATCTGCCCAAAAATCTGCTCACGACCTCCTTTTGATTTCCACACTTTGCTTCGACGTACCTATTCCTGTACTAACAGGAGGGAAACAGGTACCGGGACAGGAAAATGGCCTATGGAAAGTGAGTAACTTCTCATGGTTTGTCTTGCTACGGTCTTGCACACCTATGGGACGAGGCGCGGACCACCCCCTTGCACGTCTCATGCGTTTGTCTCGTTCCATCTTCCCCTCTAACATCGTCTCCCCTAGTGGCCGACATGTATCCCAACACAACATTTCACGGCATGGATCTATCACCTATCCAGCCCGATTGGGTCCCAGAAAACGTCATGTTCGTTGTCGACGACATCGAACATGAAGCGGGGTGGACGTATCCTGAAAACTCGTTTGATTTTATCCACATCCGCCACACCTGCCACTCAATAAAGGACCGGGCTGAGCTGTGGAGTCGGGTTTACAAGCAAGTCTGCCCGTGTCTTCAGCACTTGAACTACGTACCCAACTAACAGAACTGTCTCATTACAGGCACTTGAAGCCCGGTGGCTACGTCGAGGTTCAAGAGTTCCACTATGCTGCTGCCTGTGACGACGATTCGTGCAACCAACCATATGCCTGGCGTGACTTTTTACGATATCTGGGGGACGGTCTTGCCGCCCTCGGCTCCAATCTCCACGCCATCCTCAACGTCAAGGACGAGCTCGCTGCCGCTGGCTTCCAGGGGATCCGCCAGGTAGACCTCAAGTGCCCCAACGGCCCATGGCCAAAGCTGAGGCGACTCCAAGAGTGCGGCCACATTCTGCGAGATGTTATCATGTGGGGGCTTGTTGGGCTAGCCAGGCGCCCACTCCATCACGGACTGGGATGGACGACGATTCAAATCGAAATGTTCCTCGTCGAGGTCCGCAAATCCATCATTGCCGAACACAACGGCATACCCAAGTTCCATTCATACTTTCCTTTCCACACTATATACGGATACAAGCCCTTGGACGGCGCTTGATTGCCTGTTTCACCATCAAACATGGTCCTTTTTGCATATGACGGCAAATGATATAGAGATTCGAGGCTGCATGATTTGCTCGGTTTGAGTAGCAGTGTTGAGACAGGACATTATATGGGGTCAGTTGTGCATTAACCCGATCGTCTCCCTCTCGAACATCAATGGACGAGAAGCATAACCTTACTTACCTGGGAATCATTGTGCAGCCTCTCGTTGAAGAGATGCCTTTTACTGGAATACCCCGGGATGCATCTGGTAGATGGTTGGGTGATTTGGCGCAAGATGGGATTGTTTACTAGCAAGCGGTGTTTGAATCAGACCTGGGGAGTTACTGCAACGTCAAGGATCAAGATTCCTATCGAGGTCTTAACTGGGTTGGGCTGTGGTGACCATGGATTCGAAGAACATGCTCATTGATATTCGCATAGTCATGATATTGGCGCATGTGGTCGGCTTTGCTCGCAGTCAAGTGTAGATATATACACATGTATTCGAACGTTGCCGATCCGCTGGCGGTGTCGAAGAGAATGGATTGCTGCAAGACTTGCTTATCCCGAGAGAGTTGAAGTTGGCTCGAAATTTCATTGACAGTAGAGTTTGTGTAGACTACTAAAATTGACACATGGAGACTTGCCATCCGCTCAGGGGCAAAATGAAGTCGTAATGTCAGTTTGGCATTGAAGAAGTCCATCATCTTGGGATGACAATAAACAATGAAGGTAGACTGTTCAAACAAAGACGATGACGTAGAGAAAGCATTATAGATCTGGTCTTGAGCGATTTTGTCCTCATGTGCAATGAGATCGATGTTCAATGGCGGTGATTATGCTTAACCTCACCCAGATATGTCGGCGTTCTGGCTGAGAAGTAGAAGACAGATCTCAAAAGACAGGTTGACAAGTTGATTTCTCCTGGTGATATGGAGCAGAGCTGCTCAATATCTCTAGAGAAGAGTACGGGGGTCAATACTCGGTACGCGACATCCGATCCCTGGAAAGATTCTGCTGGTGTCCTTGATCATTGATGCTCCCATGGTCGGTGTAGCTTTGACGGTGTTACAAGCAATTTGTAGTCGTGAGCTCAAGGCCGAATCTAAACAATCCTAGGTGAAACGGAGCTCTTGTAGACATAAAGAGAAGAGGAGCCAGGATAAAACGCCACACCAGATGCTGACCAACTAACAAGCCCCTTGATAGATCGCCTATCTGCCCACGGGTTTGTAGCTAAGCTAGTCGACAGAGAGGGGAGCTCTTTGGTGACTCATTTAAACGTTTGACTGGATAAATTCAATATAACATACCCGCAGTGGCCTGTCTGTAGAGGCAGCGTGCTCAGAATTTGGCTTCGCGCTCCTGTCTGGAGGAGGAGGATGGTGATGAAGTACATACTAATGTGATTCACGACCAAATGGATTTGGAACCTTCACTGCAAAGCTCCAGGATGAGAACTTGTGATCAACACAATCCATTGGACTTGCTGCGCTGAGCTGAAAACACAGAGCATCTCATCCTGTGCTGATATTGAGCACCCTGACGGAGCTTGGCCATTGCTACATATCTCAGGGGCAGACATTGACTTACACGAAAGTAAGGTACTGCTGCCAGGGAAGCGGTCGACAGCCAATCGAACACTGGGATGCACCATCAGAAAGACTATAGCTGAACCAGACAAAGAAAGTCCATAGACAGCACTCCAAACCCTCCTTTCCCAATAAACCAAGAAAATAGAAGACTTCCATGTCTAAAGGCACATCAAACTGATGAGTCGACGCTTTCACATGCTTGGGAGGAGTGAAGCAGAGATGGAATGGGCATCAAAGCCATCAAAGCCATCAAGTGACTCGAGTGACTCTAATCCACTGCCCAAAAACCACTCCTTCGTCTTGTTCACTTCGAGCCCAAGGCAGATTCGCACCTACACCTGGCGAAGCAACCCCCCCTGGCTTTGACATGAGGCAAACACCGTTCCTCCCCATGACAACACCCATCACATCCATGAGCCAGCATCATCACGGCGTCAACCACCATTTTCACCAATAAGGAGCTAAAGCAAGCTCCTTAACATCAGCCCAGTGCGAGAGACACCCATCTCCCTAAGCCAACCCATCCACCGCACGCCGTGAATCTTCACATCTCACCGCGGTGTCGACGAAGCAACATCGCCACCCGACGCAATGATCATACCCCCCCTCCACCATCACAGGCAAAGAAGGATGAGAAGACTATGCTCCCCTGCATGCATGAAACGATAAGACAGCAGCCATCTGGGAAAGAAGCAAAAACAGGTAAATCAGAGAAAAGGTAGACATCATCCAACTACCGCGGAACACTTGTTAACCAATCATTCCCATCACTTGCACGCGAACAAGGCAACTGACAGCTCCAATGAGTCAAAAGCCTGCATATCGCAAAATCGTAAATCGCCCCCATTCTCTGCAAATCCGGTGCGGTGCGCGCCTCTTTTTCTCCACGCGGGTATATCGTCCTTTCACATGCGCGTTCCTTACATTAGACACGAGGCGAATGAAATAGGAAGAGAGAGAGAGAGCAGAACGTGGCACGTGAACACGTCGACGCGTGGGTTCGCATCGAGAATGTTCCCATGAGGCGACATCGACAAATGGACACGGCTCCTTTAAGATACATGCGCGAATGCTGATTCGCTCAAAACGCATTGAATCCTTCGCCACGGTTTTTTTACGTCCAGAAGCGCCGCGTCTGGCTGCTGCCTACGAGTACCTTACTACTAATTAGCCTCATTCACGACTTATATCACAACTCTCTTCTCCTATTCACGCCTTAGAATCTTAGCCTCACGACGCGAAAAGACGCCTTCGTGATCGCCTTCAGCCGCGAGTCTGGTGAGGCATCTCATACACGCGCGTCCTCTTTTTGCCTTGCCTTGCCTTGCCTTGCCTTTCCACACCACGCCCAGCCCCAACCCCCAGCCTCTCTCAGCCCCATCTATCCAAGACACAAGGCGAGTTCTTCCCATCCAATGAATGGAACATGAAGCAAGAAGGGGTTGGGGGGTCGGGGAAGAGGCGTGACGACGCTGCCTCACAAAAATCCCCATCACGCATTTCTAGTGTAATACATTTCGCCTTGATTCGTGAATGCGGCTTTTGGCAAATAGGTAGCATAGCATAGCATAGCAAGGTCGTTGTCGGTGAGTCATTCTACCCGACCACTTGTGTTTCTCCTTTTTTTGCCTCCCCCAACCACCCCAAAACTCCCCCAGCCATCGCACACCTGACGATTCCCGAAATCCTGGAACCTTTTCTGTGTTTAGTTTTGCGGGTTGTGTATCAAACGTGCTGCTGGCCCCGGGTAATATTCCGCATCACATCACAAGAAAGCAGCGTACTATGTGTGTGTGTGGGTGTATTGTGGACGGAGGACGTGTCATGAGGAAAGCAATCAACCCCCTCCCCCGGTCTTGTCCCCTGATTCATTGAACGTCCATTGCGTCATGCCAGCGACAATATCCTGCCCATCAATCAACCCGCCTTTTTTTGCAAAGCACACACATCACACCCTCTGAAAAGAAAGAAGGGGGGGGGGGGGGGGGGGGGGGGAAGAGAGAGGAACAGAGAGCTACTGTACAGCTCCCAAAATAGGCAAAAGAATCATGGTAAGAGCTTGCAGATCGACAACGAGCAAGTCAAGTCTCGTTTTCTTTTTTTTTCCGTTGGGCACCCAATGAATCACCACCTCCTCAACAACAACCGCGTGCAGAGCCGAGAAACTGACAACAAATGCCTTCGTGTTGCTGGAGACTCAACCTTGTCAACCCAGCAGGAAAAAAAAAAAAAAAAAAAAAAAAAGCCGGTTCCGCGCCCATGACGTAGACGCCACACCCCAAGAGCTTCTTCCTCGTGCTGTGGCTTGCGGTCCCGGCCGCTTGGCTGAAAAGGGCGTAGGGACGTTCACATACTGTGCCAGCATAGGTACTCACAATTTTTCTGGTATCATCTCAAGATTCTCAACTTTGACATCAAATCATGCACAGCCACATCTTTGCTCTTTGCCCACTCTCTCTGCCATCTCATCTCCACGTGGCTAGATCAGGAAGAAGAAGAAGAAGGAAAAAAAAAAAGAAAAAAAAAGGGAGGCTATCCCATCTTTTTCTCGCTATTCTTGTGTTATGTTGTTGTACGTAGTTATTGATCGTTGTCAGCGCAAGCCTCTCAGACGCCCATCCCGCTGGCTCCCGCAAGGGAGGCACCCGCGATCCAGGCACAAGCCTCCATGGGCTTGAAGTTAGCAACAGTCCCTGAAATCTTTGAGATACTGTGAAAGCGAAATACTAGAAAAGCTTTTTTTTTTTTTTTTTTTTCTTTTTTTGTGTTCCCACCTGATCCCTCAAGTGCAAGGCACAGAGTTTATTAGCACTGCCAGGGGCACTCAGTTTAGGTATACTACATGTATAAAACCCAAAGAAGGATAAAGCGGAAAAAAGAGATCTTGGCAGTTTATGACTCTGAGAGAGAGAGAGAGAGATTCCCGTCTGTTTTTGTTTTGTGCAAGTGTCTGGCATTCAATACGCAAGCAAAGGGAGGGCTGATTCCTCCCGCCGCGTCTTAAGACAGAGAGTTTCCACGATATCAAGCCTTAATACCAACAGCAGCATATTATTCAACGCGCTGAATCGATGAAATCACCTCTCGCATCGTCCTCAAGAAGAAAACACGCCACTAGGAAAAAAACCAAGAGAAAAAAAAATCTGCTGCAAACGTGATCCATCAAAAAAATGTACGTTGCCGTCACCGCCTCCGTAAAAGACTGCCACTCTGCATGACGGTAGTGAGATGCCACTGCTACTACTAGTACTAGTACATATTCAATAGGACCCCCCCAGTCTATTTGCAAGAACTTGCATTAGCATGAGCGATCCCTCTGCTATTTACAGCACACCATGTCGTCAATGCGCCCCTCTCCGCTGCAAATTCGAACCAAGCCCTCTAAAACACATGGATTAGTAGT